TCTACTTTCTTAACTATCATCCAGATGAAGGAACTCAGGTCTCTAGTATCCCTAGTTCTTGGCACATGAAAGACACTAAGGATTCATTTGGAAAAAAGAAAAGAAAAGAAATTTAATGTTAAAAATGCATGCTGTCAAATGATCAGCCCTGAATTTATACATACAAGTAACATTTTATAGACTGAGCTGGTTGTATGTACGTATGTTTAGAAACACATACACACAGAGACACACACTGCCACCACCACCACCAGCACCAGCACCAACAACAACAATTCAAAGAAAAGGCTGTGAATTTGAAAGGGAGTGGTACAAGAAAGGGCTTGGAGGGAGGAAAGGGAAAATGATAACTCAAATAAAAGAAAAATTAATCCATACCACAAATAGTGAAGGAAATGTAAAGAAAAGTCCAGAAGCTAAAACAATCGCCTAGCAAAGAAGGTAACTGCTTTACTCGATTCAAATTAAGAGATTTAAGTCGATCCGGTCAGAGTCAGGACAGAAAGCATGCGTGCTGCCAAGCCTAGCCAGAAACACAGGTGGAGGGAGGGCATGAAAAATGCCGGATAATGAGGAGCCTGAGGATCACAGGCTTCAGAGGCCTCGCTAGAAACAAAGACAGCAGAAAAGGGACTGTCTTTGCAGCAAGAAAATGGCCACAAGTAGAAAAGGGTTCTGATCAATGCAGGGTTGTGGGTTATGGATCTTGGAAAAGTTGGGGAGGAGAGAGAGATCAAAATACACTGTATGAAATTCTCAATTTTTGAAATGCTAAAAGCCAGGCAGGAGCGAAGACACCGGTACCCTAAGCTGGCTTCTTCCAGCACTTGCCATTGGTGGAAACTTATAGAGGCCCAGAGCTCAGTGGGGCGGGGTGATGGCGGAATTCAGTAGAGACCTTCTCAGCAAGGGTCCCTTGAAAAACCCTGTAGTGATGACTAAGCAAGGAGATGTGGGGAGGTAGAAATGAAAGAGGAATTTGGAAGAGATGACTGAAACATAGAGATCAAAACATCCATTATGTCTTGAAAATGCGCAGTTTCAGAGGACCATAAAACATCACGTGAGGTTTACACAGACTAAAGATGCCTATGCTTCTTTTTGTATCTGACAGTGGCATTGCTTTCAATGATCCTCTCCTTGGTTAAAGAAACGTGTTAAAAGGCAGCCACGCTGATTGCAGTGGGTTGGTCGGCACAGCTGCCTTTGAAGGCATTCGATAAACCCCTTATTACCATCTTGACAGACTCCTTTGTGTCAGGCCAAAAGGACTTTTCACCCGAGGAAGGCATATTTTTTTGGGGCCCTGAGCCCTTAATCCCAGATGGCGTGTTTACAGTTGTCCCTAAACAAGATGAATCCAGTCACCTCCCTTCGTCAAGAGGACGTCTTGGATCTGATGGCAATGTTAGCTTCAGTGTCTGCTGATAGTGCGCCTCATCTTCTTACAGTTTCCTATAGGTCGGCAGAAACACAGTTTATTTCTTCCTTAAAATTCTGGTGTTGCTTGGGCTTTGCTTTAATCCACATTTAAATGTCATGTCACCTCCTGAGGGCCTTTATGGAAGGACATGCTGTGTTACTGCGGGGTCACTGTTGAATTCTCAAAGATCTATTAGAACACACTCCCTCCATAGTTAATCACATGGTGAGCTACTGATCAAATCAGTGTTGAGGAGCTCCAGAAAGATTTGTCCTGCGTTGTGTTCAGCAACAACCAACTAACCAAATACTCACCGCGTGTCAGGTTCCCGCTGTCCCAGTGCTGACAACGTCCATTCTGCCATCTCATCCTCCTGGCAGCTCTTTGAAATGGATATTATAATCCACAGCTCACAACAGGCAAATTGGAGACTCAGAGGTGCAAGCAAGATGCCTATAGCGCCCCGGAGAGCGGAAGCAGGACTCGCTCCATATGGGCCTGAAGCTGGGGTTGAGAAACTGAAGGACTTGACTTTCTGATTTTGGTAAACGTGTCAAATATGTGTTAAATAATGTTTTCGTCTCTAATATGACATTATCTATGTGGATGGCCAGTGTCATGGGGTAAAGAGTGATAGAAACGGATTCCTTTACTCTTGCTGCTAAAGGGACAGTCTTCACTTAAATTTCAATCAACATTACCTCCTTTCCTTTTTGTCCGACTTAGTTACTTACGGAATGCACACATGAGCACAGGCTGCCGGACGCAGCGCTTCTTTCTCCGGGCAACCCCCGAACTTGCTTGCTCGGTTCTACTCCCTTGTGGAAAAGGGCGCATATCCCATGTTTCCATGCTGAAAGGTTGTGAGAGCAGAAAGGACTATACAGATGCCGTATCATAGATACTATGGGACTTACTAAAATACAAACTTCCGGAGTTCAGAGACTTTTGTATCCTATGAATTACTATAAGCCCAAGCCCCAGTTTTAACAAAGTGTAAGAGGCATTAATTTTGCTTCTTTCCCTTGGAAACTGCTCTTGTACTAAGCACTAAACCTGGCCCCACTTCTCAAATGGCTCTCAGGAAGCGGAAGCTTTAGAAAACGGGTCTATGTGGTACAAAGTTGGAAGATGGCAGAGGTGTAAGGTGAGTAACTGGTGGAGCTTCGCCTTTGCTCGAACCTCCATCTCCGTCACAGGGGGTAGCAGTTCATCCGTTGTCTGGGAAGACCATGTTCCATAGGAGGCTGTCTTCTCTCCGTGGGCACAGGTTCTCTAGCACAAGGCTGGGCTCAAAATCACCACCCAGCTGATGGTCGTTGAATCAGTCAAGAGCGACAGAACGTAAATCAAAAATAATTCAAACGGCATTTGGCATCGAGCATGTGCTTACTAAATATTTATTAAATTACATTAAATATGAGGCTCAAAGGAAGACTCATGCCACACATTCCAAAACTAAGTAGGCATTATATTTGAATTCGCAGCTGTTGGGGATTATCTGTGTGCCTCCCCAGTCAGGATCCTAAAAGGAGATCTTACTGCATCAGCAAACTCCGCAGTCTGAGAAATGGCTGGCTTCCAGCAGGCTGGCACGCTGCCTTCCAACTATGCCATACTTAATGGAAAAGCTAACGTGTACCGTGGTGTGCCAGACAACCTGATACGGCTTAGGAATCAACCCCTCGCCCCTTTCCGTAGCAGTGTGTGAGAGTGTTCGTTAATCACCCCTTCCTCCCTTAGTCTCTTCCTTTCCTTCTGAGCATCCTATAAACAGAGGCACCCAAAGGCCAGGATCTCTATGATACTGAAAGGTCTATGAAGTTCAAAGACAGTGAAAAAACCACAGCTTAGGAGAAAAGACATGGGGCATCATGTTTGCAATAGATGATGTGTTTTCATGGTTTTCCTGCTCTCTGAATAACTCAAGCTTCAGGATTCTATATCTTAAATGGCTTGACATTTCCCCCCCAATAACCATGACATGACACAGAGGTACTCCACATTAGAAATGGTCTATAAATACACACATATAATATGTACACACATGCACGCGTGCATGCCCCCTTCACACACACACACAGAGTGAGAGAGAGAGACACTCATGCACAAGTGAATTTCAAATAACAAATTATTGAGTACCCCAAACAAAAAGTTCATTTATTTTCCATTATGACTGACAGATTTCCCTGTAAGATTTTCAAAGCACACAATAAGAATCTGGCCACTTGGGAAGAAGGAGCTGAAACCTAGTTAGAGCAGACACCGTCTGGTGGGGGTTGGGACACAGAGGTTGCGGGACAGACAGCACCACTTAGGTCCAGGAGACAGTTGTTTAAATAAGAGCATGGTGGTGTCAGCCTGTTGATAAGGCAGCACCGAGCCAGCTGCTGGTAATTGAATCTGTTCAATGTTAATGAACTATCACTGTAGAAGTAACCGGGAGATGGGAAATGCTTAAGAAGTTAGAGTCTACTGCAAGGCCAATTTATCTCACAACGGGGAACATTTTATTACAAACATAAGGAAACTTAACATAAAATTTAAATTTTTAGTGTATTTTATTGATAAAAGTGTCGTTCCTTTATCCACAAGTCAATTTTCTCCGCTCTAAGCAGAATTTTACAAACGCGTCGGCTGAGCCACAAGAAAGGCCTTTTTGATATGATCTTTTGTATTTGAACCGTCTCTTGCTTGGAATTAAATTCAGTCCCAAAATAGCAAGTATATCATCCCCTAACCACTTCCCATTAGAGACAGCACACAGCAGAGATTAGCCGTGCAGCCGTGATTTGCCAAGTAAAAGAACCTTGTGGGGAGCTCAGACTCAGACTTCCCCACTCAGAAAGGGCGATGCGTGGGTCTGTGTGAATATTCCAAGCCGGCAAAAATGAACTCCAATGGAAGTGAAGACATTGCTCCATACAGACTAAATTGAAGTCTTGGGCAGACTTTGCTTTTGGGTGTTACTTCCCGCAGGACTGTGACAGGCTCAGGTCGCTGACATTGGCATGACTGTTCTGTAGGACGGACAGTCCAGATGAGCTCTCTTCAAATGCTAAGTTTACAGCAAATGAGTCTTCAGAGGAGGCAAAACCTATGTGTGATATAAATCTCTTCCTCAGCTGTCATGATTGACAGGTCCATTTGGTTGGGTTTAGAGGGCAGGGAACAGAAGTGGAGCCTGACTCACAGGGCTCGGCTCAGGGCTCAAGTCTGGGATTGTTTTAGAGACATGAATACCCACACGTCCTTTCTATTGTCACATTCGGGTTTCAGAGCCACATGGGTAAAATTTTCACATTTGCCACTTACACGCTTCTCTGAGCCCGTGAGGTCATTTTTAAAATGCAGTTCTATTTCCTTCTTAAAGCCTCTTCTGAGACGCTAAATTTAGCGCTGCCAATCAGAGGAACAGGTGGTATGGGATACTCCCAAACCGGTCCTCCCCCATCAGGCTTTCCTAAGAGAGGCAGCCAATCAGAGCCCCGGGCACTAAGGATGTGGGCCCGTCAGCAGATCTGGGGAATATAAGGGCCGGCCAGCCCCTGGCTCTGGAGCAGTCGCGCATTCCCACCTCGCCTCGGGTGTAGGGATTGCATAGAAAGGCAAAACCACACAGTCTTGACTGTGTGGTTTTGTTTTGAGGGTTAGAGGCTCACTGATTCATGTAGGAGATGGTTGGGAAACCCAACTCTACATAGGACGTCGTTTCAGAAGCAACCTTGGGCTTAGTCCCACCCTTTTTAGGCACTCTTGAGAATTCAGGTAAGTGGGAACGGGTTTGTTTCAATCTTAGAGCTATTTCTGAGGGGTTTCCAGTCGCCAGTTTGACCGGTGAATGTCTGTTGCTAAGGGTTTGCTCTCTCTGACCTGCAGTGAGGATCTGTATTTTAAACCTGATTTGGACATGCAAGTTTTCTTTAAAAACAAAATAAAATAAATCAAATGCTTAAGCCTAACCAGCAGAGTCACCATTTGAGATTTTTAAAGTGCACTTGATATCCTAGAGCTCGGGGGTCTGAGATGAGGGCAGAAACGTTTGCTTCCTTAATAAACGTGTCCGTGGGGAATGTACAAGGTTATGCGGCCCTGTGATAGAGCGAGGTTGACCAAGAATAGCTCTGAGAAAGCCATGTGGCATCGGCTACGCCCGATGACTTTTTAAGGGAATCAGCCGCCGGGGTATCTGTTGCGGGACAGTGGCAGACACTTGTCTGCTGTCAGTCAAGCTGGGGGGTTATTTTGGGAGCATGACATTTCAGATGCATACCTTCTGCCCTAGGCCTCTGGAAAGCAAGAGCTCCAAGAAACGCAAGCAATTCGCCTGCATAGACAATAAGGATAGGGTATCAAGCTCATTTAGGCCACTCAATCCCAACATTTTATAAAGTCTCGATGAAGATGGAGGATTGTTGTTCAGACGATTCCAAATCTCATTATGCATTTTAATTCAACCCTCAATCTAATTATATGACATGAGATGAATGTTAATACTAAAAAAGAGTAAGAAATAAAAGACTTAATTTCAAAACACACTTAGATTTCCCATCTTTCTGGGATTAGGTTGCTAATTGTAAATGCCTGTTGTTAGATAAATACGTAATTATGCATTGCTTGTCTAAGGAGATAGCTATTGTTAGAAGATGCACTGGTTTGCAGACAGGAAAACGTAGACATAAAATGTGCTCACCCTAAAGATAATGCGCTGGACACAAGAGTTCCTCGGAAATGATTCCTGAAAACTTTTGGAGGATGATACCTGGATTTTTCTGGAGTAGGAACTTTGTCTTAAAGAACTTTAGTTACACTAAATAGAACACCAGCACTAAGATTATTGCACTGTAATGTCAATGAACAAAAAAAATTAAGAAAAATAATAATGAGACAATAGAAAATTCAGAAATTGCTTTTAATGCCAAAACACTAGTCTGGTCAAGGCGAATAATTAGGTATTTATGCATAAGGAAATTTCACACATAATCTCCAAAACTGATAGGCGAAATACTTTCTTCCACTTACAAAAGGACTTAATTGCAAATTTTACACTCATCTCTTTGTTGACTATTTCACATCCGAAAGCACAGGTCTTTTTATTTCCATGAGCATTTCCCACCAGCTCCTGTTATTCAGTTTGCTTATTGCTCCATGTTAACTCAAGTCAACATTTTAATTTCAGATCTATAATAAATTTGGACTTATTAAATATTTTTCCCTGGTGATTATTTCAGCCACATTAATTGTGCCATTGCATACAATGTACAGACATGCTAGGACGCTGTAAGCCTGCTTTGCTGTTGAAGAATAAAAGGCTTGTGGCTGTGAAAATCCTTGCCAACACTTTTCACATTAGTGAAAGGCTTCCTCAGTACAGTTGTTTTCATCTGGTGCCGATTTTAAGCAGTGGGCAGCGCCTAAGGCAAAGCCCCCTTGTAACATTGGTACCGTGGTGAGAGCTGCCTGGGAGGGATTCACATGCTTACATGCCATGTTGGTGCAAAGGGTACAGACATCACTCCTTGTCTCTGAAAGCCCTGGGCCATAGCTTGGTTTTCCCTTCCACTCTCTCCCAACCTGATTTCCCATTTTTGGTAGGATTGGATGCTTCTGCTTTGACCACTAGGGGGGTATTCATTGCTCTGCTTGATGTTCCCCATACCCCCCCCCCCCCCCATTTCCCTTAAATTAGCTCAAAGGTCAGCTGCATAAACCCCAAGAGAAGGCTTCCTATTGCTCTAGGGCCACCTATGCCTAGAGAAATCCATTTGGAAAAGCACATGTCTTTGTCTCCACCACGTAGCTGCTGAGGGGCCCTGAGGATCAACATTTTCACTGATTTTTCTTTTCCTTTTCAGAGTGCCTAAAAAGATGACCACTCAAGCACCGACGTTTACGCAGCCGTTACAAAGCGTTGTGGTACTGGAGGGTAGTACCGCAACCTTTGAGGCTCACGTTAGTGGTAAGCCATATGGATGCTTTCTTTTCTGTTCCACCTGCTTCCCCCAGGATTTTGTTTTTTTTTTTTTGTTTGTTTGTTTTTTTCTGTAGGCCCTGAAATCAAGTTTAAACCCTGCTTTTACTATGTAAAATTGGCATAACACCATGGAAAGGTCATTTTAAGGGCATACCGTTCACAGGATGCTGACAATGTAATGATTTGAAAATGTTTTATTCATATTTATAATTCCACAAAGCAAAAATAATTAGCATTAGATTAAAATTTGCTGTCAGAATCTAGCAACTAAGTAGGGCCAAATCTGGCCATTCTATATTTGGGTTCAGCCGCAGAGCCAACGTGACAGACAAGCACCCTTGTGCTGTGGGGTTTAGTACAGAGCTTCTGGGCAGCTAGTCTGTACCTCAGTTTTAGATGTTACATAGGAAAAAAAATTTCATCAACTTCCCATAGGTGCCGGTGCAGTGACTACTCATGGCAATTATTTTACTGGGTTCTTCATGTTACTAAATTATTCTAGTGAATTAAAGAACTCCCTTCTGCAATTAATGGCAAGGCACAGTACTATCTGCTCTTTATATTCAAAGAGTACAAGCATTTTCCCTAGAATTGCATTTGAAAGGCATTCCACTCATTTCTTTTTGGCCTCTTTTTCTTCATCACTTGGTTCAGGGATGATTCTAGATTGTGCATTACCTCATGACAAGTGAGGGGGAGCCATCTATAAACTATACTGTAAATAATTTCAAAATGACCTAATCAACCTGTCTCCTATAGAACCATAGCTGGTCATGTATGATTATATTATTAAATGATAACTATGATTAGTTCATAATTCAGTGCATCCCTGTGGTGAATTCATTTTCTCTTTCTCTCTCTCTCTCTGTTTTTGGTTTTTTTTTTTTTATGTGTGGCTTGCAATAAAGATATATGCTAAAGTTTCCTTTTCATTCCTGTTTCTGTATTATGTATGGGTCTTACGTAACTGTCTAATACTTTGCAAAAATATCATAACATCACTCATTCTCTATTAGTAGAACTCAGCTCAATTCTCCTTTTGCCTGATGAACTCTTAAATGATGACCTTATTTTCTTCAAATCCTCTATAACTTCTAAACTGAGCAGAACACGCATGAAGTCTGCGGGAATTTGCCTCTTTGCACAGTACTGGGAGATGACATTTTCATAGATTCAGAGTCCTTCCAATTGTGTGCCTTTACATTGTCTTACAAATAGGTCATAGATGAAGTCTGACACCCACAAATTAGTCCATTACACTCTTCACTCGCCCGTAATGGGAGGTTGGCTCGTGTAAGGACAACACAGTGAACATTCTGTTACCAACGAGAACAGTCACAAGCATCCAGGTCTGGTGCAAAGGCAACATTCCCTGAAGTAGCCGTCCAACCTCTGACCACATTAGGCTTTAATAAAACCTGAAGCCACTGATACTGTTCTTAACCATAAGTGAAGAGACCCTGGTTCCCTCTTGCTGCTCCGACTTTCTGTGTTGTTCTGGAAGACCGGATTTGGCTTTGGAGTTAGCATGAGGAACAGCCTGTCCATGTGGGGGCATTTTGCTGCAGTCACATTGGCAAGGGCACTCTGGACAGTGTCCCTGCAACTGTAGAGGAGGGAGGCATGCACAGCCTCCTGGGGCAGGGCTGGAAGGTGGCTTTGTGCCTCTAGTCCTCGTGTTTTCAGGATGACAATGGCCATCTCTCAAAATTATTGCAGCACTCAACGCTTAGAAACCCCTCTCGTTGTTTTAATCATGTCTACTTAAGTGGTGAAGCTACAGTGCACCTCAAAACCCAACTCCATAAAAAAGGGGTAGGGCGCTGTACAAACCACCAGGTGTTCCCAGGGGTGACTGTCATGCTGTTGTTACCACTAAACAGGGTTCCACGCCAGCTAGCTCTAACAGGCCTGTGCAAGGTCTTGCAATGATGGGAAAGAACAGAGGGCTGGACCATGTCCACGCTAACATAAATATGACTGCTTACCTTCCAGGTTCCCCAGTTCCTGAGGTGAGCTGGTTTCGGGATGGCCAGGTGATTTCAACTTCCACTCTGCCCGGCGTGCAGATCTCCTTTAGCGATGGCCGCGCTAAACTGACGATCCCCGCCGTGACTAAAGCCAACAGTGGACGATACTCCCTGAGAGCCACCAACGGGTCTGGACAAGCGACTAGTACTGCTGAGCTTCTTGTGACAGGTAGGCCAGTGGGGACCAGCCTGTCCCCAGCCAGGACAGAGGGAGTCCAGATAGAGCTACACCCACAAAGGAGGCAGCTCCCAAGCTGGAGAAGGATCTGCAGGATGAATGTCCATGGCTGTGTGGGTCGTGCAATTTAATCCTCTTTGAAGATGAATCACAAAGCGGATGAGAAGCAGTGTCTCTGTGTGTATTGCACACTCAAAGCATGCTGAAGACACGCTAAAGATCTTGTTCCTCAGCAGGGAGAGTTTAGAGTCTTATCAAAGAATAGGCTATATTTCAGAAATCACTGGGAGTGTCCACTTTAAAAGGCATTGCCATGATTCTGACGAAGGTGGTCTGTACCCTCGGCATTGAAAAGACTGTGCAGTAAGCATACTCAGAAAAGGGCAAATGTTTGTTCTTCAAACATGTGCCACCACTTTCCCTTAAAGCCATTTTCAGTTACCTTGGTAGGTCTTGTCTGTCCTTCAGCTCTTAACAGGACAATCAGACACGAAGAACAAGAGTTATTCTGTAGACTACATAACGATGTCTTATACAAACTCTTGCCGTGTTGCATTCCATGGTCATAAATGGCCTAACTAGAAAGCTCACCAGATCGCTTAAGGGTGAACTTGAATGTGCAATCAGAAAATTCAGAACTAGAAAAAGTATGATAATTTAGAAACACATTAGTCCAATCCCACATTTTATCATCCATCCTAAACCCTATGTACGGTCACACCCTTCCCTGGGGGAGAACTGGAGGTTATGATGGTCACACCCTTCCCTGGAGGAGAACTGGAGGTTATGATGGTCACACCCTTCCCTGGAGGAGAACTGGAGGTTATGATGGTCACACCCTTCCCTGGGGGAGAACTGGAGGTCAATGATGGTCACACCCTTCCCTGGGGGAGAACTGGAGGTTATGATGGTCACACCCTTCCCTGGGGGAGAACTGGAGGTTATGATGGTCACACCCTTCCCTGGGGGAGAACTGGAGGTTATGATGGTCACACCCTTCCCTGGGGGAGAACTGGAGGTCAATGATGGTCACACCCTTCCCTGGGGGAGAACTGGAGGTTATGATGGTCACACCCTTCCCTGGGGGAGAACTGGAGGTTATGATGGTCACACCCTTCCCTGGGGGAGAACTGGAGGTTATGATGGTCACACCCTTCCCTGGGGGAGAACTGGAGGTCAATGATGGTCACACCCTTCCCTGGGGGAGAACTGGAGGTTATGATGGTCACACCCTTCCCTGGGGGAGAACTGGAGGTCAATGATGGTCACACCCTTCCCTGGGGGAGAACTGGCAGTTAATGATGGGGGTCATCATTTTCTCCAGTGGCATAGCTGCTGGCAAGATGCTCTTGCTCAGTATATAACTTCCCACCCAGGCTTGAGCCAGAAACCCCCATTAAACTCAGTGGGTCACTCATACCCAGAAGTCATGATAGAGGGAGCGGCTTGTTGGGAAGAAGGGCTGTAGTGGGAGAGGGAGGAGGGTGGGAGAGGGAATAGGTTAAACACAGCTGAGACTCATTGTAAAAATTGTGGAATTGCCAAACAACTAAAAAAAAACTAAAGGGGAAAATTTTCTTTTAATATAATGAACCAAGGAGGACACCTTCCTTTCTACATGAAAGCCTGCCACTGTTGGGGCTGGCATTTTAAATGCAAGTAAATATTTTGGTCCTTTTAATAGCACTCTGGTAGGAGGAATTCTTAGAATAAAGTTAAACTTCAGTGATTGAGAAAGTCGTGGTTGCACTCATTCTGCCAACCACTGGAATTCACTTTAGTGAAATTTTGGTAGTTTACTAAATTGTCTTAGCATGTTAGCAAAAGGCAGGATTCAAGCATTTGGAAGTCCCAGGAAGGTCTAGAATAGTACAGCAACATCTAGACTTTTTGGTAAAATATTTAGTTTCTCAGTGAAGAGGTTTACTGGTCTTACAGAAGATCAGGGCCTGGCTTCCAACACCCACATGCTGGCTCCTAACTACCTGTAACTCCAGTTTGAGGGACCCCAATGTCCTCTGCTGGCCTCTTTGGGCACCTGCATGCGTGTGGTACACATAATCCCATTCACATGCACATAGATATTAATAAAACATTTTAAAAGCCAAATACAGTAGCTAAGGACAGCAAAGCAACTACAGTGAATACGGGCAGGCAGCCTTCCCTTGCTGCTGCCTTCTAGCTGCCACCCCTCTGGGGGAACTGGGTTCAAGGACAGTCAAGGATGTTGGCTGGATTGGGGAGTCAGTCTCTGCTTTGGGGCTCAGGGCTGTAATCGTTTAAAAATACCTTGTTGGGAGCACCCCGACTCCTGGGCCTGATTCCCTTCTCTGCCCTTGGCAGCGGAGACAGCGCCACCCAACTTCGCTCAACGGCTGCAAAGCATGACTGTGAGACAGGGGAGCCAAGTACAGCTCCAAGTGAGAGTGACTGGAATCCCTACACCTGTGGTGAAGTTCTACCGGGACGGAGCCGAAATCCAGAGCTCCCTTGATTTCCAAATTTCTCAAGAAGGTGACCTCTACAGCTTACTGATTGCAGAAGCATATCCTGAAGACTCCGGGACCTATTCCGTAAATGCCACCAACAGCGTTGGAAGAGCCACTTCCACCGCAGAATTGCTGGTTCAAGGTAGGTGGTCAAGGTTCAGGAGGAAAAGGGTAGGATGGAAGCCTGCGGGACCAGGGATCTGCCTGACTCCCCCAGAGGCAGTCCTGTGGGACCAGGGATCCTCCTGCCTCCCCGAGGCCGCAGTCCTGGGGATGCAAGCAGGAGCTAAGATCAAAGCTACCTTTTTACTCACCGCCTCCCCCCTCCAGCCCCCCCCCCCCCCAGGCAGAAGAAGGCCTCTAGAGTTCTAGTTCAGTGTTGAAGCCCACTGCAGCCATTTACCCAGGATGAGAACCAGAGCACAAATCAATTAAGTGATGTCCATCTCCATGTTATGGGCAAACAATGGGATATTTAAATAAGTAATCTAAGGACATTACTTTCTAATGACATGTTTTCTATCTTTAAATCTAATTATATTCACACGAAAGCCACAGCCTGCTACAGTTTCTCCGCTATCACACACAGGAAATTGTGCTACGAACCCTGGTTTTTCCCACCTGAAACACACGTCTTTCTGTTTCCACAGGGGAAGAAGTAGTACCCGCTAAAAAGACAAAGACAATCGTTTCGACTGCTCAGATTTCAGAAACAAGACAAACCCGGATTGAAAAGGTAATTTTCCTATAGGGCAGCCCCCAGCCTTCCGGGTTGCTGCTTCCCTGGCTTTTCTCACTCACCGTGACCGCTGTCTTCATTGCTTTCAGAAAATTGAAGCCCACTTTGATGCCAGATCAATTGCAACAGTTGAGATGGTTATAGATGGTGCCACCGGACAGCTGCCACACAAGACACCTCCCAGGATACCCCCCAAACCCAAGTCAAGATCTCCAACGCCACCTTCCATTGCTGCCAAGGCACAGCTGGCCCGACAGCAGTCCCCATCACCAATAAGACACTCCCCGTCGCCGGTCAGACACGTGCGGGCGCCGACCCCATCGCCGGTCAGGTAAACCCTCTCTTAGAAGCTCATGGAGTTTTTAAAAAAATTATTATACAAAGAGACCCAAGAAGTCCCGTAATGTGATCCTTATCCTCCTCATCTTCCATGGGTTAATTGAAGATAGATATAAACTCAGGCTCTGAATTCTTATTCACAGTCTGTTCAACAAATACACACTTTGGAGGCAAAATATAACAGGGGGAGGTAAGAATGATGAAACTTGAGAGTTAAATCTCTCCAAAGCCGATCAATCACCCAGACTACTTGCTTGCGCTTTGATTTGGGGCACTAGTTATGATAATATAAGAATGCCTACAATGTGTGTTTACCCCCTCGGTGTCCGCTTCCTCATGTGTTATCTCATTAAATATTCACAACCCTGAAGAAACGTGATTCCCAATAGTTTTAGGTCAGAAACTCGAGCTAGAGAAGTTATGAGGCTTTCCCAAGGTCTTTGTTGTGTCCTCTGTGAAATAAAGGAACTCGCAGCCGTAATGATTTGAAGCCTTTGGAAGGAATCAATGAGCTCATTACTTGAAGGTGTCCCTTGAAAACAGAAAATCATTATTCAGACACTTGTACTCTCAAATAATAAGCAAAACCTTCTAAATATTTTCCATGTTTGTTAGTCTATCAAAAACATAAAGTGGATTTCTACTCTCAACTAAAATGTAGAGAGTTTGCAAGGCGAGCTTGTATCATCAGTGTTCAGAAATTATACAATCAAACGCAAATTACCCACCGCATCTGAGACTTTGCAAGTTAGTTTAAAAATGGGGTTTTTAATATGATGAGCTGAAAACTACAAAATTTGAGCACGCACAAGGTGTATTTTAATCAATTCAAATGAAGTAAAAAAAAAAAACCCATATAGATCAGGTCCCCTTGCTAAAATAAAGTGGAATTAATGAGATAGTTGACCTAAAAAAAAATCCAAGTTCGCTGTAAAGTTTCTATTATGAAAATAATATGATGGTATTAGGTCTAGCCTCGTGGAAGAATGCTTGCTGGCTTGGGGGAGGATTTGTGTTTGACCCAGCAGTGGAAAAGGAGGAGTAACCAGAATTCCATATTCAGGGCACAGACTAGAGGGTACAGAAATAGATCTATATATACAGGGAAATTGTGTTTTTAATCAAGGACAACAGTATTCACACATAAGACTGTTCTAATTAGATGTCTGTGTGGAAGAAAAGCAAACCCGGGCTTCTGCCTCATATCACTTACAAAACCAGTGGCATGTTGATTAAAGTGTTAAATTAAAAAATTAACGAGAAACTGGCCAGATGGTTTGATGGGCATAGGCACTCACCCTCAATCTTGGCCACCTGAGTTCGCTCCTTGGGACTGCATGGGGGGGGGGGGGACAGAAAAAGCTAAATCCCAGAAACTGTCTTCTACCCTCCCATGGCATGCTTGTACCCACCCCTGACACTGCGTACAGACACACACGTACATGCACATAAACACGCACACATGCACACAGATAAATAAATGTGTTAAAAAAAGGGATAGGAGAAATGTTTATGGGGAGAACTTTTAAAAATAGATTTGCAGAGCCACAATAAAAATGAAAACATCTCTATAGTGAAAAGGCAGATCATTGTTAGACTAGATAGTGAAGTTATGTGAGAGAAAAATGACCCGCTCCTTTCTGAAGACGCTCCCTAGTTGCTGCTGGGAAGGACCATAAAGAACATCAACTAGTAGCTATGTCGTGAACCCTGGGAAGTTAAGAGGGACTGAGAACAAAGAACAGGAAATGGGGAGAGTGCTACCCAACCAGATGTATTTAAGTGCTCCACCTGAAAAGGGGAAATCAATCCTGCAGAACACACTTTAAAGTGTGGGGATTGATGCAGATGTCCGATTAATACACTACGACATGGTGGGGATCTTCTAGTTCTATGTTGGTCACTTAAAAGTAACTGAAGCTACTTCACCAGAACTAACATGAGAACTTACAAAAAGCTCAGTTTAGTAAAGATATCCCTCATGTTTTTATGTGTTTAATCTCAGCTGTCTGCAGGTTTGCATACATGAAGTCACTCACAACACAGGCCAAACGAAATCTCTGAGACATAACAGCCTTTCTCTCTTTCCAGCTCAAGCCTGAGGGTCATGTAGAATTACAGACATTTCCTGACCGCCCCCTGGAACACAGTGGCCATCTTAGCCTTCTGGGAGTTTCATAGTAGGGATCCGGTTAGTTAGTCTGCAAAATTTGCTTTAAAATAATTACAAAATAAAAATGCCAGCTTGTGAAGAAAATAATGCTTATCCCAGATAGACTCCTTCCCAAAATGTCCTATGGCTTAATTTTGATTTTTGTTGTAGATAAAGCAAGCATATTTTACTGGACGAGGCACATTGTAGCCAGCTGTGACCAAGTGATTATTTTTTTTTTTTATTGCAAGTGCAGAAATAAGCATTTTCCGGTAATGGCTCAAATTACATTGATTTTCGCAGTTATGGGCTTACCTGAAGCCTGCTGTTAATCACTCACGTCATGCTAATCATGTCTCAAGCTCTTTTTGAATTAATCCCACTGGGCTAGCAGCAGCAAGAACAAAGCACGCCCAAACTAGGAAGCTCCAAACTAGGAAGCTCCTGTTGCTTTGCTTCCATTGGTGTGGACCCCACACCATTCTAGCCTGGTCTTTGTTACCCGTTCCCAGGCCATTTCTTTTCACTGCGGCTCCATACTGGTTAGACCTCCCTTCAGCTTGATTTCGATGTCTTTTCCAAAATACAAATTGTTCCTGTTCACACACACAGCCTGTTAGGAGAAAATGACTAAACGTTTCTTCCTGAAACCGGTTGATGTAATTATTCTGCAAAGTTATTCTGCATTTTAGAGAAAATGTCACTGGTCCCTCAGCGTAATTGGGAGAATTGTTTTGTTTATGATTGATGTAAACTAAATACCCTATTCAAGTGCCAGAATGCATTGATAAACATGGCCCCGTGCGTAGAATCTGTGAAGCAATGCTGCCACCAAGAGGTAAAATGGAGCAAACAAAGGAATTGCTAATTAATTTTGGAACAAAAACCATTATCTTCAGATAGCTGCTCTGTACCTAGAGTGACTGGTGTGATAATAAGCTGGCTTTTTGTACTATCACTGTTAGGGTCTAATACCCATTCCCTTTGGTAGATGATATTTGCGCTTCAGATGTATATAATAAAAACGGACAGTGATAACTATTTTGGAAAAAGATACTTTATCAATTAATAACAAGGTTTCAAAGCAGCTGATTTACAAGTTAACTTTAATATTACGTAAAGGAAGTTCTCGGTGCAACAATATGAAGGTGAGGGTAGAAATAAACTCGGGGGAATTAAAATGAGTGACCCACAAACACTTTTGGCTAGACCAGCAATCCCACGCTGCACACATAGCACAGCCGGATCCCCAAATGACTGTGTAAGGCTCTCCGTGGCCTGGATAATGATGTGGTTGAGATAAGGGAAGAAGGGGAAAAGGAGGGGGAGGGCAGAGGGAGGAAGAAACGTGGCTTGTTTAGCCAGGAGTGACAAAAGCATTTAGTTACCAAAACCGAATAACACCAGCACACCTTCTCCTCTCCCCAGCTGGAGCTGGGCACACCTGTCCTTTTTGTGGCCGTGTTTGGAGGACGCTCCCTTTCACTGCCTTGTTTTTATTTTTTTATTTTATCTTTTCTAATGTAAGAAGGTGAGACAGGGCACACAGATTTCTAGCATACTTAGAATTAAATCTGATTCCCTTCTGGGGTTACTGCAGATAAACACAGGGTTTATTGAGATTTAAAACGAATTACTTTCAGGTGCGGTGTGTACCCTCCAGACAGCCTGTGGGGGGCGCACATTTGACACCCTGCCTGGAAGCACCACCAGAGTTTCATGTGCCCTCCAAATCCCACCATGCCTACTGGAGTACCTTGCACCCAGGCTCTGACCTTTGTTGTTTGGTTTCCAGGTCTGTGTCCCCAGCAGGGAGGATCTCCACTTCCCCTATCAGATCTGTGAAGTCACCACTGCTCATCCGCAAGACTCAGACAACTGCCATGGCCACAGGCCCTGAGGTGCCTCCGCCTTGGAAGCAAGAGGGCTATGTGGCCTCCTCAACTGAGGCTGAGATGAGAGAAACGACAATGACAAGCTCGACCCAGATCCGAAGAGAAGAACGATGGGAAGGGAGATACGGTGTCCAAGAGCAAGTGACCATCAGTGGAGCGGCAGGCGCTGCAGCCAGCGTGTCAGCCAGCTCTTCATTCACAGCAGGAGCTGTCGCTATGGGGACTAAAGAGGTACAGTCAGAAACTCTTTGCTTTTTCCAGTTCGCCTTCTGGTTGCTCTGACCCAGTTCCAGGCATGGAGCAGTCCAGATGGGTTAGAGAGGAAATGCATAGGAGCCTAAAACTATAGCCAATATGGCCGATCAGGTTTGGTTGGCACCTTTAACTGAGTCAAAGACTCGTCTGTGAGGCTTGCATCAAGGATGGGTTTTAATAATGCAGGTAGTAATGACAATTATGTGTGAATATATTTTGTTTCTTCTCATACATAGTTCAGTTTTCATAAATTTTCTACTAAGTTGTCGTTTTAAAACAGTGGTACTCAACCCATGGGTTACAACCCCTTTGACTGACCTCTATCTCCAAAATTATCTAGATTTTTGATTCATAACAGTAGCAAAATCACAGTCATGAAATAGCAGACAATAGTTTTACGGTTGGGGGTCGCCACGACATGAGGAACTGTATTAAGGGGCAGGAGCATCCGGAGGGTGGAGGACCGCGGAGGACCGCCGTTTTAAAAGCCTTGCACGTGTTGATTGGCAACGCAGGTGAAACAGGAGGCAGACAAGAGCGCAGCTGTGGCAACTGTTGTTGCTGCCGTTGATATGGCCAGAGTGAGAGAACCAGGCATCAGTGCTGTAGAGCAAACTGCTCAGAGGACAACCACGACTGCTGTGCACATACAAGCTGCTCAAGAACAGGTACGCTACGCGCAGGGCCGTGGTGGTGGGGTGCGCAAGCGCATCCGAGTGGGCTCGGTTCTGCTTTCGGTAATTGGGCTTTCCAATCCCTTGTGGAAGCGAATCCCGTTGAAGGCCACAGGCCGCCCAGCATGGCCCAGGCTTTTAGAGCTGCCCGAGGAAAAGGTGGCCAGAAATATCAAATGTGTGCAAGCTGTAAATATCACAGGAGCAGACCGGGTTAGAAGAAATGCCTGGGCTGTGTGTGGCAAGCTGAAGTTAACTACTGTTTGTAAGACGTCCAGGGACTGCTAGAGGCCGGTAGGCAGGAACAAAAGGCGGGTCAAAGTCTGGGTTCAGTTCCTACCCAAGCTAGGTGTGGAAACTACTATTTTAGGGCAGACATAGATTTCTCTAAGTTCCCCCCGAAGGACCCTGGCTTTTACTTTCCTCAGAACCAATGTGACATTTGATTATCGGCTGGAAAGGAATATAAATCCAGGGTCACATCCCCCCTCATATTTGAGTAGATGTTGTTACAGTCTAAAAGCCTCTAGCTTTCATCCCTATGTGTGGGGGAGTTGGAGGAGGTTGGGAATTTGGGGGGCTGACCAGAGTCCTGATGGATTAGTGGAAGCTTCTGGGTGATGGGTACTGAATGTTTCCCTTCTTTCTTTTATGAAAATCAGATGAAAAAAGAGGCAGAAAAGACTGCAGTAACCAAGGCTGTAGTTGCCGCCGATAAAGCCAAGGAACAGGAATTAAAATCAAGAACCAGAGAAGTGATTACAGCAAAACAGGAGCAGACGCACATAACTCAGGAGCAGGTGAAGGTGATTTTTGACTTGCGGTGCCCCCATGTGTCGATACAGATGATATTGTTTGTTTGTAACTCTGAAACAAGTTAATTCCAGGGCCATGTGTCTGGTTTCACATAGGTGACATCCTCATAGCATCTATGTGTATTCCTGAGCACTTGATACCAACACCCCTTAGCATCTCTGAGCATTCATATTTGAAATAAAATGAAAGCCTATGTCATCTAACTTAATAGTCACCTACACCAATCATAGGTTTAACTATGCAGCTGTGTCTAGGGAACAAACAGAGTTAAAACCAAAAAGATGACCTAGGCGCTGTGCTAGGTAGGATCAAGGGAGGATGGACAGGAAATCTGAGTAGGCTATTTTAAAAGCTTAGCACTGCTTGCTGATCCTTGGACATTAGCACATGGGTTTCATACGAGATGCACAGCATGATATAGAGTAAGTCAAATGGTCAGAGACGGGATTAGAGCATCTGGGGACAGATGGGAGACAGCTTCCTGATAAGGCTCTTGGCTAGTGGAGCCGAATGTCTGCAGGATGGTTTGAGAGGATAAATTCTCAAATCCCTTTTTACCCTGTGGTGTGAGTTTCAGTGCTAAGATACCCGAGGATGGGATCAACTCACTCCTTGGACATCAGGTGGAAGCAAAACATCCTCTGTGGCTTAGGATTTGAGCAAGACTCTGCCAAAGATAGATGCCAAACATACTGTCCCATTGTGTCTCAATTTTAGATAAGCCTTGATATTCAAAACCGTTATCATATTTAGAAACGTGTAAAACAAAATATAATAGAAAGGCAGATGAGTGTAAATTATTCTTGGATTCTCATATTAAAATAAAGAGCCAGGCAAAATTACTTCTTGTGACTTCCATAGTCAAATTCTGAGCTCTAAAATTACTTTCAGACAACAAAATTAGCACCTAATTAAATTACCTATAACCATCTATGGAGGGCACAAATCTTGTTAAGGTAAATTACAACTGTCTACAAAACAAGCAGTCTTGAATCCAGCGATCCCTTTCCTCTAAAGAGACTTACTGTGTATAGAGTTCAGAGAGAGAACAAATGTGTTCTTATTAATTAAGAGATGATGATTCAATTAATGATATCTCCAGAAAGGGAACTTCACACCTCCAGATTCCTACATTGTTGCGTTTAATATGGTGATAGCCACATTGGAGACTGGGAAACAATGAGATTCTGTTTTTGATCATTGATTACAGATAAGAAAAGAAACTGAAAAAGCATTTGTACCAAAGGTAGTGATCTCCGCAACCAAAGCCAAAGAGCAAGAAACTAGAATCACAGGAGAAATGACCCTGAAACAAGAGCAAAAGCAAATAACTCAAGAAACAGTAAGTCTGGCTTTGTGGGTTTTACAAACGGCCCATTTCCGACCAGCTGCATGTACCTTAGCCCAGAGCTTCAGACCCGAATCTCTGCTCTCTCTTTCCCTCCTCCTGTCTGCCTGTGTCTAGAGTTGAAACCTCTCCCTGGTGGGAATTGTTTTCTGTGTACTGTTTTGTGCCCGCACCACCAGTTCATGCAAACTCTCCTTGAAGAGTTCGGGAGGTACATCCTTAAGCTTTCTAAGATCATAGATCAACAGAATATACACCTCGATTCTGCTCACTAGCTACTAGCCTGTCAGTTTTGGACACGTAGCCTGAGCCCTTTGTCACTCAGATTGGGACCTTCAGCCTTCGTGCAGTGATGAGGTACACGCCTGCATGCACCTGCTGGCACACAGGCACATACCTGCGTCCCAAACACTCTGAGCAGCAAGAAAAATGTTGGACTTCAGAGAAGACAGTGCCCATAATTCCTGGGAAGTTAAGATATAGGAAACAGGAAGACAAATTTGATGTCACCGAAGTCTACTTTTCTCCCCTTTGTCACCAAACTTTAAGGGACAGGGGTTTATATTTCAAGTTCTTTGACCCATTCTCTTCTCGCAGCTGTTGGCTAATCCAAGAGCTACTTTCTTTAAAGTCCATTTGAGAGCATTGTCATCTAAAGGGTTAACCAGAGTCAGCTGCCCAGGTGTTGCTTACCTCATCTTCAGGATAAAAGAGCCTTCTAGTGACCCAGGAATCATGCTAGGCAGTATTTTGAACATAGGAATCCCTATGGCCATTGTAACATTGCTGATTGATGAGTTCAGTCAGTGGGGTTTTTCAGCCAATCAGCAGCACCCGTTCTTAACATGTCAGCATAGCCCAAAGACATCACATCTTGGCACAGTGTATTAAGGGACAACTTGGTAGAGAAGTTCATTCCTAGGAAAACACACGCTTAGACCTCTAAAATGGGGATGTGACATCTTTACCTCATCACTAAGTCTTTAGTATTCTGAATGTAGCCTAGCCATCTTACCATTTCTTTGAACTTCATTTTACTCTACAAAATCAGATAAGACAGGAAGCGGAGAAAATTGCTGCATCCATGGTGGTGGTTGCTACAGCCACGTCCACAAAACTAGATACAGCCGTGGGCCTTCAAGAAGAAACTGCCATACAGCAAGGTCAAATGCACCTCGCTCACGAACAGGTGACGACTTCTTGCTGGTGTGAAAGACACTCATGTGTCCTGTCACTCACAAGTCACCCATATTTTCATCACGGCTCTTAATCATCACTGTTCGTCTTCACAATCACACGAACCTTCACCGCCCATCTGGCTTTCACGGTCACTGTCATTCCTAACTCTCACCCTTTCTTTAGATTGCTACTAATAGACTATCATTCATCCCAGTGGCTTCCTATGGATCTAGACTCCAGTATTCAAGGCAAAAGTATGCATGGTTTATGTCTCTAACTGGAACTTCAAGTAGATTAAAATAGGCACAATGTTACAAAATGAAGGAGCATAGCTTAGTCTTTTCTTCCTAATACATGCTGTTTTAGCATTCTTGCCAGTGAAACACTATGAATGATCAAGACCATGCAGTAATGTGTAATGAAGTTCTAGGAGCAATAGGAAAACCTCTGCCTCTTTTCCAGTTAGGTTTTCTTATTAGAGGCTCATGAAATTTATTGACATTGTCTTACCTTTCTCTTGAAATCCTATGACCAGATGATGAAGGAAACTAGGAAAACAGTGGTACCCAAAGTCATAGTTGCCACACCCAAGATGAAAGAGCAAGATTTAGTATCAAGAACTAGAGAAGCCATCACTACCAAAAGAGATCAAGTCCAAATAACTCAGGAGAAGGTGAATGCAGATATTTGAGATGGGAAAACACCTAAGTTAATCTCTAGTAAAACATTAACTATTGCATAGTATGAATTATTAATCTGTTTTCTTTTTAAATTCATAACTGAAAATAGTAAATATGCAACTGAGTACCATTAACTTTTCCTTCATATTGATATTCACGCACCTGTAATACCTGTCATTCGTTTTGTTAATTGTTATTATTCGCATGAGCATTGGCATTTTAATTTAATTTCTAAAAGCAGTATAGGGAAGCATCTAGAAATGATTTTGCAGATAACATTGCTAAGTTCTGTGATTCTCAGTCTTTCAATGTAAGCACTGCTATGTGAGTATTTAACTCTAAGTGAGTTTATCTTTGCATCCCACTAGCAGGGGAATGGAGTGTGTGAATTTGTGTGTGTGTCGGGGGGGGGGGGGTCATTCTCTGAGTGTCTGAAGCCCATACGACTTAAATTTTGCTTTTACCAAAATAATTAGATGAAAAAGGAAGCTGAAAAAACTGCCTTGTCTACAATAGCAGTTGCTACTGCTAAAGCCAAAGAACAAGAAACAGTTCTGAGATCTAGAGAAGCCATGGCAACTAGACAAGAACACATCCAAGTTACCCATGGAAAGGTGACTGTGTTATCCCAGTGTGGAATCCACGATAATCTATTAATCCCCCACCTCATGTGCAACCCCCACCATAACACATTAATACCAAACATCAACCTCCCTGTGTAGGAGACACTATTAACCACATTTATTTTTAGATAATTAAACAATTTGAAACTAAAAAGTGAAGTTATTTATCGTTGTGCACATTGCAACCTATTTCTTTTCCGGTTTGTTTTATCATTGTTTTCAACTTTTTATTGTTAACACCTAGAAATCCTCCGCAAGTTAGTGACTGAAACTGCGCGAGGGTTAATTTTAAGAGACTCAATGAACATAAAAAAAAAATTGTTGTATACCAGTAATGATGAGTCTGACAGTGAAGGATGTGTATGTGTGCCTCTGTGTATGTGTGTGTATGTATGTATGTGTGTGTGTGTGTGTTGAGGAGTCATGAATTCAGTGCATTATGCCACAATCTAAGGATTTATTTTAGTACCTATAATTTTTTTCATGTGAAACTTTAACATTTTTTCGCCCGGTAACTATCAGAGGAAAGAAACAGAAAGCTATAGAGCCTGCTGTAGCAGCTTCCACTGAAACTGCACACGTTGCAGTATTGAGAAATCTGGAGAAAGATATACCCAAGCAGGACAGTTCTATATAAGCTATGAAAAGTTTTACCTCATCTATTTGCAGCTATACAAATCTCATGAATTAAACTATCTCCCATAGCTATAATTCTCTATAAATATGCTATCCACCCAAGTTTATTCTCTATTGGGGAATGGCCACTAAAGTTTTCAGTTTGTGTCTTGTTTATGTGTCCCCCAGTGTCAGTTTCTATCACAAGACCTTCAATTAATTTTTTTTCTAAAACGAGATTTAAGATAACATTCAAACTTTTATCTAAGTCTAATATTTAAAGGCACATCTGCCTTCTGGAATTTTCATATGCAGCAAGTTTTACCATAAGTCATATTTCAAGAATTATGGTTGAATTTCATTTCTGTCCCCATTCACATAAATGTGTCTGTCTTTGTTTTGTTGTGGAATGGTAGCTAAGGGTGGAAGCTGAGATGATAAATGTCCCTATCTAAGTTGCTAGTGGCCACTGTAAAGCCTACTGAGCCAGCTACACGGCCAAGGACTGCAGAAGGACTGGCCATTAAGCAAGAACAAACATATTTGCAAGAAGAGCTGAAAGTTGTGGCGTGGAGGTGAACTGCGTTGTCTCTTCCCGTCATCAGCTCGTATGACGTCTCATCTGTCACGAGCCCGTGTGCTCCCTGTGCTCCACCTAATGGCTTTGCTTGTCAACAAAACGTGACAGATTATTAGACTCAGGCTGAGTCCTCCAGAGGCACAGTTAGCATCTCTAGTTATAAGAGACCACGCTACGTAACACTCTCCTTAAATTAATTCTCAACATTTAACTGGTGTAAATTGGGGTCTCCTGATCCAATTTGTGTTCATTCTTATCTGGGCTCCAAGAATAAAAAGGATATTTAAGTCTACTAAGAACTAAGAACAGCTACCAGAGTTGAATATTCATTTGCAATTGTCCACCAAGCAGCATATGTACATAGATTATATATATATATATATATATATATATATATATATATATATATATATATGTATATATGGTACATTTTTTTCACGATTTGAAATATATTGCCATAATTAAGATTTTGGAGCATACTTTTAAAATTAGAGGCAATATTTCTTGTCTCAGTTGTGTGATTTCTGGTCAACTGAAACCTTAAGTCAGATTTCTTGTCATTAGAATAAGGCTAAAACTTCCATAGGCTGCTTCATATCACAAGCTGCTCAGTAGGTGCCAAGAGATGCACTGGAAATTCGGTTTATCTAGACGAGTGATGTGTTTGCATTAGCGGTCTCTGTTGAAGACGAACAGGTGGGAACATCTGTAGCATCATCTAGTTACCCATGTGTTTTTATAAAAGAAACTACTGATAAAAACAATTAGCTGACTTGAGCCTCATGCATATATGTGGCGCCTTTGAAAATGCGACATGAAGGGGAGATGATCTTTGCAGCTTTCCAAAGCAGATTAGAGTTTTATTCTTCTGAGGAGGAGATTCTCTCTAAAGCCTATGATTATAAAAGGCCTAGTCCCACCTTTTAATAGGCTTTGTTTATGCCTAAAGAATGGTCCGGAGGTTACTTTTTTAAAGGTATCTAGGTTCTATACTTGAAGCTCATTTCAGATGCACATTAGACCACAGTCATGGCAGAAGCAAAGACTGAAGACTAATGGAAGGGTCAGTCTTACGTCCACAATGCATTGGATGGTCACAGCCACATGACTATTTGGAACCTTTCCAGTGCCGCACAGAACTAAAAGATGTATGCCTCGTCAGCTGCTTCCCTTGCTTTATGAGAACGCCTTTGCAAATCGCGTTCCCGTTCACATTAATCAGATTCGTAGGAAGGAGAAAATAATATTTGTCTCTTTGCTTTAACTCCCAGCAAAGACGAAAGCAAATTGAACTTCAGTGTGAAAGGTTGTTCTCCTGAATCCAGACATGATAACGCTCTCATTTCAATCACAATGTTTTTCTTTGTGTGCCTTAAGAGAGCTGTTTTTCTAATAGATCGAACCCAGCTCATCCCCAGTGAGTCACGAGTAAATTCAGGCGTTCGTTCTCCGATCGGGAGCTTTCATTTTCTCTCACGTTTGCATGCAACCCTGTCGCTCTACAGCAATTGGTTTTTCTGGATGTGATGATGACAGTATTTGAGGATGCTTTTATCTTTGCTGTTGCCATGTCAGCGCCAGACTAGATGACTGACAAAATAATAAAAATAATCAATGAGGACAACCTGCTGCAAAGTTCTTCTTTCCCAGTTGCCAGCTGATTGTCTGTCTAGCCTAGGGAAATTGTTTGAAATACTCAAAACGTCCTTAGGATTTTATATCTATATTGTGTTGTGCTGTCTTGTGTCTCTGTGGTCTACTGTCTAGGATATAGCAGCTACGGGCAGTATATATAAGTAGGAGTCTCTGAAATGTTCTAATTAATGAAATATAAATTTTTGGAAGAGCCAAATTATGTTTCCGAGCAATTAACCTTTGTGTATAACCTGAGTACTCTGTAGTTATCACAGCCTTTACCTTTGTCTGTTCTGAGTAAGCCGGGGAGCAATCCCAGGAGAATGTCCCTGGGAGGAGATGTCCAGGTATGACTTTGACATCGCTTTCTGTTAACTTGGGAACCTTGTCTCCAGGTCGGCGTTGGGAAAAAGGCAGAAGCCGTGGCTACCGTTGTAGCTGCTGTGGACCAGGCCCGGGTGCGAGAACCTAGAGAGCCCGCACATACAGAGGAATCCTACACCCAGCAGACCACGTTAGAGTATGGTTACAAGGAACACATCTCTGCCACGAAAGTGCCCGAGCAGCCCCAGCGCCCAGCCTCCGAACCCCACATCCACGTTGTCCCCAAAGCAGTCAAGCCTGTCGTGATTCAGGCTCCTTCTGAGACTCATATCAAAACTACTGACCAAATGGGAATGCACGTATCATCACAGGTGAGTCCGCTACCGCATTTAACTGTGTGTGTGGGGGAGGGGTAGGGGGCAGCGATGCGTGCTGTGGGCACCTGGTGGACAGTGACGTCACCGAGTTTCATGTCATGTAGGTCAAGAAAACTACAGATGTATCAACCGAAAGATTGGTCCATGTGGATAAACGCCCCCGCACAGCAAGCCCGCACTTTACCGTTTCAAAAATTACTGTCCCTAAGACAGAACACGGATATGAGGTAAGATGTGGAACATAATAAAGATGGTTGACTCTAAAAGAACAGGTTCTTGCTTGTGGTGCTGGCATCTTAATGTAGCCAATTGGGTCCCTTTTTGGTAAGGTGCCAGTGTTCACAGTGGACTCAGATACCAGAACCCTGTCTTCTGGAAAAGGTCTTCTAGGGTGAAGTCAATAAAAGGTTGTTATCTTCCAGCCAATCCCAAGACAGGCTTCTCTGTCTCTTGTTTCAAAGATGGTTCAAACTCAGTAGCTTTGACCAATGTATGTCTTTCTTTTTCTTTTCTTTTTATTTGATTTTTGCTTTTTGAAACAGGGTTTCTTTGTGTAGCCCTGACTCTCCTGAAACTTACTTTGTAGACCGGCCTCAGGCTCGGAGATTTTCCTGCCACTGAGTTCTGATTGCTTGATAAAAGTCATGCGATACTACTGCTCGTCTTGATTAGTGCATTGCTAATCTTTTGTAAATGTTAGTAGTTTATATAATATGGTGCCTTATAAGCTATGGGACATGTCCAGTAACCTAACTGCATGGATTTTAATAAGAGTAGACAGTGGCAAGTCAAATATTCACATGATTCATACAGCAAAGTGGAGACTGTCTGTTTTCACTTGTCACATAGACTTTTGGCTATCAATCAAATGGGCAATTTCAAAATATTCTTAGAATTGTTCAATTAAAAAAATTAGTTTAAGTTTCCCTTTATAATGGTTCCCAGTGCAGCATTCGTTATTATCACATGACAGTTAAATTGGGTTGTGGATTGACACAGCCCTGGTCTAGAGTCCTGCTTCTGTTTCTTATTAGTCCTGCCACACGGGGAGACACATAACAATCCTCAATATTAATTACTAGAGTTTTTATGATAAGAAGTTGCCTTCTCTGTCCTCCAGGCATCATAAGCAAATGTAGAATGCTCATGTTTGGGAATCATCTCAAATAACTGCTGAAACCAAATAATCACACACATACCCCAGGATAGAAACAATAAGGGGCCTTTCCAAATACTGTTCCTGATGTCTACTTTTACCTTCCATGTAGACCTGTGGCTGACATCCAAGTGTGCAACCACAAAGTACTTATTAGAATTTATCGATATTCTAAATTTTATTCTGACTTTCCTGTTACAATACAGGTTTCAAATGTAGCGTTCATCAGAAGTGAGTGAAGGAAATTCCTCACTGAGCTCTAGAACAGCCATAACTTAAGGGGCACCTCATGCAACTCTTTACTGGAGCTGTTTTGAAGTTTTCTAGCTAAATAGAAATAACCACTAGCTTTATACGTTGGCTGACCTCTGCCTTTTCATTAACTATAAGAGAAATAATGAAAGTATTTGGTCACATAGAGAGTTTCTTGATCAAATATGTTAGAGCCAGCCATGGTTCATGTGTCTATGATGCCCACACACGGGGGCAGATAGAGTGAGGCCCGATACCAAGACACCAGTGCGGGGCATTTCTGATTGGCCCGTATAACCACAGCTCTGCAATGCCATCTCACTGCTCTTCCCTCCAGGCATCGATAGCTGGTACCGCTATCGCCACGTTACAAAAGGAGTTGTCCGCCACGTCTTCTACTCAGAAGATCACCAAATCGGTGAAGGCACCCACCGTGAAGCCTGGAGAGACGAGAGTGAGGGCTGAGCCCACCCCTTCGCCACAGTTCCCCTTCGCCGACATGCCGGCGCCAGATACTTACAAGAGTCAAGCTGGCATTGAGGTGAAAAAGGAAGTTGGGGTGAGCATCACTGGCAGCACGCTTCGTGAGGAACACTTCGAAGTACTGCGTGGCCGTGACGCCAAGGTGGGTCGCCGACAGGCCACGTGGGCGTTCGTCTCTCTTCCTGTGTTCACGCTCCATTTTATCAAGCATGCTATGGAAGGGAGATGGTTTTTGCAGAAATACTTTTATTACTTGGTGTTCGTCTCTCTTCCTGTGTTCACGCTCCATTTTATCAAGCATGCTATGGAAGGGAGATGGTTTTTGCAGAAATACTTTTATTACTTGGTGCAGGCTGCTGGCTCATGAGCTTTCCCTTCACCCTGTGGCGGTTTTGTAATCTCCTTTCTCAAAACTGTAGGTAACAGAAGCAGCCCGCGTGCCTGCACCTGCTGAAATCCCTGTTACTCCGCCCACCTTAGTCTCGGTGAGTAAACACATTGGCACCTTGGCCCCGTGCTCAAACCCCTTCAACATGTGCTAGCAAAGGTCAACTTCTCATACTTTCAGGAAAGTGCCTTAGTGAGGGACAAGCTCCGGCTTTCACAGGGTACCCTGTTTGGCCAGGAAAGGGGACTTCTGGCCAGGAAAGGGGGCTTCCACCCAGTAACCATCCTTCTGATTGTTTTTAATGATCCTGATATACGTATAGCATTATAGGAACTGAGGGGATGTAACGAGCAACTGGGCCCTCTGGAGCCTTTGACTCTCCACCAGGGGAATGTACAAAAACAGTTCATAAAACCCAGAAGGTTCTCAGCACCCTGGTGGGGGGAGCATGGGAGGATCAGCTTCAGTTAGGGATCCCGTGAAAAAGCTGTGTCAACAAATGGTGTTGGCTGCTGAGCCTTACAGCTTCTCTAGAATTGAAACGTGAAGATAACAGAAACCTCCTGGCTATGTGGCATTAATGTCATTCCTCTAGAGAGATAGGGACATGCCTGGCACTGATTTCAAGTTGGGAATATTCTAGTTTCCAAGTCTGTGCTAATTGTTCAGGAGTCCTCATCATAGGGCATCTGATGCCAATTAAAATGTTCAAGCCCCAACCATATATTCGACCTAATTTAGAGAGGTGATTAATGAATGTGTGCATTCCTTTTCTTCTCTTTTCAGGGCTTAAAAAATGTGACTGTCATAGAAGGTGAATCTGTCACCTTGGAGTGCCACATCTCTGGATACCCATCTCCCAAAGTGACATGGTACAGAGAAGACTACCAAATCGAGAGTTCCATTGATTTCCAGATAACCTTCCATAGTGGAATCGCTCGTCTCATGATCCGCGAAGCCTTTGCGGAAGACAGTGGACGGTTCACATGCAGTGCCGTGAACGAGGCTGGGACCGTCAGCACGTCCTGCTATCTTGCTGTGCAAGGTTGGTGGTGGCTTTCTTCCTTGATTCTCATGTCCATCCCCATTCGTGTCCTCTCTTTCAGTAGCCACATCCTTCAGGAGCAGTTTCTGTCCTGTGTGGAAGTTATAGAATAGATTACAGGGTCCACTGACTGTGGACGGCCTCTGCGGTCATGTGTGGAGCAGACTAGAGGCTCAGGCCAATGTCACCTTTTGTCTTCTAGTGTCAGAAGAGTTTGAGAAGGAAACAACTCTGATGGAGAAATTTGCCACAGAAGAGAGACGGTAAACCATTCTTCCCCCAGTTTAGATGCTGGTTTTGCATGGTTTCTTTCCTGTAGTTACTGGTCCATGGCTACCTAGCAGCTAATAGGAATGACATTCTCTTCCCAGCTTTGTCGAGTCACGGGACGTGGTCATGACGGACACCAGCATCACGGAGGAGCAGGCAGGGCCTGGAGAGCCTGCTGCGCCTTTTTTCATAACAAAGCCAGTGGTCCAGAAACTGGTGGAAGGTGGGAGCGTCGTGTTTGAATGCCAGATCGGTGGCAACCCAAAGCCCCATGTCTACTGGAAAAAGTCTGGCGTCCCTCTCACTACTGGATACAGGTACTCTGATGGCTGATAATAGCATTTCTATGGGGTGTTAGGTAGATATAAAGCTATATGGATATTTTAGAGAGTATGCATATCTCTCTATGGGGTACAGCTATGTGGATATTTTAAAGAGTATGTGGATACTTAGATACCCTAAAGAGAAATAGAACTTGCCTTCCCCTTCAACCCCTTAATGCAGATTCCCTAATAATTAAACCTTATTAGTTATGCTGAGGTGCTTTATATTCCCATGGTTTGAAGGATTAGTTTTGGTACAAGAGACTGACATAAGGCTTCTAGACAAGCACTCTACCATGTAACTATATTCCCAGGCTTTCACAGAGACTTTTTTTTTTTTTTGAGAAATAAAGCTTTGCAAGAAGAGGAGAGGGAAGACATATTCTACAATTCCAGCTTATTGAACTGATAGTGTTTTAAGAGAAAGTCTTACACACCCAATCCCAGAAAATATTTGAGGGAACGTTCAATAAATGCATACTATATTTAAGTTGCCTGACAATAAAAATGGAGATTATGTAATGGAGAAAGCTAGTTATGCATGAAAACCTGTGCTAATAAAGTTGTGCAGCTGAATTAAAGGGAAATGTAAACACATAGGTGTTATTTCTTATGAATTGGATCTACAATGTACCAGGGTCTAAATACTTAGGTATTTAGACTTTATAGACTTGATTCTTTTTACCTTTAAATAACTCACAAAGAGAAATAACGAACAAGGAGAAAATACCTATTGTTCAATGCCCACATCACTTGCCAGCATAAATGCTGAAGGTCAATATTTCTCTATGTGGCCTTGGATTCTGTTGTTTGTCTCATTGTGGCGAGTTTCCTGTGTTGCGCAGGCATGCCTGAGCTTCTGGGATCAAGCAAACCTATGTACCTCAGCCTCCCATGATCCTGAGACTATCAGTGCATGCTGCTATGCCTACCTGAGTCATCTTTGACATAAAAACTTAAAGTTTTGATCCTCCTTTATGAATCCCGTGCATTTTCTCAGTTTTCAACAGATTTATCCTCACTTCTCGGTAGAACGTACACGCAGGTCTCCTGTCAGTGAATTCTGTATCCTAGAGCCGTTCACAAGCAAATTTAGCTTTTTTATTCTAAGGAGGGTTGTTTATGACTGATGTTTTCATTTCTCCCTTCCCATGAAGATACAAAGTGAGCTATAACAAACAAACTGGAGAGTGCAGGCTGGTGATTTCTATGACGTTTGCGGACGATGCTGGAGAGTACACCATCGTCATTCGTAATAAGCACGGGGAAACTTCGGCGTCTGCCTCCTTACTCGAGGAAGGTGAGGACTGTCCTGAGCTGTCCCTGCCCAGCATGCACTGAATAGAAGGAGAGAGGCTGAGTATCTGCAGGAAGACAACTTGCAGCTTCCCAGCCCTCATAGTCACCCCATCCCTTTCAGCCTCAGCTACACAGACAATGTTTTAGACCACAAAGCCCAGGAAGCCATGCTGTGACTAAACTGTTGATCCCTGGCAGTAGTTTCTCTTTGGTGAAGGACTCTTTTTTATGTTCGCTGGAAGATGTAGGGGATTCCACCTCCACGTGCCTTACAGGTCCAGGCAGCTAGCATATCTCAACACGGCATGGTAGTGGCAAACTGGAGGATGCGCCCCTTGCTTCCAGAGAGCAGAGCCCTCCACCTCCCTTGTAGTGTGGCCTGGTAAACTTGCACCATGCTCAGTGCTGGAGCCCCCAGTATTTCATAGAAAAGCAAAAAGTCAGGATTTATCAATGTTCGTGATTTAAAGAAGAAAAATCTTGTAGCATTCATGCCGAAAACGTCGTGTTCTTGACTCGCCTTTAGTCTCTGGTATCTTTTCATAGTTGTGACAGGCCGTCCACATTCTGCCTCCCTTGATCCGCTCCAGGCCCCTTGAAGGAAGTTATCTTCTTATCCTCATTTAGCACATAAAGCACAGAAAACTCTGACAGGCAAATGGATGATTAATAGAGCAAATGAGGAAGACCTCTTGGCGAACCCCTCAGGATGGACTGCTGCTATCTCATCCTGTACTCAAGGGTGCTACTCGTTAATGGGCATTTGGTTTTGAGATAGAATCTAATACATATTTATAGAACAATTTTTCATGATTAAAAATTTGGAAAACCTGGCTTTGGTTAATTTATCCTGGATGTAGCCTGCCTGATTAGATAGTGGTATGAATGTTTTCTGATAAGAGCACCAAAAATTATCTTGTGTTCTTGTCTCTCAGCTGATTACGAGGTTCTGGTGAAGTCCCAGCAGGAAATGCTTTACCAGACACAAATGAGTACATTTATTCAAGAACCCAAAGTGGGAGAAATAGCTCCTGGATTTGCATATTCTGACTATGAAAAAGAGTATGAAAAGGAACAGGCCTTAATTAGGAAGAAAATGGCCAAAGACACTGTGATGGTCAGAACTTTTGTGGAAGACCAAGTAAGTATAACAATAACAGTTAACTAAACCAGTTCATAAACCACATTTTCCTCCCATAATTCCCATTTTTCATATATTCATCTTCAACCATTTGTAGGTTCTCTGATCTTCATGATATATTGCACTTGAAATTTGAGAGTTGGGAATATATATGTGAAAAAATATGGCTTTAGAAATGGGGATTGCATATTCAAAAAAGGCAAATATTAACATCACCAAGTCCATAATGCCAAGCTCTCTCTATCTCTGTGTCAAACACCCACAAATAACCCATACTCTTGGAATACAATTTTATATAACATGCCATAAAGATGCCGTCTATGTAGATTAAAATTAAACCAAATATAGAAAGCTTCTAGATTCTTCTAACAGTTACAAATGTCAATAAGTCTTTAACACTGGAACTAATATGTATCCTTAGAGGACTTCTACCTGTAAGGATGTGATTAACAGTTGTCATCTTTTTACTACATAGGAATTCCATATTTCTTCCTTTGAAGAGAGGCTTATTAAAGAAATAGAATACAGAATCATAAAGACTACATTGGAAGAGCTTCTTGAGGAAGATGGCGAAGAAAGGATGGCAGTTGACATTTCAGAATCTGAAGCTATTGAGTCAGGATTTGATATAAGAATAAAAAATTATAGAATTCTTGAGGGGATGGGTGTCACTTTTCATTGCAAGATGTCTGGATACCCATTACCCAAGGTAAAATAAAAATGTGTGTGGGGTGTGCCTCCACACTGTGGTAGACATCAGGAAATTATACCATGGTTGTTTAATCCTAATTTATCCACACGTATATGATGTTCTCTGCAGATTGCATGGTACAAAGATGGCAAGCGCATCAGACAAGGGGAAAGATACCAAATGGACTTCCTACAGGATGGCAGAGCCAGTCTGCGTATTCCTGTTGTCCTCCCAGAAGATGAGGGCATCTATACCGCATTCGCCAGCAATATTAAAGGAAATGCAATTTGCTCAGGGAAGTTATATGTGGAGCCTGCTGCACCGTTCAGCGCGCCAACTTACATGCCCACACCAGAAGCAGTCAGCAGAATCAGGTAAGACGTCTACTCGGAGTTAAGTGGCATTCAAATGGTTTTAGAACACCGAACATCCCTGTAGAGAATTACTAACATATGAAAATTAAAGACTGAAATAATACAGAAGCCAACCACTGGTGATGCTGGCACTTGCTCTTTGATGAACGAAGAATCTTCATCAGTATAGCAAACTATTTTCCTATATATCTAAGGCAACAACAATGCCTGTTCATTTAATGTGTGATCTTAATGAATGATACCCTGAATTTAGAAAGCAACCCTACATTGGAGTGGGTGTTATTGCTATTTTGAAAATGGTAACACTGAGATTCCAAGAGACTTTGAAAAATCAATTTAGTTCATCCAGGCTAATAGTCACATTATAAATGCAAGCTAGTCTGAATACATAATTAGTGTAGCATTTTGCACTGTTTGTTAGCAAATCCAATTTTTATATTTTTCTTCCTCTTAGATTAAAATAGATTTTCTATTTCTCTACATTTATTTATTTGGCTCAAACAATGAGCAGTTGCTGACATAGTTTAGTAATTTAATCATGAAAATGTAATGACTAATTTAGTTAGAGGTGAAATGGAAAGATGGTAATACGGACTGCCTAAGATTTTGAGCCTGGGAACCTGGGTGTGTTGAGTGACATGGGTTTAACATAAGCAAAACGCAACTTTAGGAATAATAATATATTCCTCTTTGAGTTTAGTGTGTCTAGGGTGAATTCTAAAACATGCAGAAGTACATTCCAAAGTAACAGCGCCAATTAAGACAGAGTTTTTTTCTGTGCTTCCTGAATGCTTCATGAAATAACGGTTTTCTTCATTTTCCAGGTCTGTCTCTCCACGTTCAGTGAGCAGGTCACCCATACGCATGTCTCCTGCGATGTCCCCTGCACGAATGTCCCCCGCACGGATGTCACCTGCGCGAATGTCCCCTGGACGCAGACTGGAGGAAACAGATGAATCACAACTGGAGAGACTGTATAAGCCAGTCTTTGTGTTAAAACCTGCGTCTTTCAAATGCTTAGAAGGACAGACTGCCAGATTTGACTTAAAGGTTGTGGGTAGACCCATGCCAGAAACATTCTGGTTTCACAATGGTAAGCATGGTAAAGCTTCACCCATGAGTCACTGAACACAGAAACAAACTTTTATGTGTATTCCAACTATGCAAAAAAAAAACCCCACCTATTTTGTGTTTGCTTATTTGTAACAGGAGAGCAAATTGTCAACGATTATACACACAAAGTTGTCATTAAAGAAGACGGAACCCAGTCGCTGATTATTGTTCCCGCGTCACCCAGTGACTCTGGAGAATGGACCGTGGTTGCCCAAAACAGAGCAGGAAAATCTACAATATCTGTGACTTTGACTGTGGAAGGTAAAGCGAGAGTTTTTATTAAAACGAAAGCAAACTGTTTCTTCATTTGGGGTCACAACCAGGCACTCCCGCCCCCAGCTGCTCTAAATCGTGGCTTTTCTCTTGCAGCGGTGGAACACCAGCTCAAACCAGCATTTGTGGAAAAACTGAAAAATGTCAACATAAAGGAAGGTGCCAGGCTTGAAATGAAAGTCAGAGCTACGGGTAACCCCAACCCTGACATTGTGTGGCTGAAAAACAGTGACATTATTGTGCCTCATAAGTACCCGAGGATCAGGTCTGTTTGAAAAGATAGTCAAATTAAACTTCTTATAAAATCCAGCAGTGAAGTAAGCAGAAAGTGCCGCCACTATATTAATGGTTTTGTTTTCATGTTTTAAAACAGGATTGAAGGAACCAAAGGAGAAGCTGCCCTGAAGATCGATTCCACCATCAGCCAAGATTCTGCCTGGTATACCGCCACTGCTATTAATAAGGCAGGCCGGGACACCACAAGGTGCAAAGTCAATGTTGAGGTTGAGTTTGCCGAACCCGAACCGGAAAGAAAATTGATCATCCCACGAGGGACGTACAAAGCAAAGGAGATTGCTGCCCCTGAACTGGAGCCCCTCCATCTGAGATATGGCCAAGAGCAGTGGGAAGAGGGGGACCTCTACGACAAGGAGAAACAGCAGAAACCGTTTTTCAAGAAGAAACTCAGTTCCCTCAGGCTGAAGCGCTTTGGACCTGCCCACTTTGAATGCAGACTCACGCCGATTGGTGACCCCACAATGGTGGTCGAGTGGCTCCATGACGGAAAGCCACTGGAGGCGGCCAACAGGCTGCGTATGATTAATGAATTCGGATACTGCAGCCTTGATTACGGAGTTGCCTATTCTCGAGACAGTGGTGTGATCACTTGCAGAGCCACTAACAAATACGGGACCGATCACACGTCTGCCACACTTATTGTCAAAGATGAGAAAGGTCTAGTGGAAGAGTCTCAGTTACCTGAGGGGAAGAAAGGCTTACAGAAAATTGAAGAGCTAGAGAGGATGGCTCACGAAGGCGCCCTCACAGGTGTGACCGCAGATCAGAAGGAAAAGCAAAAGCCAGACATCGTCTTGTTCCCAGAGCCAGTGAGAGTGCTCGAAGGCGAGACAGCCCGATTCCGCTGCCGAGTCACCGGCTATCCTCAGCCCAAGGTCAACTGGTACCTCAATGGACAGCTCATCCGCAAGAGCAAACGATTCAGAGTTCGCTATGATGGGATTCATTATCTGGATATTGTGGACTGCAAATCCTACGATACAGGTGAAGTCAGGGTCACGGCAGAAAACCCTGAAGGCATGATAGAGCATAAAGTAAAACTTGAGATCCAGCAGAGGGAGGATTTCAGATCCGTCCTCAGGCGAGCTCCTGAACCAAAGCCAGAGTTCCACATCCATGAACCAGGGAAGCTTCAGTTTGAAGTGCAAAAAGTGGACAGACCCGTCGACAGCAGCGAAACCAAAGAAGTGGTAAGACTAAAGAGGGCGGAGAGGATCACCCATGAGAAGGTGCCCGAGGAGTCCGAAGAACTGCGCAGTAAGTTTAAGCGCAGGACAGAGGAGGGGTACTACGAGGCTATCACGGCCGTGGAGCTCAAGTCTCGCAAGAAGGATGAATCTTATGAAGAACTCCTCAAGAAAACCAAAGATGAGCTGCTACACTGGACCAAAGAATTAACCGAAGAGGAGAAGAAAGCCCTCGCCGAAGAAGGCAAAATCACTATTCCAACTTTCAAACCCGAGAGGATTGAACTTAGCCCTAGCATGGAGGCACCCAAAATCTTTGAACGAATCCAAAGCCAGACAGTTGGCCAAGGATCTGACGCCCACTTTAGAGTCAGAGTTGTGGGAAAACCAGACCCAGAATGTGAGTGGTACAGAAACGGTGTGAAAATTGAGCGATCTGACCGCATCTACTGGTACTGGCCAGAAGACAATGTGTGTGAGCTAGTCATAAGGGATGTGACTGCAGAGGACTCTGCCAGCATCATGGTAAAGGCCATCAACATAGCTGGGGAAACGTCAAGCCATGCGTTCTTACTTGTCCAAGGTAATCAGAAAATGTTTCATACAACTGTGCTCTCTCTACACCCATGAATATCCTGTGACATACTTAAATGTTTTTCTTTTCCCATTATTCAAATTGTTTGAGTTTAATTTTCTTTTTTCCCCTTGTAGCCAAGCAATTGATCACTTTCACACAAGAATTGCAAGATGTTGTTGCTAAAGAAAAGGATACCATGGCAACATTTGAATGTGAAACTTCAGAACCATTTGTCAAAGTAAAATGGTATAAAGATGGCGTTGAAATTCATGCAGGAGATAAGTATAGGATGCACTCTGACCGAAAGGTTCACTTCCTGTCCGTGCTGACCATTGACACATCCGATGCCGAAGACTACAGCTGTGTACTTGTGGAAGACGAAAATGTCAGAACAACAGCCAAACTTATTGTGGAAGGTAAAAGAAATAATGACTACATTGTTTACTGGAGTCATTCTTTATTCTGTGATAAAATTATCTAGACCATAGCTCCTTTCACAAAAATAATTTTAGAGAATTGGATGCAAATTTTGTATCAAATATCAATTTATATTGTTAATCAAAATATTGACAATTTGGATTTTTTAAAGCAGTGTTGTTTTGTGGCCTCACTTTAAAATGTCTTAATTGAAATATATCTCCCTGCTTCCAAAAAATTCAAAAATTAAAATAGCTGATTTGTGGTAAACCTTTCTCGACTCACTAGCAGGAAGATACAAAAGACAATTCTTGAAAGTAGGAGAGGAAGATAATAGATATAGAAGGCAGCATCTCTATCCATACTCTAGCTTCATAACTCACCAAAGACATTAATTCACCTTCATCTTATTTTTCAGGTGCAGTTGTTGAGTTCCTGAAAGAACTTCAAGACATAGAAGTTCCAGAGTCATCCTCAGGAGAGCTAGAGTGTATTATTTCCCCAGAAAACATAGAAGGCAAATGGTATCACAATGATGTGGAGCTAAAGTCCAATGGCAAATACTCCATCACATCCCGCCGTGGGCGCCAGAACCTCACAGTCAAGGATGTAACCAAAGAGGACCAGGGCGAGTACAGCTTCGTGGTTGATGGGAAGAAGACAACCTGTCAACTGAAGATGAAACGTGAGTCTTCCATCCCTGACACTATAGTGTGCAGCAGTAGGGTCAAGGGTGGAACCATGACACTCATTTTCCCCATCTTTCACAGCCCGGCCTATTGCGATTCTCCAAGGACTTAGTGATCAAAAGGTCTGCGAGGGCGACATTGTTCAGCTTGAAGTCAAAGTCTCCCTAGAAAATGTGGAAGGCGTCTGGATGAAAGATGGCCAAGAAGTCCAGCAAGGCGACAGGGTTCACATTGTAATAGACAAACAGTCCCACATGCTGCTTATTGAAGACATGACCAAAGAGGATGCTGGGAACTACTCCTTCACTCTCCCTGCCCTCGGACTGTCTACCAGTGGGCATGTCTCTGTCTACAGTGAGTCTTATGTGGTTTTATGTTAATTCTTCTCCTTTAAAAAAATTGATGCCAGGGATCAAACTTGTGGTGTTTCACACACAAGGCAGGTCTCTATGATGAGCTATAACCCCAGATCTAGTTTTGTGTTCCCGTTGACATTGAGCTGAGGAACTCGAATGTGCAGATGTTTTAAACAAAACTCACATTCCTACAATTTCTTGGTCTTCCTTTGCAGGTGTGGATGTGATAACGCCTCTGAAAGATGTCAGTGTGATAGAAGGTACCAAGGCTGTGCTGGAATGCAAGGTCTCAGTCCCTGATGTGACTTCTGTTAAATGGTACCTCAATGATGAGCAAATCAAGCCTGATGACCGCGTACAATCCATTGTCAAAGGCACCAAACAAAGACTTGTGATTAACCGAACTCACGCTTCTGATGAAGGACCTTACAAGCTGATGGTCGGCAGAGTGGAAACTAGCTGTAACCTCTCTGTAGAGAGTAAGGACTGTTCCATGTAATGAGCCACTGCTTTAAGCATTTTACATTCTCGCTGTAAAAATAACTGCCCAATATTTTCCTTTTCTCTAGAAATTAAAATCATCAGAGGTCTCCGTGACCTGACATGCACAGAAACTCAAAATGTGGTCTTGGAGGTTGAGCTGTCCCATTCAGGAATTGATGTCTTATGGAATTTTAAGGGCAAAGAAATTAGGCCCAGTTCTAAATATAAAATTGAAGCTCACGGGAAAATATACAAACTGACAGTCCTGAATATGATGAAGGATGATGAAGGAGAATATGCATTTTTTGCCGGAGAAAACACAACGTCTGGAAAACTTACCGTGGCAGGTTTGTGTATTGATCATTCCATCTAAGATCTTCTGGGGAGCCACTATTGTAATATAAAGATGCTGTTTCCCATCGGTTTTCAAATGCTCATCTGCTTCTCACCGCCACGCCTCTTCTCAGGGCTGATCTCAAGGCTGTTCACGCCCTCACTTTTGCTATCCCAGCCTACATTGTGCGCATTCACCCAGCCCTCCCTCAGATGCCATCTGTACATCTGTACGTCACTCTCAGGTGCCAGTTCCTCCACTTATTTCTCCAGTCCTGGACCCCCTTGTCTTCAACTTTCATGACCCTTGTTATACACGTAGCTTATTCCCTGTTTCCTTTCCCAACACCAAAGCGTATGGCCCTTGAGCAGAGAACTGATTTCTTCTTTCTCTTCTCTGTGTACTCCTCAGGATACACGATGAATAAATGTTTGCTAAACCAAGCTTTGTTTTAACTTTGCTTCACGGTTCATTTTCTCAGCATTCTTTATCCTCCAAACATATTCCTCTTACTTCATTTTTGTGGACCCAATGACTATTTTCCATTATAAATATAACTTAATTCCTTTGTGTGTTTCATGGTGGGAGGGGTAAGCATAGCCTTTCCCATTCAGCAGAAATTCTTATCTTTAGAATGAAGACTCATAATTATAGTTGGCTTGTCCACACAGAAGTAGACGTCATCATTAACCATTATGGTTCATTACAGTGTGAGTTCTGAGGAACTGTATTCTGCTCAGATTTGACTCTTCTGGTATCTGAGCAGGTCAAATGATAAAAATGAGTCCTACTTGATGTGAAAGTCTCATGATTTGTACTTTATGACATATGTCTTTAGCGATTTAGCCATAAAAGACCTATTAAATAAAATCTCAGGCCCTTTACATTTATAAGATTATTTTCTGTATCACTTTAAGTATATAAAAAGAGAAGACTTAAGTCCCTATGTGATTTCACTTGGCATTTTAAAAATACCTAGCATAGGCAATACATCACTAGAAACTCAAAACACAAAATTGAAGTGTGTGTCTTTCCTTGAATTCAGGATTTAGAGGAAAAGAGGTGCCTAAGCAGCTAAGTAGTTAAAGCAGTTACTGTTGCTTCTGATGATGGTGGGGTAAAGGGACACTAGAAAATATTGGAAATGACATTTCAACTCGAGAATTTGGGTATACAAGAAATATATTTAAAAAACACCAGTGAAAGCTGGACACGATGGTTCAATGCCTATAATCCCAGTACTTGGAAGGCTGAGGCAGAAGGATTCCCATCAGTGTGGGGGCCAAACTCTGTTACAGAGTAAGGCATTGTCCCAAACAAGTGGGCAATAAACACACTATTGACTTTGACATCTTGTTCAGCAAAATTTTCCTGAGTATAAAACAAATATGAAGAAACTAATTCGTAGAAGACCAAATGGAATGCTTTCAAAAACAAGGGATGGAGTTGAAAACTATCTGTGTGGAAGACCATGTGCTACAGATCTCAGAATTCTTTGTGCTGTTTTTCATCTTTGCACAATGTATTCTCTGGTTTTCAGTTAGGCATACTTAGAATAGGGAATTTCTGTGGTGCTTTCTAAATAGAGGTACAAGTGACTATTTATGTTTAAAATCATGATTTTAAGATTTAATGTTTAATGTTTAGTTGTGCAATGATTGCTTTAGCCTGTGGATATTTTAAAGAACTCACTTGTAACGCCACTCTTGTTCTGAAGGGGGTGCCATCTCCAAGCCGCTCACAGACCAGACTGTAGCTGAGTCCCAGGAAGCTGTGTTTGAGTGTGAAGTTGCCAACCCTGAGTCTGAGGGGGAGTGGCTGAAGGATGGAAAACCCTTGGCTCTGAGCACCAACTTCAGAAGTGAATCTGATGGCCACAAAAGGAAACTTGTTATTGTCGCTGCCAAGCTGGACGATGTTGGAGAATACACCTACAAGGTCGCCACTTCCAAAACATCTGCCAAGCTGAAAGTAGAAGGTCAGTCACGGATGGACAGGCTTTTCACCCCCAAATCCTGCCTACGTTCCTAACTGTTACCACCAGGAAAGTCAAACCCAATGGCCGTTTAGGGTCACATACATCTTCACTTTATAAGATCATTAGTTTATCAACTTTTCCTTATGAATTGTGTAGGAGAATGTGCGAATTTTCATCAGGTATATTTTGTGTGTGTGTGTGCACGCGCATTGCTGCATTGCTTAGGGTCTGTGCAAGAGCTGCATCAGACATTAATAATGCGTCCCTCTTGCACCCTTATCCATTCAGTCTATTAAGCTGTTAGTATATGATATGGAAACTTCAGATCACTGAAGTTAGCATAGTCATTGCACAATGTCCATTTCCAACTGAATCTCAGATTCTCTTAAGTAATTGCCAAGTGTCTTTTAAAATGAGGGGCTACAGAATTGTAAAATGTTGGCTAACCATTCTGCAAGCTGACTGGAGGTGATCACACTGAGAACCTCTTCTGTTTGCTGGTCATCATTAATATTTTCTAAACCAATTCTTCACTCTTCTGAAGCTGTCAAAATTAAGAAGACTCTGCGGAACCTCACGGTGACAGAGACACAGGATGCTGTCTTCTCCGTTGAACTTACACACCCAGACGTTAAAGGTGTCCAGTGGATCAAAAACGGAGTCATCTTGGATTCCAGTGACAAGTATGAGATCTCAGTCAAAGGCACACTGTATTCTCTGAAGATTAAAAACTGCACCCTGGCAGATGAATCTGTCTATGGCTTCAAACTGGGAAAACTAGGAGCCAGCGCCCGGCTGCACGTCGAAAGTAAGTTGACTTGAACATTGAATAGGTAGACAACCTGTAGTTGCCTTCGTGGTAATCCCATCACTGAATTTCTCCAACTTTCCCCATCAGCTGTCAAGATTATTAAAAAGCCGAAGGACGTGACTGCCCTGGAAAACGCTACCGTCGCCTTTGAAGTCAGCGTGTCCCACGACACAGTCCCGGTAAAATGGTTCCATAAGAATGTGGAGATTAAGCCGAGTGACAAGCACAGACTGGTCTCCGAGAGGAAGGTCCACAAGCTGATGCTGCAGAACATCTCCCCGTCTGACGCTGGGGAATACACGGCCGTGGTGGGGCAGCTGGAATGCAAAGCCAAGCTGTTTGTAGAAAGTAAGTGTGAGTTTGTAGTGAGTGAGTGTTCCCCGGGGACTCCTCTAGACTCGCTGCTGTCTTCCTTCCTCTGTGTTTAAACATGCATTAACGGAGCTGTTTTCTGATTCCCCCTCCCCCCAAGCACTGCACATCACGAAGACTATGAAAAACATTGAAGTTCCCGAAACCAAAGCGGCCTCCTTTGAGTGTGAGGTGTCCCACTTCAACGTTCCTTCCATGTGGCTGAAGAACGGTGTGGAAATTGAAATGAGCGAAAAGTTCAAGATCGTCGTGCAGGGGAAGCTCCACCAGCTGATCATCATGAACACCAGCACCGAGGACTCGGCAGAATACACTTTTGTTTGCGGCAATGACCAAGTCAGTGCTACCCTGACAGTGACCCGTAAGTAGATGCCTAACTATGTATGTGCGCGTGTATCTGGACGGGTGGTGTGGATATGAGCACATAACACACATATCTAAAGAGAGCAGACATGTTTTTCCATGTTCTACACCTTCATTTCAAATCATTTAATTTACTAAAAATTATTCTTGATAGAACATCTACTGTGTGCTCACGAGTCTCTGCTAGCCTCTCGGTGTGAATAAAAGTTTCTAATGATAATATAATAAAAAAATCTACTGTCTGTCACTGTGTTGTCCCTGTCACTCTCTCAGTTGGCCTTCTCTCACACGGGAGCAGTGTCAAAGCTCCTAGCCCTAAATTCTCATCACGTCAACACGTAAACAGGAACCATTCGACACACCGGTTCTGCATTGGCTACAACCCGCTGCCTAGTTCCATCACATACCCAGGTGTCTCCCCCTTTAATCCTCCTCTGCAGCTATCATGATAACGTCCATGCTGAAAGACATCAACGCTGAAGAAAAAGATACCATAACTTTTGAGGTGACGGTAAACTATGAAGGCATTTCTTACAAATGGTTAAAGAACGGTGTGGAAATCAAATCAACGGACCGGTGCCAGATGCGAACCAAGAAGCTCACCCACTCACTGAACATCAGGAATGTGCACTTTGGAGACGCTGCCGACTACACGTTTGTGGCTGGAAAAGCCACGTCCACAGCCACGCTTTACGTTGAAGGTATGACTTCCTAAATGGGTCCCCAAGAAAAGGACACTAAATAGACCACATAAAATATGACTCTTCCAATTAAAGAATAGACAACTCGGATGTGGTATGTCCAACCAATCGGGGTGGGAATTGAAATAAAAAGAAATTAGGAACCCAAACTAGAATATGGGTAAATGCCAGAAATATATGAAATGTAAGAGGCCAGCCACAGTGACACACATGCTGTATGCATCCGTTTCTATGAAATGGCTTTAATACATGAGTCTCACGAGACACAGATCATTAGCTTCAGTCTAGCACGAAATGATGGGAAGTGGATGTGATGGCTAAGAGCTGCCTGAGTTCTTCCTGAGAAAAATGAAGCGCCTGTAGAATGGTGGTGATGGCTGTACAATACACACAGCAGAAACCATCAAGTTATGTTCTTTAATATATATTGAGCTATAGCCTCTAAATCATAATATACATTGAATAATACACTCTCTAATAAATCAGGATTATCTAACCTTTGGTCTTCTCTGGGCCACATTGGCTTGGTCCTTACATTCATTAAATTCAGGGCGTCCAGCTGGGATATCCATGTATTAATTAACTGAAAACAAGAATACGTTCATTTTTCCATGGACTGGTAACAGGATGGAGTCCTGTTTATATTTAAGAACAAGGGGATAAATTTACAAAACGAGTTCCAAACCCCAAAATGTCTGAAATGTGTTTACAGGTTTCATGTTGGGCTACACTCACGGTTATCCTGGGCTGGAACCTGCCCCGTTCGTATCTGCAAGTCAGATGCCTCTGCAGGTGTGCAGATGGAATAGCATGTGACTTACATATCAATGACAATGTCGAGTGCTAATTTTTTATGCTCTGTTTTGCAGCTCGTCACATCGAATTTAGGAAACACATTAAGGACATTAAGGTTCTGGAGAAGAAACGCGCCATGTTTGAGTGTGAAGTTTCTGAACCCGACATTACTGTTCAGTGGATGAAGGATGGCCAAGAGCTTCAGATGGCAGACAGGTCAGCTACCTTGTCTTGCTGTCTTCCAGCCATTCCAGCTTCCTTCTGAGTCCCATACACTAAGCTCCAGTGTCCTTTTACCCACAGGATAAAGATTCAGAAGGAGAAATACGTCCACCGCCTCCTGATCCCATCCGCACGGATGTCCGATGCTGGGAAGTACACAGTGGTGGCAGGTGGCAACATGTCAACCGCTAACCTCTTTGTAGAGGGCAGGGACGTCCGCATCCGAAGTATTAAGAAGGAGGTTCAGGTATTGTCGACATATTGACAAATCATCAATAGTTCTTAATCCACTCTTATGCTTTAATTTCTGACCTTTAACTTTTATAATCTCGGCATTTTAAAGGTTGAAGTTAGCTTTTCCCTATTAGCTTGGGTTCTTAGGCTGCCGTTAGTTCGGTCACAGTTTCTTGTCACTCAGCAAGTACGTCCCTTAATTGCCTGTGCCAACCACCGTAACGTCCACTGTGCTTACAGTGCTTGTCCTTTTGGGTGCTGATCTTCCAGAGGACATGATGGAGGGAATGTGCTCTAAGAAATTCATTTTGAGTTCAGATGCATCATTTTTGTCTTCTAGAAAAAACTATCATGCTTTCGAGAGCTTGTTCTGTGTTTAAAACAAACACACACACAATGACTTGCAGCGAAGACTCACATGACCAGCCAGCCTCTCTTCCCTCATTTTCTAGTTCTGAACCCTGGTTTGCCCACTTTGAAGCTGAGGACAGTAATTGCTCTCTAGCTTACAGAGTTAGAGTTCATAGGATGTGAAATCAGATTGAAAGGTGGCTTCAAAGACCTCTATAAATAATTAAATTCCCCCAGATATAAAATATCATCATTTCAGTTATTATTTATTAAAGCACAAATGTTAGAAGACAAAATAATTGTCTCCTCGAGCATCCTGCCCTTATTAGCCCAGGTATAAGTTTGATTCCCGACACAAGAGGTTTGGGTACCATTCACCCAGAAATATGCAGGACAAAATTTACCCGTATTATAATCAGCCAACTCATGATGTCGTGAGGACCTGATTTTTCATGCTTTTTAAGTGAAATGGATTAACTGAACCGGAAGCAGATTCATCTCCAGTCTTCTCGTTTTGCCGCTCCATCAACAGGTCATTGAGAAGCAGCGTGCCGTGGTGGAGTTTGAGGTCAACGAAGATGATGTTGATGCCCACTGGTATAAAGACGGCATTGAAATCAATTTCCAAGTTCAAGAGAGACACCAGTATGTGGTGGAGAGAAGGATTCACCGGATGTTCATATCTGAGACCAGACATAGCGACGCAGGCGAATACACCTTTGTGGCCGGAAGGAACAGGAGTTCTGTGACTCTCTACGTCAGTGGTACGTGGTCAGACTTCCGTGGCTGTGGTTGCATCTGGAATCCACTTTTATGCCACCACCACAGTGGCGGTGACTGAGAATTTTCAGACTAGCCCATGGCACTCATCTGGATGTAACTGTGTTTGTGTCCACATCAGCCCTGTGGAAAAAAGAGCAGCTGCTGAGAGGGCTGCTGAGATGTCATTTCCAGGAGGCGCCTGCTGGCCGGGGCTTCATTTGTTTGATTGACACTACTGAACATCCACTGTGTGTCAGTTATAATATACTCCAAATGGCTGTCCGTATACGGCATTAAGCTGTCGTAGTTCTCTGTCCTGACTGTTTAAATGTAAATAACGTTACCATACAAGCCATGGAGACATTTTCAGTCTTCAGTGTAAAGCTTGGGGAAACCCAGAGATATCCTTGGAGACCCTGGTGTACCTAGAGAGCCACAGGCAGGATGAGGCTCTGCCCCAGGCTCGAAGATCAGTGCTTTGCCTTTGGGAGTGAAATTCCTCATGCTCCCGGGAGCTTCCTGATCGTCCTCAGGAGGTTGTCAGTGAACCTCTTCTGTCCTCATTAGAAATGCCATTGCTGAATTTAAAGCTTGACAGGAGAGCCTAACCTAGACACGTAGGAAAGAGTGGAACCTGCCTCCCAGCCGCGTCTCTGGCTGTCTTGGAGAAAACTCCCGCAAGTCAGGTGGAGGGGTGCTAGTTGTCTCAACATTCATAAAGATGATCCTCTGGCCCTATTCCCTGGTTTCCCTGAAAGATGCAGTTGCCATGACAGCCAGTTTTGTTTCCTCTGTAGTTGCAGCAAAGAGGTGGAAGAGTGGAGAAGTAGTACCAGATGCAGCCCCACAGAAGCCCTTCTCCCTGTTAGTGCTCTCCTCATCCAACACCGAGGCTACAAAGATTAACATAATCAGAAAGCTAAATTTTTAAAATCTACTTATTGGCACTCATATGGAGTAGTGTTCAACCAGCTGATGTTCACACCCCACCAGCCTCTGTATGTAACAGGGTCACTGTGGCATACACATACATAAATACTTGTAAAGCATATGAACTTGAATGTGATATTTCAAGTTCAAATGACTTTTAAAACCAGGTAAGATATGGGAATTGTTCTAGATTTTTAGCTGTCCAGGGGTGTGCACCACCAGTGACCCAGAATGATGATGTCATACTTAGGTGCCTTACGCCTCTCAGCACCTCTTATGAAACTTTCGAAAAAAAGCGTTCTAAAGTTATTTCCTTTCCTTGAAAGGAAAAAGAACCTTTTGTCATGCAAAAAATATTCGGATATTCTGAGGCAAGTAAAGATAACACAACGCCGAGGTTTTGTGTCTCTAGACACATAGTCCTCTTGAAACAAATGAGTGGAGAGTTGCCTGCTGTCTACTGTTCTCCTTGGTTCTCCTTCATGGCTGTTTCCTGGCATTGTCTTCTAGCTCCTGAACCACCCCAAGTCCTGCAGGAGCTCCAGCCCGTCACCGTGCAGTCCGGCAAGCCCGCTCGCTTCTGCGCGGTGATATCAGGCAGACCACAGCCCAAAATTTCCTGGTACAAGGAGGACCAGCTGCTTTCCACCGGCTTCAAGTGCAAGTTCCTCCACGATGGGCAGGAGTACACGCTGTTGCTCATTGAGGCCTTCCCGGAGGATGCGGCTGTCTATACCTGTGAAGCCAAGAATGACTATGGAGTAGCCACGACCTCGGCTTCTCTTTCTGTGGAAGGTAGGAAGCTGACCTGAAGCTCTCCCAGGGGAGGAACAGTGGATAGCTACCCACCTCTAAAGATACTCTCCTGTGAAAGCCGCGGGCATCCAATGGGGAGAGCTACGAGGACACATGACAAATTCTGTGGTTTCTTTCTTTAGTTCCAGAAGTTGTGTCTCCAGATCAGGAAATGCCAGTTTACCCCCCTGCCATCATCACTCCTCTTCAGGACACGGTCACGTCGGAGGGGCGGCCAGCACGTTTCCAGTGCCGAGTCTCGGGAACAGGTAGGGTCCTTGCTGGTGTTTACACAAGATGGTGTTTGCACAGTGTTCTTCATCCTTTCCTCCTTCCGGAAGATCTCTCATGAGTGATTTAAATCTGAGTGGACATTTGGCAGCAGATATAATTATTTGATTATTTATTTTGCCTGCATCTATGTCTATGTGAGGGTGCCAGGTCCTCTGGAGCTGGAGTTACAGACAGTTGTGAGCTGCCATGTGGGTGCTGGGAATTGAACCCGGACCCTCTGGAAGAGCAGCCAGTGCTCTTAACCTCTGAGCCATCTCTCATTCCCTTAGAATTGTTTAATTAAGAATATATCATTATTATATATACTACTGTTTTATTGTTTTATATGTATATTATTATATACTGCCTTGCTTTGTGTCCTTAAAAATTGTTAAAGTAGCACAACTATTCTTTCTGAAAAATCTTTGAAGATTTTTCCACAAATGTCTTACAAACATCCAGCACCCTTATGATTGTAGCTACATTATACAATCTTAATGGGGGGGAAATTATGGCAAAGCTGGCAATTGTCATGAGTTTATTGTAACATTTTCATAGATTTCAGGAGAAGCCATTTCCATGTGAGGCATTATTGAGCCTATGGACAATGCGTGTGGGAGGTATAGTCCCGTAGTAGACAAAAGTGTAGGCTTTAAACTCAGGAGAAATCGGAATTGTGGATCCAGGGCGTTACCTACACATGTATTTACGGTGTTGTTGGTTTTTTTTCCCCCCTCATGAACATAATGAGAAAACTATTACATTAAAACTTAGAATGTATGTCTCATGAGAGCAGGGGTTATGGCTTAGTGTCTAGATTCTGGTGTCTGGATCCTAGAGCAACCTCCAAGGGAAGAGACTCCAGGAAAGCAAGAGGACCCTTTCCCTAAAATTATATTTTTTGTCCATAGCAGATACTCAGTGGAAAATTGGTGATGGCTGAAATAGATACTGCGAGATGGGTAATATCAACCCTTTAAATTTATACACCAGGCTGCTTATTAAATAGATCTCTAGGCAGCATCTGACACACTGTTCACACAGTACCACCGTTCAGGGTTATCCGCTTCCATTTCGACCGTGGGCCTGTTTCTCCAATGTCACCAGCCATTCCCTGCACTTGACTTTGAGAAGAAAATAGTTTAAAAAGTGTAGGAACGATTGCAGCGTGACCTCAGACGCTCACGAGATAAATCAAAGGAAGGAATGATTGATTTACCACCGATGAAAATGACTTCACTTTTTTCTTGGTTTTTGTTTGGCGACCCTACTGGGGAACTCTCCAGTCTTGGTAGTTGTTGTTTTGTTTATTAGGCTTCTTCCATTAAGAGTTTGTAACCCAATTTCTGCCTTGCCCACAGCTATTTTCCTAAACAAGTTAGGATTTCAATAGATCTTCTGACCTCATGGCGTCCTCCTCTGGGATGGAGATGCTAATCAAGAAACCTAATAGACCTGCTCGGTTTATGAGCATAATTAAAGCATGATGTATGTACGGCACCTGTAGGCATGGCTCCCGACTGACTGCTGCTAATGCATTCATTTATTACAGCCTTGGAGGCTCGCACTGGGTATAAATGTGGGCAAGTTCTATGGACTTTGTGTCTTTGACGTGTAGTTTTTGAGACATGCTGAATACCAGTACATAGAAGGTAGTTTGATAATGTTCTTCTAATGCAGTAATTTCATTTTAAAATGCAATATACCATATCTGTACCACACACACACACTATACTTTCAGAGTAGGGAGGAAGGAAGCCTTGAAGCCCGAGTGAACAATCTCAGGCTGCTGTCTCGCTAGGAAAGCATTCTCTGCTGCAGGTCTCTGGTGCCCCCTACTGGTAGAAAGGAAATTTGGAAAACTGTAAATTTTACTCGCTCCTCACTAGATATTTTTTATGGGACATAAACCTGAACTGTTAGAGACTTAGAGAATGACAGATAAATTAAATAATAAAGAATTATTAATCTCATGATGAAATATCTCCACAATTTGCTTAAGCAGCCTCTTTAACTTTAACAATATTTACCTTCTCCACTGCTGTGGAGACGCTGAGGGCTGGGAGTGGCCGGGCTGGGCTCTTGCTTTCTAAGAGGTGAAGAGACACGTGTGTCTAAGATCCCACAGTCATAAATGCTGTCACGTAGAAAGTGTTCTCTGTCGGAAAGACGGCTGGAGAAGGTGTGTGCACGGGAAAGGGGGTGGTGGGATCAGAGCACGCAGCATTACAAACTGAGAGGGATGCTTTGATGGCCTGGGATCCACTTACAGTTGAAGTTCAGCTGCCAGGAATAGGCAGAGGCCAGACACCAGAGCTCTCAGGTCTCTGCCTAGACTTTAGAGTTCATCTTGTTTGCCACCAAGGAGCCACTCAGAGACTTTTAACCTCTAGACAGCATGATCCAGCCTGTCTTTAGAAACATTACTGTGTTGGGCAAAGGGAAAAATAGAAAAGAAAAAAAAAACAGAGCAGGAGAGAAGCTTGGACAGTGCGGGTGAGGCCCTCACCCGGGAGACACAGGGGAGAATGGATGGCTGAGAAAGTATCACAGAAGTCAGAGGGGGAAGTTGAGGAAGCAGAGAAACAGAAGGAATGCGTGGCTGGTGGAGGGAGCCTCACAGAGGCCACGAGCAGCCAGTGAGCAGTTCGGACAGTGGCGGGCGAGCCGACTGGGCCACATGCTCCGCCGAGAGAGGTTCTCTCCCATCTGTCCATTACTGCACTGGTTGTTAGCGGGCCCCAGCTCTTGTTTGCCACGGTGCTTCCTTTGGTTCACCAATGGCAAAACTGTCAGTAGAAATAAACGCAGAACCTTGTAGTGGGATGTACCAAGCTCTTCACCCTGGAGATGAAAGTCCAGTGTTAGGACTTAGAGGCAGGCATATTTGAAGTCAGAGGTCAGTTTCTACACAGTGAGTTCAAGGCCAGTGTGGGCCATGCAAGACTCTGTCTTAAGAAAAAATGTTTTTACAACTAAAATTTTAGCCTTTGAAACACTGCAACTAGTTCAGCGATAGGAGAAGCTGGATCTTTCTAGAGTGTTTCCTCCCTGAAGATGAGCATCATATAGTCATACAGGTGCAGTGTATTCGGGAGAAAAGTTTAAGATCTTAAGCTAAAAAAATAAATAATAAAATGTGATCCGTGGCCTAATCAAGATTGTGCTTACAGATAAGAGAAAACTGCTCTCGTTCTGATGCTTAAATGTGTTTTCTTCTACAGATCTGAAGGTGTCTTGGTACTGCAGAGACAAGAAAATCAAGCCGTCTCGCTTCTTCAGGATGACACAGTTTGAAGACACCTACCAGTTGGAGATCGCCGAGGCTTATCCAGAGGACGAAGGAACCTACGCTTTCGTCGCTAATAATTCTGTGGGCCAAGTGTCCAGCACCGCCACCCTGCGGCTAGAAGGTAGAATAAGACTTAAGAATTTCACAACACCTGCTCCAGTCGCTAGTCATGAAGGCATTGGCTCTTCCGTTCTGTTCATTTAACTTGTGGTTTCTATGTTGCACACGGTTTCTGCTCCTCATTGACCAGCTCTCTCGGGACCGTTGTCTTTTTATTTTGCCCTGCTTTCTCTCCATAAACTTTTGTGATGTATTACGGTCCCCACTGGCTTTTCTGCTTCCTGATCAGCATGTATCAGAATAGAGAGAAAAATGCTAAGGGGAAAAAAAAGGGTATATTTGCTTTTTTTACTGACCTAGGGTAGAGACTGGACCATCTTCATGTGGTTTTGACACAACTATGATTTCATAGGCATTACAATGACTTCAGCTCTGATCATAGGATAGATAGATTCACCAAGACTAAAGGACCCCTAAGTGTTGAGAGACCCACTATTGAGGTGGTTTAATATTTCTGTTCATTAGTTATACTGTAATCAGAAACACTTTCTTGGTCACTGAGGACTTTAATTGCAAGCAAGAGTAACAGTGGGCTGGGAGTGTGGCTCGGTGGTATGGCACTTGCTTAGCGTGCTCCAGATCTCTCATACACACACACACACACACACAGACACACACACACACAGACACACACACACACAACAACAACAACAACAACAACAACCACAACAATTGTTAGAGAATTTCATACACAGTCATGCTATTTTTTTCTCAATGAATATAATTTCTATGATGTATCCAACAATACATAAGGATTTAGGGAAACTTTTAGTTTCCTCTTTAAGGACTATAATAATAATTATACAATTTCTTAATAATGAATTTAAAGTGGTTTACAAAACAGAAAAGTTTGATTTATAAACAGAGCGGGAAAACTAATTCCTAAACCTAGTTGCATTCTCCAGTGTTGCCTTCATGAGCAATAATGGAGTTCATTTTGTTCTTTAAGCCGTTTGTGTCTCGGCTTGTCCATCTGGAAAATGGACATGAATTTGTGTGACTTTGACTCAATGCTGACAAAGCATTACGACTGGATTAGATTCTAGTTCATCGCTGAAACCTGTGGTAAACTTAAAATCGACAATTCCGAAAGAGTTTTGACTTAAGCAGGGGCAAAAACCATTAAAAACTGGCCTGCTTCTTTTCAGGTTTTAGCAAATCTGGAGAAGTTACACCACACTTCCAATGGCATGCCTCGCCATCAGTTTCATTTCAGAAGGAGGCCCTTGGCCAAAAGCCCGTCTTCATCCAGCCTCTGTCCGGCCTCAGGGTGCACAGCGGGGAGACAGTCAGATTTCACGCCAGGGTTTCTGGTGTTCCCAAACCAGCAGTGCAGTGGCTTCATAACCACCAGCCAATCCTACCATCAAAAGATGTAGTTTTCCATTTTGAGGAGTCCACAGGCATGGCTTTAATGCTTATAGTCGATGCTTACCCAGAGCATGCTGGGAAATACTCTTGCAGAGCCGCCAATAGCGCTGGGGAAGCCACTTGTTCAGCTACACTCACAGTGACTTCAGAAGGTAAAGCCCCTCTTGCTCCAGGGACTTTGGTTTGCTGTCCGCCCTCCCTCTGCTACTAACGAGAGTCCCCGCTGCTTGTTTCATGCATCCGTCAGTCAGTTCACAATTTACTAACCAACTACCTCGCCATATATCTCGCCGAGCCTCCAGCTACTGGTTCACATATAGGCTTGAGTCTCATTAAAATCTGTCTCATGCAATAGGAAACCATTATTTTGTTAGGCAGCGATTTTGCTTGATGCTTTCGTTCGGAGGAGAAGGGTCTGTTTTCCCAAATAATAGTGCATCAGTTCATAATAAAATGACTTTTCTGCTGAATAATATATCTAGGCATATGATAGCGAACAGGTAATGTGTCCAATGTAGTTATATAAAGAAAAAAAAAAGGGTGGGGATGGAGAGAGAACCAGATTGTGTCACTCTGCATGGCTGTAAAGATGACAGAAGGAAGGAGCCAGATGTCATCCACTGTCCTCGTAAGCCTTCAGTCCCCACCCATTGCTGGGCCACCAGCAGTGACTTTTCTCTCCTGTGGTTCTGCATTCTAGAGCACACTGCAGCTGGTGTGCCATTCACACGACAATGTCCTCTTTCAACTTAATCTTTCATGCCATTTTTTGTTACTGACAAGTGAGAACGTTTCAGACGTGACATTCTTCTCGTTTTCTTGAGCTGTACGGTGCAAGCTCTAGATAGGCAAAGCTTTAGGAAAGATGTAAGAGAGTCCGCAAAGTAAACAATTCCTCTCTCACAAAGGAGGAAAGCAAAATATTCCAAAGGAAACTAAGTCATGCCAAAGGCCATTGTGTCAAATGCAGTGTCTGTTGTTTGAGAGTGTATCTCAAAGCTCTACCCACACGGCTGCGTCTGTTCCAGAGACAGGTTGCCTCATGCTGCACCCCGTCACGAAGTGCAGGAAGTTCTGAGTTATCAAACAGATCTGCTGAAGAATTAGGGGTGGGAGGACATTCTCCTGCCTCTGCAGGACTTTACTGTAAAGTACAGAGACACTGCTCAGTTTCTCTGTGTCCTAAGAGCGAATCTTCTGTCGGGTGTGATGATAGAGGCATCCGAGCGAAGCAACCACAGCCTGGAAACATCGGCCGTAGACAGTGTTTAACTGGTAGACCGAGGACTGTAGCGCTGTATTGTGCACGGTGATCATGGAGAGACAGGCTTAGCGGTGCTAGGCATGGAAGGTGGTCACGTGACATTTAGCTCTGTACCACTTGCTTCATTTCATCTTCATCACTTTCTAAAACCATCAATGCAACCAAAGAGAGCCGATGAATCTGTCCCTTAACCCCCTCTATCAGCTTACCCATAAACACTTGACGGAAGCAGACTATGTCATAGGCCAGACTTGTAGGAGAATTGAACTCCCTGGTCCAGATTCAGTTTGAAGTCCAGGATCAGGAAGTCCAGTCATTTCATAAGTGAGTCTACTAATATTTATCAGAAACAAACCTTCAAAATACACCAGAGAAGGCGAAAATATTGTAGTTACCTAGCACTCCTTGGGTAGTTACCATTGTCGCTGACGCTAAGCTGAATTTCACTTTGATTCCATAGCAAGAGTCCAGCAAATTATCATTACTGATACATGAGTCTACCATGCAGCAGCCATGGTCGTTTCTTTTCAGGCCCGGAGGTTCCAGGTTTAGGGAATAATCCATGAAAATAGAAAATTGGATATTGAAAATAATAAGGTCCTATTTGGACTACAATTAATGGTCTGTAGATAATTTTTCTCTAAATGATACTGCTTTTCGAGCCTTAGAGTCTCTTGAAATAATAGCGATTCCCTCACAGCAATGTCATTATTGTAGTTATTGTTGTGCGCAAATCTCTATTGTGTCTGAAAGAGCAAAGAAAAATTTGTCTGGGAAAAGTATAAATTTTTTCCCTTTGTAACCTTGCCTTTTAGGCAAAAATACAATTAGAACATCGTATTTGAAATGCCCAGAGCTTGTGTTATGTAACTCTAGGCAAAGGACCTACTGGGTCACATGGAAAGGGGTCAGTGGATAGAAGTCAAGCTTTCCTGGGGGTTGTGGGAAGGAATAGTCACCATTCCTCTGCAAAGGGGCGGTCAAGTTTTGTCTTGTGTACAGCTATCTCTGCACTGAATTGTAGTTGTCCTTCCTGCCAGCTCAGAGAATCAGCCTCATTCATTCACCTAAGACATCCGCACTCCCTCTCATCAATATTCTCTTCTGGAGCTGTTTTGCTCCATGGCATTCTCTGGATCTATCTCCATGTACACACAGTAGATACATCTAAGTGAATGAATAGCTCTGAATAGCTCCGTCCAGAACTCTGGCTCTTGGTGTCACTGTAGGTTTTTTGGCTAGCAGAGTGATTGTGCAGAATCTAAGAGTGTATAGGTGACAGCGGTGACAGTTTTGCCACGCTGTGCAGTTGAGGGTTGGCTGTGTTATAGAAGTAGGAGAAGTCTGGATCTTTCAAATCATTTCCTAAAAGTCCTGTGCCAAGTGTCTCCTTGATAGAGTGGATTGACCTGCATGCTTTTGCCCTGGGAATTCTTCTATGCTCAGTTCCAAATGATTATGTTCTTAAAATACTATTGAAGCAAGAGAACATTTTGAAACCCAGACAAGTGTTTCTTGTGCTATAAAAGTATTAAATATAAGATGCTCTTAGGTGTTCAAAGAATTAAGGGTTGAGCACAAGCATACGATTATTTAACATAAAGCCAGTATTTATATGTGCTTCTTTTATTCTGATCTAATACATTCATATAATCTACATGGCTGCCCACCAAGATCAAATAGGAATGTAACCGGCTTGTTAGTTTGTTTGAATATGGTCTTAAGTGCATGCTAAAATAGATGCAGCAGATGCTACTTCTGAGCCTAACATGCTGCGTTCCTTCCCATCTTAATGACAGTCCACCTCCTTGACATAGCATGAGTTGTATTTTTCCAAACACATCTAGTGTATGCCTGCCCTAACTTCATCCTTAACTAGCAAATAAGTCATGAGGCAGGGTAGTTACAAAGGTTGCTCTTTGCTCAGACACTAAAAGTATAATACTTGGAGAGTCACAATCTAAACCTATGAAGTTAAAGAAATCACTGAAGAAATCGTTGGGTTGTTTTTTATATCATGCCAAAGATCACAAGGAAATGAAAAAAAAAAAGAGCCCTCATAGCCGATGTCACAATGCTACATAAATTGGGAAGCATGCGTCCCAGGCTATCAGCCTTGTCCTGGAAGCTGTACCTGCTCCTTGTATAGTAAAAGCCATTCAGGGTCGAGGAGTCTTTGGTCACTGGCTGATGTGTAATTGGACTCTGTATAGTTTCAAGTTTCAGTGGTGGTTCAAATCAAGGGACTATTTACTAGTAAAAAATGGTTTGTTCTGAAAAAAAAAAACTGAAAGTGGCCAACAAGCAAGTATATGTTCCTAATAAATGTGGTTTCGTCTCTTATCAAGCGTGTAGTCAGTAGGACATTACAAGAGAATATTCCTTTAGCTTTCGTGTTACTTTCCTGAGTGCATGTAAAGGCATGGGGGCTTGGGACCCTACTCTGTCAACTCTGATACAGCAGCTCATCCATTCATTTAGCATGGATACTCTGGTGGAGTGAGTGCATTTTCTCTTTTTATAATAGAAGGGCAGCGTTTATCACATGAATCATGAACTGAGCCAGAAACCGTATGCAATCACTCACCAAAATTTCTGTTGTTTTTTTTTTTTTTCATTTTAGCCCCTGAATCCATTTTACATGAGAGGATTGATCAGCAGATTGAAATGGAGATGAAAGGTATTGTTACGATGAATGTGAGATTTAAGTAGAAATTCTGGAACATTAGTGAAATCCTTGGCCTACTTTCTTCCTCTTAGTATTATTGAGGATATGGCATAGCTGTACAAATATATATCTTGGAGTATATATTACTATGTCGCATGCCTGGTTTAGTATGCCGATGGTTATGTGTGTTTCACAGCAATTTGTTGGATGGTTATTGTAAATCTTGTATGGAAACTTTACCAGCCACGTTCGGTCTCATGTTTTCAGCCATCTTGAAAAGCGTGTATTATGAACATTTGTCATTTAATGCATGAAATCATGAAGTAGAAGTTTGTTTTCCAAACCATGGTGAACTGAATTGAATAGTGGGCGTTAACCAATCGTCTTCAGAATGCGATGTCATGAATGAATCGTCATAGAAATGCTACTCGTTTAGGATGTGTGGAAGCCTTACATTCCATTCCTGGTTTACACCTCATGCACACGGATCACTTTAACATTGATATGTCTCTTATACTGGCTTGCAGATAGCTCTCTCATGCGACCCCTGCCTGCTTTATTTTGCATAATGTCATGACTCTATAGCTGTATTAGTTCGAATAAACGCCTTCTCATTTTATTCCATCTATTGACGATTATAGCTCTATATATTTTTCAAATAGTTAATTCTCAAAAATCTAATCATTTAAATCTACAATCCAAAGGATCAGAAAGGGCGTTTATTCTACTCTCTGCAAGTCAGGTAAGACTTTCCTCTTAGCCATCACAACAGCAAAGTTGTCCTGCTCTCAAAGCAAATGCACAGAGGAGTACGTTATTTTGAAACGCACTTTTGCTTGTTCAAGAAGAAACTTCAGCAGTCTGAAGAAAGCAGACCCGACAACGAACGGTTTTCGTGTCAGAATCTTTTAAACAGAGCATGGTGTTGCGTTTATTCGAACAAATATGGTGAGTGAAATTTTATGGATTTGTGAGACTCTGTAGCATGCACTTTATTTCATTTCCGATTTTGCAATTTCATTTATTTTCAACTTTTTCCAAGTGCTGTGGAAAATAGTAAAATGCTTTGTAATTTCATTTTCCTTGCAGAAGAACTCTCTGAGGGAGAAGCTGAACCTGCCAGAGACATGCGCAGTGCCTTCTCCGACTCTGAAGACGTAGAGCAACACTCCCTGATGGCAAGGAGATACGCAAGCAGAATGTCGTCCACGAGCTCCTGGCCCGAATGCTTCAAGCCTACTTTTACTCAGAAACTTGCATTTCAATATGTTGTAGAGGGTGAACCTGTTGTGTTTACATGCAGACTGATTGCCTGTCCAACTCCAGAAATGACTTGGTTTCATAATAACAGACCCATCCCCACAGGTCTCCGTCGGGTTATAAGCACTGAGAATCATGTCCACCAACATTCTTCCAGCTTAGAAGTGAAGAGGGTCCAAGGCCGAGATTCTGGGAGTTACAGGCTCTTGGCGGTTAACAGTGAGGGGTCCGCTGAGACCAGTGCGTCGCTGCACGTTATTCAGAAAGGGCAGGATGGGCGGTACTTAGAATTTCTGAAAAGGGCAGAACAGACCTGGGAAGACGCGGGGGCTCTAGGTGAGAGGAGAGAAGACAGGATCAAAGTTGACCTGAGGTTTACTGGCTCCCCTTTTAACAAAAAACAAGCGGTGGAACAAAAGGGAATGATGAGAACCATCCACTTTAAAGCAGTGAGCCCTGGCAGGAAAGTGGACTATGTGTATGACGAGGAGCGGTCAGAGAGTAAATCGGATGTCGGAGGTTGGCTTAACGTAGGCCAAAGTTTCCTCGATGAGGAGACCAAAGTCAAGTTGCAGCGTTTGCGAGAGGCTAGAAAAATCTTCTTAGAGAAAAAGAAATTATCTCTTTTAGATTCATCATCTGAAATAAACTTAAAGGCCGTGAGAGGTGAGGATGTTGTTAGGGACTCTCCATTTGCTAGTGAGGAAGTGAAGAGGAGATTGGTGTGTGACTTTGTTGAAGACAGGGGTAGGGTCCATAACTCAGCTGAGAGAATCAGCCCAAATCCATACTCCCTTCCTAATCAAATACACCAAAATAGAGAGCCCCTTCCAAGTGTCCAAGCGACTGATGATGAAGACATTCTCCAGACTGAAAGTTATGTGAGTCAAGAGACATTTCTAGAAGAAAGCCTACCAGAAGGCTGTTTTGGTGAGTATGGCCTTGTAAGTGAAAACACACAAGCAAGGGGTCGATTTGAAGAAGCCACCAACAGCGCTGTAATCGGAGCGTCAACAGTCACCCCTGACCAGGAAATAGACGAATATGAGGGCGAGGGGAGCGGAGAGGCTCCCGAAAGGGTGCCTGGAGTTCTCGCGCCATATTCCAGCGAGTCTTTGGCTACACCTGTAGCTGTTAAAGAAACCAAAGTTGTAGATGGTGATGGAGGAACACCGAAGGGCTGGAGAGAAGGACAGTGGTCCCCCACAAACGTGGAAGCATTCAAAACTGAGCAGGAGGAGAGAACAAGAGCTTTGGAAAATTACTTTCAAAGGCATCCACCACGCTGCCCACCCTCATTTCTTCAGGATATTGAATCTCAAGAAGTCTACGAGGGGGATAGCTGTAAATTTGTATGTCATTTTCAAGGGTACCCTCAGCCCATAGTGACGTGGTACATCAATGAGATGCCAATACCACGGAGTCAAGGCTTCACCACTCATACGTTTGAGAACTACTCAACGTTAACCTTTCCTTCTGTTCAGCCACGACACGGAGGCTCGGTTACCTGTGTGCTGTTTAACCAGTACGGAACAGTAAAAGCGACAGGTGTGCTTAGCGTGCGGGCAAAGCGGAAGTCGGAGTCCCAGCCTCATAAGTTCCCAGCGTGGCCTGACTATGCAGATGAAGAAGAAGAGCTAGCACTGGCGTTTGACCAGGCAAGAAGTACCCATGCGTCTTTCAGTCAAGAGGGCCAAGGACATCTTTATATGTCAAAAACTCAACCCCCAGAGCTCCCCTCTGCAGACACAGAGATGCTCTCCTTCCCTGTAGAGATTCAGATAACTTCAGCCACCCCAACCCCAGAACAGGACCAAGAAAACAGGGAGCTGTTTGAATTGGAACCCGAAGCAATACCTCGAGATCAAATCAGCCAGTCACCAAAACACAAGTTTATCTTCTCCTCTGATATCACTAATGAGCCACCCAAAATGTTACAGGAAATGCCCAGGAATGCCAGCTGTAGGGAAGGCGATTCTATAATGCTTGAGTGCTTGATATCGGGGGAGCCCCAGCCTGTAGTCACGTGGTTTCATAACGGTGTTCTTATAAAGCAGAACCAAAAGTTTGAGGTCGAAAAGGTGAATTATAGCCATAGGTTGTATGTCAATGATGTCAATTCAGAAGATTCTGGAAGATATGAATGTATGGCTGAAAATGATTCAGGCATAGCCGAGAGCATTTTAGATTTAACCGTAGAACCCATCACTTCTAGGGAATACAGCCAACTGGAAAGTATCAGTGGAACCTTTGCACAGTATTCTAAATCTCAGCAAGCCCAAGTTCAGGAGGAATCTGTAAGGACACATTTTTATGATAATCCAGTTGGTCCTTTTGCCGCCCAACCAGATGTAAAAGAATATACTGTCAGGGAGTATTTTCAAAGCCTTGAGACAGTTGGGCAGGTGGATAAGAGAAACGAAGTATACTGTACCACTTCCAGTGAGAAGCTATTCAGATCTACGCAGGGCACCTCTAGACCCACAGGCATGGATAAACCTCACAGGGCAGAATTGCTACAATACCAAGATGAGGCATGTGTAAGTGAAACCTCTCAACCACAGAGAGCGGAGGATGCTGTTTCTCCATTTGTTGCTGTCGGCAAAGCTAGTGTTAGAAAAGAAGTCGGAGATGACTTTGGAAATCGTGGACCAGAACGGGGAACTACGCAAGGGCATTCGCCAAGCGATTATATGTTGAATATCCACACTAAGAGAACCTCTGATGCTGTTGAGGATATGGAAGCTTCACCTGTCACTACCTATGAAGAAGCCCTTGGAGGAGAGAGGTACTACCCAGGGAAGAAGGTGAGGCATAAGATCATTGCGTTCGAAAAGCTGCAGCGTGCAGAAAAGGGAGTTCTAGAAAAAAGGCGGACCAAGAAATCTTTTGTTACTGCCCCACAGAAGAAGCTGGACGATATCAAGGTTTCTGTACAGCAAAGAGAATCAGGCTCGGGCAATCTGAGAGTAAATATGCATCAGGCAGAGGAAATGTCTTCACACACAGAAGCAGATTCCACTAACATTGTGATGGATTTGAAGCAGCTTTCCCATCAAGCTCCTGAGGAATTTGGAATAGAAGAGAGGGAACAGCAGGAGGAAAAACACCCTTTAAATCAAGCCATAGCTTCAGAAAAGGGTGAGCTCGAAGCACCTGTTACATTTGACCTCAGGCAGTTTCACTCACAGATAGACAGTTCAGGCATAAAATCCCAAGACCTGGCCAATGGTCAACAAGATCAAAGCTCTTTAAGAACTCAACAACGTACATCAGAAATGGTTAGTCCTGAAGACATTGTCTTTGATCTAAAGCAAATGTATTCTCACGTAGAAGATCCAGGCAAGGTATTCCAGGAGCAAGAAACTGAGAACAAACAGGAAGCACACCCCAAAGAAGAAACTCCGGTCTGCCAAAGCTTTCAATATGGACAGGAACCGAACCCTGCAGTTTCAAAAACCGATCACTCGCTTAAGTCTTTTTCTGAAACGGTGCATGGTGAATCGTGGTCTTTATTTCAGACTTCACCAGCTGACACGGGAGAAGCTAACATTTCTGAGAAAAATGGTTCTCTAGGAGATGAATTTAGTTTCATTTCTCAGTTGAAAAGGGCGGCGAGTGAGGAGGAACGTTTGGAGGTTCCTGAGATGGAAGAGAGTTCCACCTCAGGACCAGCATGTGGTGTGGCTCAGGGATACAACGGAACTCTGGAAGACCCCAGAGGGGACGTTCAGGGGGCAGCCGAGCCTCACAGACAGCTCTCTCTCAGTCAGTGCTTGCCGTTCTTAATGACTGGAGAACAGCAGGACCTAAATGAGCAAAGAAAGGAAACAACTGAGACCCCAGGAGAAGAAACCTACCATGAAGTTCATGTTCAGAACGAAAGCTCTTTCTCTCCCGTGGAAGGAGAAAAGGTAGAAACTTGTTTTCCTGAATGTCTTCCTAAGGAGGCCCAAACAACTGAAGAGGGGGCGTCTGAGAGCTCCCTAACACAGTACTTACTTGCTGCGGGAAAGGATGAGGTGCCGGAGGTTAGAGACACCAACCGCAAGGCAGAACTTGTCCAGAGTGTGTCGGTCACCTCCATGGAGGTTGAAGAAGTAACTTTCAGCACTGTGTATGAATATTACAACCAGAAACAGGAATCCCTAGGACGGCCCTATTCCCCCGAGTCGGATGTTTCTATTGATGTGGGAAGTACAAGCAGTGAGGAGCTGCCTGAGTTAGATCAGTTCTATAGCCCGCCGTCATCTGTGGAGCATCTGGAGTCTCCAAAGTCTCCCGATTTGTATTTTAAACCTTCAGGGGTAACTGAGCAATCCTTAGCAAATCCAAGAGGTGAGCCCCTGGAGAGAGATTCCACTGCTTTAGAGGAAAATGGCGAAAGGTACTCCACACCTTCTGAAGGTGAAATACCAGAAAGATATTCCACACCATCAGGGGAGGCTCTAGAGAGGTATTCTACTCCCCCAGGGGAGGCCCTGGAGAGATATTCCACTCCCCCAGGGGAGGCTCTAGAGAGGTATTCTACTCCCCCAGGGGAGGCCCTGGAGAGATATTCCACTCCCCCAGGGGAGGCTCTGGAGAGATTCTCCACTCCTCCAGGGGAGGCTCTAGAGAGGTATTCTACTCCCCCAGTGGAGGCTCTGGAGAGATTCTCCACTCCTCCAGGGGAGGCTCTAGAGAGGTATTCTACTCCCCCAGGGGAGGCTCTAGAGAGATACTCCACTCCTCTAGGAGAGAGACTAGAGAGAGATTTTATTCCTACTAGAGGACCAAACCATAGTAGAAATGTAAGCATGAACCTGTCAAAAATAGAGAGGGAAGACAGCACACCAAACGAACATTTCCATACACCTACAGAAGAGAGGAGTTCCTCTTCCGAAATATGGCGTTCAGATTCATTCGGCACACCTAGTGAAGCCATCGAACCCAAAGACAATGAAACACCTCCATCTTTTATTGAACCGCTAAGCAGAAGGAAGATCTATGAAAACACAACTTTAGGCTTCATCGTTGAAGTTGAGGGTCTCCCGGCCCCCGGTGTGAAATGGTATAGGAATAAATCTTTGCTGGAGCCGGATGACAAAATCAAGATGGAAAGGGTGGGCAATGTGTGGTCTTTAGAAATTTCTAACGTCCGAAAAGGAGATGGGGGAGAGTACATGTGCCATGCGGTCAACATCATCGGGGAGGCGAAAAGCTTTGCAAATGTAGACGTCATACCCCAAGAGGAAAGGGCTGTGGCTCTCCCACCACCAGTGATGCACCAACACGTCATGGAGTTTGACCTGGAAAACGCCAGCTCCTCAAGAACACCGTCCCCTCAAGAGATTGTCCTGGAGGTGGAATTAAGTGAGAAAGATGTGACGGAATTTGAGAGGCAGGTGAAGATCGTTACAGTCCCTGAATTTACTCCCGACCATAAGAGCATGATTGTGAGTTTAGATATCCTTCCGCGGCATCTAGTAGATCCCAGCCTGGCGTCCCGAGGGGAAGAAGGCACCGATTTTAACATTGATTTAGAAGCCTTTGAAATGCCTCCTCGTTTTATAACACCGATCTGTGATTTTAAGATTCCAGAAAACTCCGATGCCGTATTCAAATGTTCCGTCATAGGCATCCCTACGCCAGAAGTCAAATGGTATAAGGAGTACATGTGCATTGAGCCGGATGGCATGAAGTATGTCATCAGTGAGGAGAAAGGCAGACATAGCCTTAAAATCAGAGACATCAGCCCTTCAGACAGTGCGACATACAGGTGCAGAGCTCTGAACAGCGCAGGAGAAGCCATCTGCCGAGGCTTCCTCATCATGGGAGACTCTTGCTCTGGGTCACCAGTCTCTGCGGTGACCCCAAGGACAAGCAAAGTGACTTTAAGCAGTCAGAAGGAGGAATTACTCTTAAGGAACAAATACGCAGACAGTTTTTTTGAATTCCAGGTGGTAGAGGGCCCTCCCAGGTTTATCAAAGGTGTCTCAGATTGTCATGCTCCTTTAGGGACAGCGGCGTATTTCCAGTGTTTAGTTCGTGGTTCTCCGAGACCCACAGTCTCTTGGTACAAGGATGGAAAATTGGTCCAAGGATCAAGGTTCAGTGCTGAGGAAAGTGGCATAGGGTTCCACCATCTGTTCATAACAGGCTTACTGAAAAGTGATGGGGGAGAGTATAGCTGCGTAGCTACGAACAATTCAGGAGAGGCTAGGAGCTCGGCCGTCCTCACCCTTTCTTAAAGTGGGATTTCTCAGCGCCTCAGGCACTGTCAGTATCTATGGATTAGCAACCTTCCAGATGTAACCTTTATATTTGGATCGTGACCACGAAGCCCCTGGAGATGTGGTCTTTCTGTGCAGAAATCTCATCTTTATATTTATATCTAAATATTCTGTGGTCTGAACACAGAAACCATCACTGTGTCAGTTACACTGTGTGTTCCATCCAGCACAATTAAACACCTCTGTGGCTATCCAACTGTTTGTGTTTCTCCTTTTCCGCGACCCCTCCTCCACAGGGTGTCTGAGAATTCTCTTTTAGCAGGTCACTGGCAGGTGCACAGCAGGAGGGAAGGTGACCATACTGGATGAGCATGTAGAGAAGCTGGTAAGAGAAAACACCCCCTGACCCTAAGTCATTTTTGAATACTAAGCCTCTTCACATTTAGACAAACCTGTGTTGATTTACTCAGATGCACAATGGCAAAGCAAGAAACAAAGCAGCTTTGTTCAAATGGTAGCCAACTTCATAATCTGCTTGTGTTGCGATCTTGATAATGAGGTTTGCTTTTAAGAGAGATCTTTACCTTTACTATTTATCTTGAGTGTTTGCACTGGTTTTGAAGGGGCCAAAGTCTCTACAGATTTTTTTTTTAAACATTTGCAGGGAAAACATACAGATAATGGTCTTTCCACATTTGAAAATATTTTATTTTCTCATTTTGTGCATCAAGTGCAAGTGCAGCATTGATCTATCATCAACCTGGGGGTATTAACATTTCATCTACATATGAATTCTTAACTATATGTCAATGTCAGGATCTCTAATAGAGACACTATGGTAATTTTTGTTAGAGGAGATATATATATATATATATATACACACACACATATATATGGCAGTAGAGTAAGTTTTCTTATTATTTTTATAAAATTTTAATCTTTAAAACTAACTATATATTAATAAACATTCAAATTCCAGTAGGATATTTATGTTTATACAGTGAATTTTAATTTTATTCTTCAATTTTACTAATTGATAAATGTTTTAATATTGTGGCTGTAAACCAATGTGGACCTTAATCTTTGCATATAAGACATAATAAGTGAAAAAAGTAAGTTTTCTTACATAAAAATGTAGAATTATATCTAAAGACCTCAGAGGTTGTAGTCAACAGCAAGCTTCTTTGTCACCGAGTGGATACAGCTACAAAACTAACATAGTTTCAGTTTGTAGCAGATGAGAAAACAGTTGAGAGAGTGAGTATGCCTGAGTATGCAGTATTTAAGGTCCATGATTGTATTAGCCATATTAATATTGGTTATCAAACATACATTTATTTCAGATTTAATTTCCATAAGAATTCTTAGAGCTACCATATTTATTGTTCCTTTCATCCGTTGATGTTATTCTTGCAACGGAAATCATTTCCCATCCTCCAAACCAGAAGATTAAAAGCATGTGTAGGAAATAGGGAGAGCTGATTGTCTCCTCCAATTGTTTTTTAAATGTCTTTGTTTTGAGTGACCATCATCCAGTGATAAACAAGTGTGGAACAATGATTTTTGCTTTTACCAGAGAGTACAAAATGCCTTTTTGATAAGACGTTAGATATAATAGACCACACGACTGTCAAGCTGACTCTGGTAAAGCTAGTTCTGTAGCAAGGGCACTTAGGAGTAGTTTCTACATTTAGTCATATACTGTATGAGTCATAGCCAACATGACAAGCACACTTACCACATATTATAAACACAATCACATTCAAAACCCAGAAGAGTGGTGAAAATCGAGGCAGAAAACGCTTTCCTATTTGTTGATTTTTAAAGTACACACATACATTCACATAAGGAAATCTTTATTAGATTTTCTCATGATGATTCCACTAGTCTGACACGCGTTGAACCTGAAGATGTGTTGAATAACAGTAGCTGAAAGAAAAAAGTAAGTTTCCCCCACACTCACGGTAGTCAAATAGAACTTTCTGCTTTCTGACTCCATGACACCCAGTTTTAAAGCCTGCCATAGTAATGAGAGAGAGGGAGAAAGAGAGAGAGAGAGAGAGAGAGAGAGAGAGAGAGAGAGAGGGAGAGAGAGAGGGAGGGAGAGAGAGGGGGAGAGGGAGGGAGGGAGGGAGAGAGAGAGATCATGTTTTGAAATAGGGGAAACTTTTGAAAATATTTTAACATATTATCAATTCAGGGCACTTTAACTATATCCCATCCATTCTATTTGTGGTCATTTTGGGGAATTAAGAGAAGGGGAAGCTAATGCACCCATCCCAGACCCAAAGCTAAGTGGCCACCTTTGGTCTTTTAAGTGTATGCAGTCAATCAGTGGTTTCTCGGGGACACTCCCAAGTAGCTTAGTAAATATCCCACGTGCTGCAGACAAGTTTTACTAGTGTTTTACAGCCTGCAGACCCAAGGCCTGCCTTCCCATTCTGAAAGTCTAGACCAGTAAGAAATTAAGACACCAATGTTGAGCGAGAGGGAAGTGTTTAATAGCGCGGCAAAACTACCTTTCGTTTAGGCAATAAACCTACAAGTAACAGGGCAGTCCTACTTCCTCAGAAGACTGAATTAAGAATCGGCTTCCTTTTGTTAGACTACATGTCTCTCACTTGGTTGTGATAGTGTTGACAGAATGTGTATTACTTCAATAATGCTGTGCAACTGACTTACACAATAAATTATCACCAACATTTTGATACTGGCATCATCGTCTCTTATTTCTGCTTTCTCTGTTTCCTTAACTAATGTCTTATTTTAAAACATTTCTTAAAGTACTTTGACTAGTTACTTGAATGAGGGAGGCCCAATTTTCTAGTAATAGACAACAGTGGCTCCTTCAGGAGTTGGAAGCAAACCTTTCCTGTAGTCTGATACAGGAAAGACCTCAAGCTGACCTTGAACTGGAAATCCTCCTGCCTCATCCTTCCAAGTGCTAGGATTACTGATGTAGGTCCCCACTTTTGTTACTGTTGCTGTTGATATACAGTTAGAAGTACTAACTAAAACATATTTTTTCTTTGAAAACAATCAATCATTAGATTCAAGAAAACTGTACATAACAGTTCTATGCATTTTTTAGAAGTTGATGTAAGTAATCCTGGATTTATGATTTATAAATATTTATCTAGTATTTCTTCAAACTTCACATTTGTAAACCCTACCAGATGAATTGGACAGAAAATTGTGTTGGTGTAGTAGCTACAGCTGTTTGAGCTCCCATAGCAGGCTAAGAAAATTTAAGAATGTGTTTTTGGATAAATTAATCTAACCATAGTCTGATAGAAGGCTGGTAATCGGTATCTCATTCTTTGGTTGATACTATTTGTTAAGCAAAATCTTATCATAATATCATAATAACTTTTCTCCACACAGAGATTGCTAGTACTCTGTCTGCCAAGGAAGAATTTCCAACCTATAGTTCTGATCTTCACTTCCATAATATGAATGAAACACTTGAACTTTTATCTGAGCCTGCAGCTCATTCCACTCAGTTTGACTCCAGACAGGAAGGCACGGCCCCGGTTTTCATCAGAGAAATATCAGATGCCGAAATAAGCATTGAAGATGTAGCTAAATTGTCTGTTACTGTCATTGGCCGCCCTAAGCCTAAAATTCAGTGGTTCTTTAATGGGGTGTTGTTAACCCCTTCTGCCGACTACAAATTTGTCTTTGATGGGGATAACCACAGCCTGATCATTCTGTTCACCAGATTTGAGGATGAGGGAGAGTACACCTGCATGGCCAGTAATGAATACGGGAAAACAGTGTGTAACGCCTATCTAAAAATAACTCCCAAAGGGGAGAGGTACAAAGACGTGGAATCAGAAGTAAAGAAAGCTCAGGAGGAGTCTGAGGGGCCTTGTCCTCCTTACTTCTTCAAGGAGTTAAAACCAGTCCAGTGTGCTCCAGGGATCCCTGCTGTCTTTGAGTACCTGGTGCATGGAGAACCCGCCCCTACCGTCTTGTGGTTCAGAGGAAATGTGCCGCTTTTTACCAATGTGTGTTACACCATCATTCACAATCCTGATGGCTCTGGGACCTTCATTGTTAACGACCCCCAGAGGGAAGACAGTGGCCTGTACGTCTGTAAGGCCAAGAACATGTGGGGCGAGGCCACCTGCGCCGCAGAGCTTCTTGTCCTTCTGGAGGACACGGATGTGACAGATGCCTCCTGCAAAACAGAGTCCACATCGGGAGTTCCTGGGGATCTTCTGGAAACATCCGCAAGGGGCCCTTCAGTTCAGGCATTTGATTCGCAGCAGGAAGCCGCAGCCTTTGTCAAGGATGCCATTCCAGAAGCTGCTACAACGGCAGAAGAGAAGCTGCAGCTTTCTTATGAGCATGACATTGACAACAGTGGACCGAATACCGGGGTGATTATAGAGGCTCAGAAGCTGCACCCCCCCGAGAGCACTGGGGAGCTTCCTCCCGTTGATGGCACTGTTCACGCACAGCTGGACAGAGAGCCACCTCCTCCTTTACAGATGCAGACTGTCCACCCTCAGGGAACCCTTCCCAGAGAAGATACTCCACAGTTCCAAGAGCCTGCAAACATCCCCCCATGCTCTCCGCCAGCGGCTCCCGGTCATTCACTTCCTTCCTCTGTGGCTGATGAAGCACTTCAGTCAGGAGAAGAGATTGTCTCTGAAGTGGACAAAGAGCAAAGAGCTCTCCTCCTGTGTCAGGATGTAGCTGAGGGCCATGTGGAAAGTCTAGAGGGTCCTGAGGTTGCCATCTCGAATGTGCACTTTGAGCCCCAAGTCCCTTTTGAACACACATGCACGGAAGGCGGCGAAATCCTGCTGGCGACTACAGAGCCCCTAGAAAGCGCAGGGCGAGGTGTTGCAGAGAGCTCTGAGGAAGGCAGGTCCCTGAGCTTCCCGCTAGCACTCGAGGAGAAGCAGGTCCTACTCAAGGAAGAACAAGCAGGGGACGTGGCAGGGCCCACCAGCCAAACCTCTAAGCCTGAGAAAGAGCCTGAGGCAGTCAAGGGAGTGATGGAGGTTCAGGGAAGTGACCTGCTCGCTAAGGAAACTTTGTTTCCCGCTATTCCGGAAGAGCAGCGATTACACCTGAAAACCCAGGTCCGCAGGGCTTTGCAAGCTGCAGTGGCCAGTGAGCAAGGCAGTCTTTTCTCTGAGTGGCTGAGAGGCATTGACAAGGTGGAGGTTAAGGCTGTAGACCTCACTGAGGAGCCCAAACGCATCCTCTGCACCTACCTTATTACCTCAGTGAAGTCGCTGAGCAAGGAGTTAACCGTCGCTATTGACGACATAGATCCACAGATGGCTAACCTGAGGACGGAGCTCAGGGATGCCTTGTGCTCCATCATATGTGAAGAAATAAACATCCTAACAGCAGAGGATCCGAGAATTCAGGAAGAAGCCAAACTAGGTGTGCAGGGTGGAACAGACCACTCTTCGGAGGTAGAGCAAGTTGAGGTCATTGTAGAACCAGAAGCTGAACCCGAGTATCTCGTTTCCCAAGACCAGGTCAGTTGTCTGAGTGTGGGAAGTCAGTTTAAAGATGGAGATGCTGATGAGGGAGCACAGGCTGAGACTCTGAAACCAGCAGAAGAGAGCAGCACCCAGAAGGCTGGTACAGTAAAGTCACAAGAAACTGATGGTACCTTAACCGAGGAGTGCCCTACTATACTTAAACCCTTAGTGGATGCCATTTCTGAGGAAGGAGGGACTGTCCGCTTTACATCCTCCATATCAAATGCTCAGGAGGTGAACTGGTATTTCAAGGGGAAACTGCTGTCAACAGACACAAAGTTCAAGCGTTTACAAGAACAGAATGACTACACTCTGGTCCTCGACACGGTAGAGGCAGAGGATGAGGGGGAGTATATCTGTGAGGCCTCAAACGACAGTGGAAAAGCAAGGACATCAGCAAAGCTCACTGTCGGAGGAAGAGGTTGGACGCCGGGGATTAAGGGGATCCGGCTCTAATACCCACTGAGTTGTGATGGTTTAGGTTTCACCGCTGAAGCCTCACTTACCTGTCTCTTTTCCAGAATGCCAGCTACTTAGAACAGGAAGGAAAGAAGTGCAGACGTAATCATGGTTATTAGCTTACATTTCTCTCCGACTGCCTCGTTAGGCAGAGCATTTTCATAGCCACGCTGCTACCGATTTTCTTAAGTAAAACATATTCTCATATGTTTTATAATGATAAATATGTTTTCATATGAAAGTGCTTTGATAACAAGTAATAGAACCTTCTTGGTACATAGGCGTTCTAAAATCGCCAGGCTCTTCTCTAAACTCCAGATAACCATGATTAGTCGTCTCCCTGTGTCTATTTCTGTTTATTAGCTTCCGTCTCACCTCACCACTTCAGCTGATGTTTCGTGGTTTCACCTTAATTTCAGCTCTTAGTCAGCATGGTGGATTTGAGCGACACGCCCCGTGGTTATGCATGCACACCCAAAGTATCACGTTTCGTTTCGGTAGCCACCCTCCCCAGTTCACTGCTGAGTAACAGTCGGAATTGTCACAAGCTGCTGCTTTTTGACCTTTCTTGTTTCTGCCTTCACGACCATGCTCATCTTCCAGTCACGTGTCCTAGACTGCCGCAACCCGCCTCACCAATTTCAACTGTTTTATTTCGTTAACAGCAGCAAAAGTTAGTCTGCAAGAAGAATGTGGGATGCCTGACAAGGTGGCATGCTAATGGCCTCTGCTTCCCTTCGCAGCGGCCCCTGTGATCAAGCGGAGAATTGAGCCCCTGGAGGTGGCTCTGGGTCACCTGGCCAAATTCACCTGTGAGATCCAAGGTGCCCCCAACGTCCGGTTCCAGTGGTTCAAAGCCGGCAGAGAGATCTACGATAGTGACAAGTGTTCCATTCGGTCTTCGAATTACGTCTCCAGCCTGGAAATCCTGAGGACCCAGGTTGTGGACTGCGGCGAGTACACCTGCAAAGCTTCCAACGAGTATGGCAGTGTCAGCTGCACGGCCACGCTCACGGTCACAGGTAAACGCCGCACACTGGCGTGGGTGCTGGCTTCTCAGTTCAGCTGGTGGCGTGTGTTGCCTTGTGTCCAGGTGCCAAGAGCGTCACCAGCTGGAGATCCACCATGTTATCACGCCAACTAAGAAGCCCAGAGGGGATGGGGGACAGGTCGTCCTTTGTAGTCACATTTTGATCAGCAGCCGAAACAAACGTTCCTTTATTTGTGGGGGCAGGAGATAGGGGGGAGGGAGGTGTTAAGTTATCAAATGAGCCTGACTGCCTCCTTAATAAGAAACATTTCAGGAGTGAGTGTTTGGTGCTACAAAAATAAATAAATACAAATAAATAAATAGCCAGGTGGTGACGGCACACACCTTTAATCCTAGCACAGGCCTTGAATCCTAGGAAGCAGAGACAGGTGGATATCTGAGTTCAAGGCCAGCCTGGTCTACAGAGTGAGTTCCAGGACAGCCAGGACTACCCAGAAAAACCCTGTCTCAAAAACAAAACAAAAACCATCAAAAACCTCCATCATTAATATGAACCCGAATAACCAATCAGAAACAGAGTTCCAAATAAAACCAGAATTACAAAAAATCAGACTATACAGTTAAAGTTAAACCAAGTCTCACACGAAGACACGGGCTAAAACAGGGCTTTGAGTGAGGATGCTTGCGCCAGCCTTCATTGCTAACTTTAAAATTAGGGCAACTACAAAATACTCCATTCTCAGTTTCCTAACTGAACCACAGAAGAAAAGAAAAGAAAAAGAAAATCAGTCTGTCTGTCCTTTTCCCTTTCCTTCACTCTTCCTCCCTCCCTTCCTTCCTTCCTCCCCTCCCTCCCTCCCTTCCTCCCCTCCCTCCCTCCCTTCCTCCCCTCCCTCCCTCCCTCCCTCCCTCCCTTCCTCCCCTCCCTCCCTTCTTTCCTCCGCTCCCTCCTCCCTCCCTTCCTTCCTCCCCTCCCCTTCTCTTCTTAGTGGAGGCCTCAGATGCTGACGGAAGGGAGGGTCCTTGGGGAGGAGGGCTGCTCTTGGGTGGTGTCTTAACTCCTTGAGAATGTCAGGGGAAAGGAGCCCATTCATTCACCCCAGGAAAAGAAAAAGAGTTCTTTGAAGCATCTTTTACTCTGTGACTTTATCACAGAACCAAAAATCTTTGAAATTCTAGGGAAGCTGCCCATGGTGATCCAGCTAGGTTGGTTTTCAGTCTGGAGCCAAAATGTTTCTATACAGCCAAGATTGGCATTCTTTTTTTTTTTTTATTTTTTTTGAGATTAACCTATTCTTCACTCCATCCCCTCTTACTTACTTCTCCTTTACTATTTTTATTATTCATGGCCTATCTTTTCATTAATTATTGTTACACGAATACATACATATATATATATACACATATACATATATATACATATATGTGTGTGTGTATATATATATATTCCTAAATAAAACCTGTTCAGTCTGTATAATGTGACTTGTATATTTTCAGATCTGACTGTTTGGTATGGATAACCATTTGGTGTGCTCCTCCCTGGGGAAGACTTTTTTTTGTCCCACTTTCAGCCTTTCCTTTGATGTCTGTAGGGATTCAGGCCCCCTGGGCTTTCCTCCCTGGTGGCATTATCCTCAATGACAGTTCAGATTTCTTGACCCAAATTAACCCAGCTCAATAATGGGGCTTCAGCCACAGGAGCAAAGAACAAGGAGGTAGAGTCCATGTCTATTATCAGCAGGAACGGACCCTAAAACTTTGCTTCAGAATGGAGAACAGAGATGGGAAGCTTTTGCTGTGAAATATTTTTATAAGTGTAAATTGGGGGGGCGGTGCATTTGAAGTTAAGTGATTTAAGGATCTAGCATTTATCAGAGGGTTAGAAAGACTTGTGTAAAGTTCTGTGCTGTCTTACCCCGTCTTCAGCCAACTCATGTGTGGTTTTTTTTTTTTACACCTTCTTTCTGGTCTTCTAATTTACAAAATTAAAATACCAGCCAGCCTGCTGATCAAATCCTCGCACCTATTGACCCTCTGAACAGAGCTTTGAGGGAACATTTGTTCTGTCTTAGCTAGAAACAATCTGTCAAGAGTGCTCATCCCTTTCTTTCATCGTCTTGGGTCTTTTCACTGCACTGTTGTTTAAGATAAGGTCTTGTGTTCACCTAAAGGCATAACTTATCTTTTCTCTGTCTTAGAACGTGTAATTTCAGCAAGACCTGGAGAGCTTCAATGGAGACTACATGTAACGTGCAAACCTTTCTCTTTGCAGAGGCCTATCCACCAACCTTTCTCTCCAGACCCAAGTCCCTTACAGCCTTCGTGGGTAAGACAGCCAAGTTCCTCTGCACAGTGTCAGGGACTCCCGTGATCGAGACCATCTGGCAGAAAGACGGCAGTGCCCTTTCACCGTCGCCTACCTGCCGGATCACGGACGCAGACAACAAACACAGTTTAGAGCTCTCCAACCTTGCCGTTCAGGACAGGGGGGTTTACTCTTGTAAGGCTTCCAACAAATTTGGAGCCGATATCTGCCAGGCAGAGTTGACCATCATTGACAAACCCCACTTCATTAAGGAGTTAGAGACTGTGCAGTCGGCCATCAATAAGAAGATCCACCTCGAGTGCCAAGTAGATGAAGACAGGAAAGTTACGGTCACGTGGAGCAAGGACGGTCAAAAACTGCCGGCTGGGAAAGATTACAAGATCTACTTTGAAGATAAAATAGCGTCGCTTGAGATTCCTCTAGCCAAACTAAAAGATTCTGGGACCTATACGTGTACAGCTTCTAATGAGGCTGGAAGCAGCTCCTCATCCGCCACAGTCACTGTGAGAGGTAAGAGTGCCGGGCAGCCATCTGCCACCTCCTTGTCCACGAGGAAGTCTTAGAAGAAAGACTGTTAGCTGTACCACCCGCACCTTTTGTTCCTAATTTAACTCCTAAGGCAAACCTCTGGGTCTGGGAAAGTCCTGACATCATCTGGTTGGCTTTTTTTGTTGTTATTTGATTTTTATTTGTGTGTAATCTTCTTTAGAATTCTCTTGCTTTGGCTCTTTTAAAAAAGCAGTTAACAAATCTTGCTCACAATTTCTTCTAAGAATCAGTGTGTCGATAACTCTTAACCATCTTATTTTTAAATTGTTTCTTTTTCGAAATTATCATTGCTTTCTTTCTCCATTCCCATTCCTCTCTCCATACCCTCCCGTACCACCCTCCTTTCTCTCTTTCAAATCCATAGCCTCTTTTCTCATTAATTTTTGTCGCACACACACACATATATTCCTAAATCGATAACTACAACCTGCTCTGACTGTATCATAATATTTGTACGTATGTCTTCACTACTAAAACCATTTGATACAGAATATCCAATTGATGTGCTCTTCCCCGAGGAAGACCACATCTCCTGCCCTCAGCATGTCTTGGTTGCCTGGAGCTCTTTGTGTAGGTTGAGAGCTGGTGGGATACCCTACCCCCATCCATGTTAGCATGCCTATTATTGATGTCTTCGTTCAGAAAATTGCTCTTCATATAGATATAGTCTGCTTGCTTGCGTCTCTTTTCTTTTCTTTTTACCAAGAGATGGGGAAGTGGTTCAGAGCGAAGGGGAGGCTGGGTGCTTCATGACTTGTTCAGAAGTCTCGTGAAGGTATTTTCTGTATGCTCTGTCTTTTGTCACGTGCGTCTGCTTTTCTTGTGTGGTGTGTATGTTTCAGTCATTGTCTCCATCTTTTCTCTTTCCTTTTTTTTTTTTTTATACACGTCATGTAGAACCACCGTCCTTCGTGAAGAAGGTCGATCCCTCTTACTTAATGCTCCCGGGTGAATCAGCACGCCTCCATTGCAAGCTGAAAGGCTCCCCTGTCATCCAGGTCACCTGGTTCAAGAATAACAAAGAGCTTAGTGAAAGCAATACAGTCCGAATGTCTTTTGTGAACAATTCTGAGGCGATCCTCGACATCACTGATGTCAAGGTCGACGACAGTGGGACCTATTCCTGCGAAGCCACCAATGACGTGGGCAGTGACAGTTGCAGCACGGAAGTAGTTATCAAAGGTTTGTTCCCTGAGTTTGCGCTCTTTATTTTGCTGAGAAACTTCCCCTTTGGTTTTCTCATAGCTCACAACTCACCCTGTGCTCTCGTGCCTTTGTAGAACCGCCTTCGTTCATCAAAGTGCTTGAGCCCGCAGACATAGTGCGCGGGGCGAATGCGCTCCTTCAGTGTGAAATCGCAGGCACGGGGCCCTTTGAAATTAGCTGGTTTAAAGATAAGAAGCAAATTCGAAGTAGTAAAAAGTACAGGGTGTTCGCTCAGAAGTCTTTTGTGTTTCTGGAAATCGCATCTTTCAATAGCGCGGATGTGGGTGATTACGAATGCGTAGTCGCTAACGAAGTTGGAAAGTGTGGCTGCGTCGCGACACACTTACTGAAAGGTTAGTGTGGGGGGCGTTTGTCTAATACGTTGTTCCAAGTAGCTTTCTTCATCCATAACAAGAAAGTTTATTTTTTTTCTCTTCTTCTAACCTTTAAAATGTGTTTTGTCATAATTTGAACTTGGGGCCCAGAGCTTTCACTCAGTCTTTGTCTTGCTGTGAATAGAAATATTTATTATCTGATAACAAAAGGAAATTACATAAAATGTCATTTTATTTTCTGATAAACATTTACATTCTGTGCCTCTCTTGAATGGAATTGCTAATTCTTCATGTACTCTCCTTCTTTCTAATAACCAAGTGCTGTGTGACGGTTGTGTTGGACAAGGGAAGTGTGTAGGCGGATGGAGCCCATTGTGTGGGAACTGACACTTGTGTGTGCTCTCTTCCTTAACTAGAACCACCAACCTTCGTCAAGAAAGTTGACGATTTTACAGCCCTAGCAGGACAAACCGTTATCTTACAAGCTGCCGTGAGAGGCTCAGAACCCATTTCTGTCACGTGGATGAAAGGCCAAGAAGTCGTTAAAGAAGACGGGAAAATTAAAATGAGCTTTGCTAATGGAGTTGCAGTGTTGACCATCCCCGATGTGCAGATTAGTCTTGGTGGCAAATACACATGCCTGGCCGAAAACGAAGCCGGCAGTCAGACGTCTGTTGGGGAGTTAGTAGTTAAAGGTTCGTGTAGGAACATTTTAGCTCTTCCTTGGCCTTTTCACTTCAAGTTAAGCCTTGATTCATGCTAAGGAATCTTAACTCTCTAATACCTTTGTAGAACCTGCCAAAATCATCGAGCGAGCCGAACTGATCCAAGTGACCGCAGGGGACCCAGCCACCCTGGAGTACACGGTGTCAGGCACCCCAGAACTCAAGCCCAAGTGGTACAGAGACGGCAGGCCCTTGGCTGCTAGTAAAAAGTACCGGATCAGTTTCAAAAATAACATTGCCCAGCTGAAATTTTACTCGGCAGAGCTGCACGATAGTGGCCAGTACACATTTGAGATTTCCAACGAAGTGGGCAGCAGTTCCTGTGAGACCACGTTTACTGTGTTAGGTTAGTATGTTCAGAGAACTACCCATCTCTCCAACAACCCACAGAACTAGCCGAGGGTGAGCCCCTGAGCGCGTTGCCACGTTGATCTCGTTTCCTTTCTTATGCCACGAACAGATCGAGACATCCCTCCGTTTTTCACCAAACCCTTACGTAACGTGGACAGCGTCGTTAGCGGTACCTGCAGGTTAGACTGCAGAATCGCTGGCTCCCTCCCCATGAGGGTCTCCTGGTTTAAGGACAGCAAGGAAGTCGCTGCGTCGGACAGATACCAGATCGCGTTTGTGGAGGGCACGGCCTCTTTGGAGATCAGCAGGGTAGACATGAGCGATGCAGGGAATTTCACCTGTCGGGCCACAAACTCCGTGGGGAGCAAAGACAGCAGCGGAGCCCTGATTGTGCAAGGTTGGCTAGGAACCGTGTCGCCTGCTTTACCAGTATTTCAAACTAAGACTCCCTCCCTTGGGTCCAGACTTTAACGCCTTCCCATTCTGTCTTCTCCCTATTCTTCAGAACCACCCAGCTTTGTAAGTAAGCCAGGGTCTAGGGATGTCCTGCCTGGGTCAGCAGTCTGCCTGAAGAGCACTTTCCAAGGATCCACGCCGCTCACCATCACATGGTTTAAGGGTGACAAACAGCTGGTGTCTGGCGGAAGCTGCTATATCACCAAAGAAGCTCTAGAGAGCTCCCTGGAGCTCTATGCTGTGAAAACCTCAGATTCGGGCACATACACGTGCAAAGTCAGCAACGTTGCCGGCAGTGTGGAGTGCAGTGCAGACGTGTTTGTGAAAGGTTTGCCTTCTTCTCTTGATGCCTTCGTGCGACCCTTTTCCCGCACAAGTTCTTTTCCTCTTCCGGCTGTTTCTTAATAACTCCCTTCCTTCCACAGAACCTGCGACGTTTGTGGAAAAGTTAGAGCCCTCACAGCTGCTCAAGAAGGGAGATGCCACTCAGCTAGCCTGCAGAGTCACGGGCACCCCTCCGATTAAGATCACATGGTTTGCCAATGACAGAGAGCTGAGAGAGAGCAGCAAGCACAAAATGTCTTTTGTGGAGTCCACCGCAGTCTTAAGGCTTACAGACGTGGCCATTGAAGACAGTGGGGAATACATGTGTGAAGCCCAAAACGAGGCTGGCAGTGACCACTGCACTAGCATGGTCATAGTCAAAGGTTTGTCCTCACGTTTTCTCCGTGCAACCCAGCCTTTGACTTGTAGCCCAGATCCCTGCCCATTAACGTGAGCCCTTCTCTTCTACTGTAGAATCGCCTTATTTTACCAAGGAGTTTAAGCCCATGGAAGTCTTAAAGGAGTACGATGTCATGCTACTGGCTGAGGTGGCAGGCACCCCTCCCTTCGAGATCACTTGGTTCAAAGACAACATGACCCTGAGGAGTGGTAGGAAATATAAAACCTTCATTCAGGACCAGCTGGTTAGCCTGCAGATCCTCAAGTTTGTAGGCACAGATGCGGGTGAATACCAGTGCCGGGTAACCAACGAGGTGGGCAGCAGCACCTGCAGTGCCAGGGTAACACTAAGAGGTCAGTGTTGGCTTAGTTGACTGCTGGGCTCTTCTACACAGACACGTCTTAAGTGTCTAGACGCAGTTTGGCCTTAGAGCTGGTACTGATGAGCACTCATTCTTCTGCTAGAACCCCCATCCTTCATTAAGAAGATCGAGACCACCAGCTCCCTCCGTGGAGGCACAGCTGCCTTCCAGGCCACTCTCAAAGGCTCCCTGCCCATCGCCGTGACTTGGTTGAAAGACAACGAAGAGATCACGGAAGACGACAGTATAAGAATGACGTTTGAGAACAACGTGGCTAGTCTCTACCTGAGTGGCATCGAAGTCAAGCACGATGGGAAATACGTCTGTCAAGCCAAAAACGATGCAGGCATCCAGAGGTGTTCTGCTTTGCTCTCAGTCAAAGGTTGGTTCTGAGAGCTGCCGTAGGTCGGAGGGGAAAGCGGTGCAGGTGCCAGGCCTTTGAGTGGGGCGCTTCACAGCCACACCTGTTTTTTGTCTCCAACAGAACCTGCGACAATAACAGAGGAGGCCGTGTCCATAGATGTCACCCAAGGAGACCCAGCCACTTTGCAAGTTAAATTTTCAGGGACTAAGGAGATCATAGCCAAATGGTTTAAAGATGGCCAAGAACTTACCCTGGGTCCGAAATACAAAATTAGTGTCACCGACACAGTCTCAATACTGAAGATTATCTCCACAGAGAAGAAAGATAGTGGAGAATATACTTTTGAGGTCCAAAATGATGTGGGGAGAAGCAGCTGCAAGGCTAGAATTAACGTCTTAGGTTGGTATTGATGTCCGTAGAGAGGAGCTGAGCATCTCAGGGGCCTTTCCTCTCGCGCTATTTAAAGAGGATATAGAGGATTATGGGCGGGGTTCACGTGTGTGCAAGGTACTGGGTTGATGCCTTAGCGCTTTGTGGTCAGAGGGGAGAGACGGAGGGAGGGAAAGAAAGAGAGAAAGGGAGAGAACAGATAGCTAGATTCACCTAAATCTCCTGCTTCTTTGTTGGATAGATCTTATTATACCTCCCTCGTTCACCAAGAAACTACGGAAAATGGACAGTATCAAAGGATCTTTTATTGACTTGGAGTGCATAGTGGCCGGCTCACATCCCATCAGCATCCAGTGGTTCAAAGACGACCAAGAAATCTCAGCTAGTGACAAATACAAATTCTCTTTCCATGACAACACTGCCTTCTTAGAGATAAGTCAGCTTGAAGGCACAGATAGTGGCACGTACTCTTGTTCCGCCACCAACAAGGCAGGCCACAGCCAGTGCAGCGGTCACCTGACCGTCAAAGGTTGGCAATTTTGATCCCTACCTCTCCAAACTCTATTGCCTTGCTCTTCTTAATTCTCCTCTTCTTCATTGAGCCCGGAAATAAATCTGTCTCCTTCTGCTTCCTGTTCTTTCATCCCAGAACCCCCTTACTTTGTGGAGAAGCCACAGTCACAAGACGTGAATCCCAGCACGAGGGTTCAGTTGAAGGCTCTTGTGGGTGGCACGACACCCATGGCAATAAAGTGGTTCAAAGATAACAAAGAGCTGTACCCCGGGGCGGCCCGCTCGGTTTGGAAGGACGACACCTCCACCATTCTGGAGCTCTTTTCAGCCAAGGCTGCCGACTCCGGGACCTACATTTGCCAGCTGAGCAACGATGTTGGCACAGCAAGCAGCAAAGCCACCCTCTTTGTGAAAGGTTCGCTCCCTCTATAGCCTCTTCTCCTTGCGTGCCTAGCTTGTCTTTGGGAAGGGAAAGTGCATTAAGAAAACAGTTTTGGTCATGGGACTTCATTTTTTTAAAAAAAAACATTCAGCATGCCACTCTTTCTTTTCTCGTCTTTAGAACCTCCTCAGTTTATCAAGAAGCCCAGCCCAGTGTTAGTGCTGAGGAACGGACAGTCAACCACATTTGAGTGCCAAGTGACAGGCACTCCAGAAATCAGAGTTTCTTGGTATCTGGATGGGAACGAAATAACAGATCTTAGGAAATACGGCATTTCCTTCGTGGATGGTTTAGCCACCTTCCAGCTCTCTAATGCCAGGGTAGACAACAGCGGGACTTACGTCTGTGAGGCTCGAAATGATGCGGGCACCGCGAGCTGCAGCGTCGAACTCAAAGTGAAAGGTTGGTGACGGCGCTGTGCTTCAGCTGGGCTGCGTGCTGGACTAAGGGCTTCCCTTGAGTTCAGCCGCTCTCTGTCTTCCTCTCGACTCTGTAGAGCCCCCCACCTTTATCCGGGAGCTGGAGCCTGCGGAGGTAGTGAAGGACAGTGATGTGGAGCTGGAGTGTGAAGTCATGGGGACAACGCCCCTCGAAGTCACCTGGCTGAAGAACGGCAAGGAAATCAGAAGCGGCAAGAAGTACACAATGTCTGAGAAAATGTCTGTGTTTTATCTGCACATAACCAAGTGTGACCCCTCCGATGTGGGTGAATATCAGTGCATCATAGCCAATGAAGGAGGCAGCTGCTCTTGTAGCGCTCGCGTTGCCTTGAAAGGTCAGTCACGTGCGAGGATCAGCCCCCGAGTCAGAACACTGGGCGCTCTTTAGCTGTATGTAGGCAATGAAATGAATAGGAGCTGAAAGGTGCCTCTTCTTGAACCACTGTCTCGTTTACTCACAGAGCCGCCGTCCTTTATCAAGAAGATTGAAAATGTCACCACCGTCTTGAAGAGCTCGGCTACCTTTCAGAGTACTGTCGCAGGCTCGCCCCCGATTTCTATAACTTGGCTGAAGGACGACCAGATTCTTGAGGAAAGTGACAATGTCCATATTTCATTTGTGGACAACGTAGCCACGCTTCAAGTCCGGAGTATAGATAATGGCCACAGTGGGCGGTACACATGCCAAGCCAAGAACGAGTCGGGAGTTGAGAGGTGCTACGCTTTCCTTCTAGTGCAAGGTCGGTGAATGGTTCTGTTTCAGGAGCGGTCTACAGAGATGTTTTTATCAGCATAGCTGGGTTCCAAGAGAATTACTGACCTAACTTATGCACATTTTCATTCTTACTGCAGAACCTGCTCAAATCATAGAGAAAGCTAAGTCAGTTGATGTTACCGAGAAAGACCCGGTCACCCTGGAGTGTGTGGTAGCCGGAACACCAGAACTCAAAGTCAAATGGCTTAAAGACGGGAAGCAAATTGTACCCAGTAGATACTTCTCAATGAGCTTTGAAAACAATGTGGCCAGCTTTAGGATTCAGTCGGTCATGAAACAAGACAGTGGGCAGTACACGTTCAAGGTGGAAAATGACTTCGGAAGCAGTAGCTGCGATGCCTACCTAAGAGTGTTAGGTGTGTACCCACCCCCCCAGCTACCCTTAAGTATAGCAGACACCTTGTAAACAAGCAGCAGCGTGTTAATGGTGTGTTTTTGCTGTTTGCCTTGGATAGACCAAGATATTCCCCCATCGTTCACCAAAAAGTTAACCAAGATGGATAAAGTTCTGGGCTCTTCTATTCAAATGGAGTGCAAGGTTTCGGGATCACTTCCTATCAGTGCTCAGTGGTTTAAGGATGGAAAAGAAATATCTACAAGTGCAAAATACAGACTCGTTTGTCACGAGAACACCGTGTCGCTGGAAGTGAGCCCTCTGGAGCTAGAAGACACTGCGAATTACACCTGCAAGGTGTCCAATGTGGCAGGAGATGCTGCCTGCAGTGGCATCTTAACCGTGAAAGGTGAGGGCTGCCTGGTCCTCTCCTACTCTTTAAAGGGTACTGCTCTTAACCTTGTATCTTCAGAGGTAAAAGATCTTAGTAATTCTGTTTCTTTTGATGCACATTCATTGAGTTTAAGAAATACTTAATCATTACCTCTTTTTTTGAGTTTTCTTCTTATATACCCATTAAAAAAAATATTGGGCTGTGACTAAATATGACTCTCTTAAAATCTGTAGAACCACCAAGCTTCCTAGAGAAACCTGAGCGGCAGCAAGCCATACCTGACTCTACAGTGGAATTTAAGGCTGTGCTGAAAGGAACACCGCCATTCAAAATTAAGTGGCTCAAGGATAATGTGGAACTTGTCTCAGGACCGAAATGCTTCATTGGCCTAGAGGGGTCAACGAGCTTCTTAAATCTCTACTCAGTGGATGCTTCCAAGACGGGCCAATATACTTGCCAAGTTACCAATGACGTTGGTAGCGACTCTTGCACTACAATGTTGCTTGTGACAGGTGTGCAAGTTTGATTGTCCGATGTTTCTGTCTGACTCATGCCTCTGTTGTTCCTAGACTCTGTTACAACGCAGCTTTCTAACATGGCTGAGTAATTTTCCCAGACCTTGGCCCTGTGTCTCCCTTTCCTATCTACTACCCAATTGGGCGTCTGTGATTTTTCGCTCTTTTTTTCATGATCTCCTTTTTTCCTGACTCTTTAGAACCACCGAAGTTTGTAAAGAAATTGGAAGCATCCAAAATAGTAAAAGCCGGTGACTCCACTCGCCTGGAGTGCAAGATCACTGGCTCTCCAGAAATCCGAGTTGTGTGGTACAGAAATGAGCATGAACTCACGGCCAGTGACAAGTACCAAATGACGTTCATCGACTCGGTGGCAGTCATACAGATGAACGGCCTCGGGACAGAGGACAGCGGAGATTTTATCCTTGAGGCTCAGAATCCTGCTGGCAGCACCAGCTGCAGCACCAAGGTTATAGTAAAAGGTAGAATCCTCCTTCTGTTCCTCATTAACAGAAACCCATCACCTTCTTCTCCCCTGGGCATCAAGGCGTCTCACGCTACACTGCTCCCAGGGGGATTTGCCTAAGATAGAGTCATGTCACCCATCGGATGCTATTTCTTGTTAATATTTGTTTACATTCACTTGGGTATTTTGACATATTTTTCCTGTAATTCTGATACTGTAATTTTGGCCACCTCAACACATCCGCTAAAACGCACATACAGAAATGAATGGGAAGTGTTTACGTTGGTCCTTTGGTTTCAGTCACACTGAAACTATATCAGTATCTCCAGTATAGTCTGCATCATAATGATGTAACATACAGACAATCTAGGTTTTAATATTACATCTTTAAAATGACATTAATATGTTTCCTCTTTCTCACAAATCAGCTCCTTTGTGTAAAAACCATGACTTTCCTGTGGTGCAAATAGTGCCAGTATTTTCAACAGCCTCTTCTCAGCATGCTTTACCATAAAACTCAAGTTTGTCCTGTAAGATGATTGTTAAGAGTAGGAAGGCTCAGATCACCGCCGTTCTTGTGATTTCTGGGTGTCTCTGTTGTAAAGTGGAAATGACATTCTTTTTTAATTTCTAAAGCCAAAATTCCATACTTCACAGAATTTCCGTTCATTGATACATTTGCTTATTTATAAATTTGGTGTCCATCTTTGTAGTCCAAGATAAAGCAGCACATTGACCTTCTCAACTGAGCCCTCTAGGATGCATCTTGACTCTCCACCTATCTTGCTAAAAAGTGATAGTGCTACCTACAAATGATACTATCTTAAACCATGCTTCTAATTGGGGAAAAAAAAAAAAAAACCCTTTTTTTTTTTTATCTTGGAGGCTATCAAGTAGCCCAACTCATGAGCAATTCTTGTTTTTTTTTTCCAGAGCCACCCGTTTTTAGCAGCTTCCCTCTTGTAGTAGAAACCCTTAAGAACACAGAAGTTAGTCTTGAATGCGAGCTTTCAGGAACACCGCCGTTTGAGGTGGTGTGGTTTAAAGATAAGCGCCAACTCCGAAGCAGCAAGAAGTACAAGATCGCATCTAAGAATTTCCACGCCAGCATCCACATCCTCAACGTGGAATCTGCGGACATCGGCGAGTACCACTGCAAAGCCCAGAATGAAGTGGGCTCCGACACCTGTGTCTGCGCTATAAAACTAAAAGGTGAGCGTGATTTCTGCGCACGGCAGAAATGTCAGGCGTGAGCAAAACGCTCCGTGTGTTCTCTCTTCCCTTGCCCGGAAAGCTTTCTGAACAATCTCCATTCATCTTTTCCCGTTCAGAACCACCAAAATTCATTTCCAAGCTGAGCAGCCTCACGGTGGTGGCTGGAGAGCCTGCCGAGCTGCAAGCATCCATAGAAGGCGCCCAGCCTATTTCTGTCCAGTGGCTTAAAGAGAAAGAAGTGGTCAGAGAGAGCGAGAACGTTAGAATTTCGTTCGTGGACAATGTGGCGACTCTGCAGTTCGCTAAAGCGGAGCCGGCTAACGCTGGGAAGTACATCTGCCAAGCCAAGAACGACGGTGGAGTGAGGGAGAACATGGCCACACTGACCGTCTTAGGTATGCGGTCCCCGTTAGAACCTGGGAGCAATCGCTGTAATGACTTCCATGTGATATCTTCGTTCTGAATTTCTTCCAGAACCTTATTGAGCTTCACTGTTTGGAAGGCTTAGGAAAAAGACACAGTTGATCTTAAGTGCTCTTTTCTGATTCCTATGGTTCTTACAAAAAAAATTAGCTAGCTGTTTTATTTATATGCCTGCCCTGCTTTTCTGTGTGGGTAGCAAATCTCCTGATTATCTTTTATTTCAACACAAACCCACTAGTAGCCTCTCCACTGTTACAAGAAAATTTTGCTTTCAGACTAGTTGTGGTTACGCTGGTAAAAACCTCCAAAGATCAATGTTTGAAGGAAAAATTTGCACGTTCATTGCTGGGGATATTAAATTTCCATCCAGCGATAAGAATGAAAATGAGGAGAATGTTCGAGATCTCTTCTCTAGGGAAAAAAACACCGAGTAACTCATTAGCAGAGCCTTCTGCTCTAAAGAACGTCAAGTGCAAATCAAAACACATTATGTGGGGCCCAGTGAGATGGCTCAGTGGGTAAAGGTGCCTGCCACTGTGTCTGAGGACCTGAGTTCAATCCTTGGACTGCCTTGTCCTCTGACCCCATATGCATTCTGTGGCATATACCCTCCAGCAAACACACAGACGTACTTACAAAATAGTGTTTGTACTATTTTAAAAAAAAAAACTACATTGTCTGATATACATTGCCTAGATTGTTTTAGAGTAGACAAATGCCCAAACATCCTTTTAATTATTGCAAATAATTTTATGAGTGCGTAGGATTACAGATCACATTTTAGAGCCGAGAGAGAGAAAATGGAACCGTCAGTGAGAGAAACAGTCATTGCAGTTCAGAGAAGAGATACAAGGGAAGATCCAGGTTTCCAACGATGCATCTCATGCTTTCTTTCAGAGCCTGCAGTCATTGTAGAGAAGGCAGGCTCCATGACGGTGACTGTGGGAGAAACATGCACCCTGGAGTGTAAGGTGGCTGGCACTCCCGAGCTCTCTGTGGAGTGGTACAAGGATGGGAAGCTCTTGACCAGTAGCCAAAAGCACAAATTCAGCTTCTACAACAAAATGTCTTCCTTAAAAATTCTCTCGGTTGACAAGGAAGACGCAGGCACCTACACGTTCCAGGTTCAAAACAACGTCGGGAAAAGCAGCTGCACTGCTGTGGTGGATGTATCAGGTCAGTTTGGGGCGTTTTCTTCAGCTCGCTCATGCCACTTTCTCTTGTGAGCTTTCTTTCCCTCTTTCCATAAGTCACCGCAAGCCATTTCCCTCTCTTCGCGCAGACCGAATGGTTCCTCCCTCTTTCACACGGAGACTGAAGGATACCGGTGGGGTCCTGGGCACTTCTTGCGTCTTGGAATGTAAAGTGGCTGGGTCGTCCCCTATCTCCATCGCCTGGTTTCATGAGAAGACTAAGATTGTCAGTGGAGCGAAGTACCAGACGACGTTTTCAGATAACGTCTGCACGTTACAGCTGAACTCTCTGGATTCATCGGATGTGGGCAGTTACACGTGCGTGGCTGCTAACGTGGCCGGCTCTGATGAGTGTCGTGCCACACTGACTGTACAAGGTTAGTGATACACAGTCAAGTTTGTGTGGCATTTACTAAACATTCCTCTCTGGACATATGTCCAGACTGACGCACACCTGAGGTACTCTTATTTTTTTTATTCGAAATCGTTAGTAAGGCCAAAGCTGACTGGGCCCTTCCATTGTCTTCTGTGTCTGTGTAGAGCCGCCCTCTTTTGTGAGAGAGCCTGAACCACTGGAAGTCCTTCCGGGCAAAAACGTCACCTTCACAAGCGTCATCAGAGGAACCCCTCCATTCAAGGTCGGCTGGTTTAGGGGTGCCAGAGAACTGGTGAAGGGAGACAGGTGCAACATCTATTTTGAGGATACCGTGGCAGAACTGGAATTATTTAATACTGATGTATCTCAGAGTGGAGAGTACACCTGTGTGGTTTCTAATGATGCTGGCCGGGCATCCTGCACTACACATCTCTTTGTGAAAGGTTTGCCAAACACGCCCACTCTCCTTCTTTTGACGCCTAGCATTTTGGTGGCTTTATGGTGTGCCTAACTACAATGCTTTCTCACTTATCAGAGCCAGCCACGTTTGTAAAGAAACTAAGTGACCACTCTGTGGAACCCGGGAAGTCTGTCATTCTGGAGGGTACCTATACTGGAACACTTCCAATTTCTGTCACCTGGAAAAAAGATGGTATTGGCATAACTCCGTCGGAAAGATGCAGCATCGTCACCACAGAGAAAACATGCATCCTGGAGATCCTGAGCAGCACAAAGGGGGACGCAGGGCGCTACTCCTGTGAGATTGAGAACGAGGCAGGAAGGGATGTTTGCGAAGCTCTGGTGTCTACCTTAGGTGTGTGATCATCCTCTCTTGAGAATTTTGCATGTATCCAGTATGCAGGGTGGGTCCTTTGCTCTTGCGTCGTTCCGTTTGCTGACTGTGAGCCTTTCTTCTTTAGAACCGCCTTATTTCGTTACGGAATTAGAGCCTCTGGAGGCGGCAGTTGGAGACTCGGCTTCCTTGCAATGCCAAGTAGCTGGGACACCAGAAATTACAGTGTCTTGGTTCAAAGGAGACACCAAGTTAAGGTCAACTCCAGAATACAGGACCTACTTTACAAACAACGTGGCCACCCTTGTCTTTAACAAAGTGAGCATCAATGACGGCGGGGAATACACATGCATGGCGGAAAACAGCATAGGAACGGCAGCCTCTAAGACGGTCCTCAGAATTCAAGGTGACGCTTTGAGCTTAGCCACTCAGACATTTCCTCTCCCCTCTCTAACTCCTTTATCTTTATGGGGACTTTTCTCCTTTCATCCATTAATATTAATACCTCAAGTATAACTTGTCTTCCTACAGAGCGCCAGCTCCCACCGTCCTTTGCAAGACAATTAAAGGACATTGAGCAAACTGTTGGGTTACCAGTTACACTCACTTGCCGCCTGAATGGCTCTGCACCCATCCAAGTGTGCTGGTATAGAGACGGGGTGCTTTTAAGAGATGATGAAAATCTACAGACGTCATTCGTGGATAATGTGGCGACGTTAAAAGTTTTGCAGACTGACTTGAGCCACTCTGGCCAGTATTCTTGCTCTGCCTCCAATCCACTCGGCACCGCCGCGTCGACTGCTAGACTGTCGGCAAGAGGTTTGTTCCCATGCCCACCTTACTCTTTCCCTGCCTTGATTTCTTATTTAATTGTGAAGACAGAAGTAGCCGACAGCCAAAAGGGAAGCAAGATCTATGTTATTGTATACACATTGCCTTTTCTTCTCATCTTCCAGAACCTAAGAAATCCCCCTTCTTTGATATCAAGCCGGTATCAATAGATGTCATTGCCGGAGAAAGTGCAGATTTTGAATGTCATGTTACCGGTGCCCAACCGATGCGAATCACTTGGTCAAAAGATAACAAGGAAATCCGACCTGGAGGAAACTATACTATCACGTGTGTGGGGAACACTCCCCATCTGAGGATTCTTAAAGTGGGCAAAGGAGACTCTGGTCAATACACTTGTCAAGCAACCAATGACGTTGGCAAAGACATGTGCTCTGCCCAGCTGAGTGTAAAAGGTACCACCGCCTAGTGTTTGCCAAGACTGGTTCTCGACTATATATATATATATATATGCTTGCGTCATCCTCTTTTGTGTGTCAAATCATGGTTTGTTTGTTTGTTTGTTTTTTTCCTGCTTGTGCCTAACTCAGTTTTAGAGCACTTCCCTTGCCCATGTGAAGCCCTGGGCTAAATCCCTCAGTCATGCCAAAAATAAGAAAGACATTGAGTTTCACCTGGCTTGTTTCTGGTTTTATGGTCTATGCTTGCCTGGAACTCATAGAAATCCTCCTGTCTTAGTCCCCTGGGAGCTAGGAATATAAGTGTGAGACACCATTTTCAGCTGTCTTAAGTCTTTAAATGTTTGAGTTAAACTAGCAGTTATATTTGAGTTTATGCCTTTGTGTTAGAGGAGCAATAACCAAAGATTTTGCTCTTGTCTTTAAATTCTTAAGAAGTCTTCTTCCATTTAACTTTGTAAAATATAGTTTCAATTTTTTACTCTCCCTTTTTATCATGTCTTGTTATATAACATCTGGTTTATCGTTACAAAATTTCGATCAAATATATGTGCAATTATATTAGCTGGTATGTTTTATCTGATCTATCCAGACCCTACAATGTCAGTCAAATTCTCTGATAAATATCTTAAATCACCTAATAGGAAAGTTTACCATGAAATCATTAGCAAGTTCCTTCTTAATAATGAGTCGATTAACATGTGAACTTTGGGGATTCTCGACTATACGGATAAACTCTTTAACACATAATTATCTATCACTGACTGTTTCCTTTGGTTTAATAGAACCTCCCAAGTTTGTTAAGAAATTAGACCCTTCGAAAGTCGCGAAGCAGGGAGAATCCATCCAACTGGAGTGTAAGATCAGCGGCTCCCCAGAAATCAAAGTCTCTTGGTTCCGGAATGACAACGAACTTCACGAAAGCTGGAAATACAACATGTCCTTTGTGAATTCTGTGGCACTGCTTACCATCAACGAGGCTAGTGCTGAGGACAGTGGTGACTACATCTGTGAAGCTCATAATGGCGTTGGTGACGCCAGCTGCAGCACAGCCCTGAAAGTTAAAGGTTAGCCCCTCTTCTGCTCCCCCTTATCTCCAGTGGGCTCCCTAGGATCGCTCTCAAGGTCTCAGGGTGTCCAAATATCCAGACGTGAGCTCAGGCTGGACCTGAGCCTGAGGATTTCTGGTGATTAGATAAAACCCTGCATTCCTTAGGAATCTGTGACGCCAGTCCCCTTCCAGCTCTCTGTTACAGACTTATCTCCAATCTGTAAGGTCCAAAATTTAAAAGCTTACAACTCTTAAAAGTTTGTGAATTATCCTGTGTCAGCGTGTGTCGTCATTATCCACACAGTCTCTCTCAATGATCTCTTTTCATAGCTAATAGCTCTAGATTCTAGAAACTAGGTATGTGGATGCTGACACCATTTGTCCCCTTTGGTGAGCAGCTGCGTTCATTGTTCATCCTCTTTTCTTCCGGTAGCACCTCCTGTTTTTACCCAGAAGCCTCCTCCAGTCGGAGCCCTGAAAGGTTCTGATGTGATCCTCCAGTGTGAAATTTCGGGAACGCCCCCTTTCGAAGTGGTGTGGGTTAAAGACAGAAAGCAAGTTCGAAGCAGCAAGAAATTTAAAATCACCTCCAAAAACTTCGACACGAGTCTTCATATCTTTAGTCTTGAAGCCGCTGACATAGGGGAATATCACTGCAAAGCCACCAATGAGGTGGGAAGTGACACTTGTGTTTGCGCTGTCAAGTTCAAAGGTTTGTACACAGAGACACACACACAATGTGCTTCTTCCTTTGATCTGTTCCTGCCCAACTAATATCTAATGTGGCTCTGGTTGTGACTCTTACTTTTTCATTTATCCGTGCATTTCTTTCATCAGAACCACCACGGTTTGTGAAGAAGCTCAGTGACACATCCACCCTTATCGGGGAGCCTGTGGAACTGCAAGCTGTGGTGGAAGGTTTCCAGCCGATTTCTGTCGTCTGGCTGAAAGATAAAGGTGATGTCATCAGAGAGAGTGAGAACATTAGGATTTCCTTCGTCGATAACATCGCGACACTCCAACTGGGAAGTCCAGAAGCATCCCATTCTGGAAAATACGTGTGCCAGATCAAAAATGATGCTGGCATGAGGGACTGTTCGGCAGTCTTGACTGTACTAGGTTAGTAGCAAAGTAGACCTCTGAGAACAAGAGGCGTGTATTGACCTATAATCACTTCCTGAAGACAGGACTCTTATCCAACTCTTGACTGAATGTGAGCTGAATTTGTTCTTAATGCGACATACTTTCTTCTTCCAGAACCAGCCAGAATTGTAGAGAAACCAGAACCCCTGACTGTCACCACTGGAAATCCCTTCACGTTGGAATGTCTTGTAGCTGGGACTCCAGAACTAAAAGCCAAGTGGTTCAAGGACGGGAGAGAACTCTCCGCAGGCAGCAGACATCACATAACATTCGTGAGGAACCTGGCTTCCCTGAAGATCCCCTCTGCAGAGATGAACGACAAGGGCTTGTATACCTTTGAGGTGGAGAACAGTGTGGGCAAAAGCAGCTGCACCGTCTCTGTCCACATCTCGGGTGAGTACGACAAGGAGGCCGTGATGGTGACAGCGTCTCCGGTAGGGGTGGGAGTAGGAGAAAGCTCCCTGAATGGCAACTCTTCTTCTTCTCTAGATCGCATTGTCCCGCCCTCCTTCATCCGGAAGCTGAAAGACACCAATGCCACCATCGGAGCCTCGATTGTTTTGGAGTGCCGAGTGTCCGGCTCGGCCCCAATTTCAGTCGGCTGGTTTCTGGATGGAAGCGAGATCGGTGGTAGTCCCAAGTGTCAGCCCAGCTTTTCGGATAATGTCTGTACTTTGAGTCTGAACTCGCTGGAACCCTCCGACACCGGCACTTATACGTGCGTGGCTGCCAATGTAGCCGGCCAGGATGAAAGCTCTGCCGTGCTGACTGTCCAAGGTCAGTGGATGAGGACACCCCGCTGTTTCTCTCCCCACTGTCCAGCCTGAACCACCTCTGTGTTCATTTCTCCATCTTTGCTTCCTTTCCTTTAAGTAACAAACACCCCTTTTCTCTTCGTCTTCCTTCCTCCTGGGCTATTTAGAACCGCCATCTTTTGAACAAACTCCTGATTCTGTGGAAGTTTTGCCTGGAATGAGCCTGACCTTCACCAGTGTCATTAGAGGCACCCCTCCCTTCAAGGTCAAGTGGTTTAAGGGCAGCAGGGAACTGGTGTCAGGGGACTCGTGCACCATTTCCTTGGAAGACTTCGTCACCGAGCTGGAGCTGCTGGAGGTGGAGCCACTGCAGAGCGGAGATTATTCTTGCCTTGTGACCAACGATGCCGGCAGCGCTTCTTGTACCACGCACCTCTTTGTGAAAGGTTCGCTCTTTTATCCAGCGCCTTTTCCTTGCTAAAATCTTTCCGATGCAGCATCTGAAGGTACAGCTTTACCCTCATTCTCTCTCCTTATAGAGCCAGCCACTTTTGTGAAGAGATTGACGGACACCAGTGTGGAGACAGGCAGCCCCATCGTTCTGGAGGCGACTTACACCGGCACACCTCCCATCTCCGTGAGCTGGATGAAGAACGAATACGCTCTGGCGCAGTCTCCCAACTGCAGTATTACAACAACAGAAAAGTCCAGCATCCTGGAAATTCTTGAAAGCTCGATAGAGGACTATGCCCAGTACGCTTGCCTCATAGAAAACGAAGCTGGGCAAGATATCTGCGAAGCTCTCGTGTCTGTCTTAGGTGTGTTGACAGTTAGCCCCTTCTCCTGTTGTCTCTTCCTGTGCAGCTTTGTCTTTGAGTTGGTGTGAGCTGATCAATTACTGTTCTTTGTGTCTTAGAACCGCCTTACTTTATCGAACCCCTGGAACATGTGGAAGCAGCTATCGGGGAGCCCACAACTTTACAGTGTAAAGTGGATGGGACCCCAGAAATCAGGATTTCTTGGTATAAAGAACACACAAAGCTACGGTCAGCTCCTGCATATAAGATGCAATTCAAGAACAATGTTGCCTCTTTAGTCATCAACAAGGTGGACCAGAGCGATGTGGGAGAGTATACATGCAAGGCAGAAAACAGTGTGGGGGCCGTTGCTTCTTCCGCTGTGCTGGTTATCAAAGGTGATGATGCTTTTGCTTGAAAAGTCTTGCAGCGTATTGATAGATTAGTTTTAATCAGAACTTTCTGAGGATACAAATAAGCTGTAGGTGTTTTCTCTCTTATAAATAAGGATTGTCTGCAATTCCTTTCTAGAGCGTAAACTTCCACCTACGTTTGTGAGAAAACTGAAAGACGTCCACGAGACTCTGGGCTTCCCGGTTGCCTTTGAGTGCCGGATCAACGGCTCGGAACCTCTTCAGGTGTCTTGGTACAAGGATGGCGTACTTTTAAAAGATGATTCTAATTTGCAGATGTCTTTTGTGCATCATGTGGCCACTCTGCAGATTTTGCAGACTGACCAGAGCCACGTTGGTCAGTACAATTGCTCAGCTTCCAACCCTCTTGGGACCGCTTCATCAAGCGCCAAGCTCGTCCTCTCAGGTGAGCTGAGTAACTCACGGTACCGCCCTCTCGGTTACAGCCCAGCTTCACTCCCTCGGGCCACCAAGACTGGTGCCCTTTGGTTTCTGTCTCTGATCTTGGGGCAGGGAAAGTGACATCATCATGTCGCTCTTCCTTCTTTCCAGAGCACGAAGTGCCTCCCTTCTTTGATTTGAAGCCAGTGTCGGTAGAGCTGGCTCTTGGGGAAAGTGGCTCTTTTAAATGTCACGTCACGGGAACCGCGCCAATCAAAATCACCTGGGCCAAGGACAACCGTGAGATTCGCCCTGGGGGCAACTACAAGATGACCCTGGTTGAAAACACTGCCACGCTGACCGTGCTCAAAGTAGCCAAAGGTGACGCAGGGCAGTATACGTGCTACGCGAGCAACGTTGCCGGAAAGGACTCTTGTTCTGCTCAGCTGGGTGTCCAAGGTACTCCTCAGAGTGAAGTGCCGAAATCTCTTTCATGTTTTCCGTGTCTTAAAATGTAGGTGGCTGATATGCCTGAAGACTGTATATAGATAGGACCAAAGTCACATAATTACACGTGATCAAATGAGGCTAGAGGTACGGCTCGATGGGATAGTGCTTGCCTGGTGTTAGATCCTTAATAGCATATGGCAGAAAGATGGAGAAAAAGAAGGGAAGAAAGAAGAAGTGGAGGGAGGAAGGAACAGAGGGGCCACAAAAGAATCCAAGATCTTCTAAGTGGAAAAATACCTTGAATTTGTTTTCAAAATAGAAAATTAGAAAAATATATTTCCAAATTCTGCAAATAGAGATGAAGGAGAAAAATGAACAAAAAAAGTTCCCTAGAATTATAAGAAAAGCCTAGCTTGGAAAAAAGTTATCACAGGGCAAAAAAAAATTAATTACTTCAAATGACCTATTTTTGGTAGTGCTTAGTAAATTAGTGAATTCATTACCCTCTAAAACAGAGCACCACTCCAAACTATCAAGTCCTTCCCAGAAAATCAGGTCGACTGTGAGGTGAGCTTCTTTTCTTCCACCAACTATGCTTAATGAAAGCAGAAGTCAGGGGACTTGGTGTTAGCCAGGCTTGCCATCTGGACCAGGGCTTCCCAAGTTCTTAGCATCTTGTTCAAAAAACGAAGAAGCACACACAATTAGCAGAGTATTGAGGAGTTTCGTTTGAAGGTCATGCAAAAGTGCATACTTGATACTCTGCAAGATAACAGCAGGCGGTGAGTGGAATTGACCCAGGAGCCCCCTGGTCACTGCCTAGGGCTCCCACCTTTGCGTCTAGGAAGACAAAGAGCTGGTTGCTAGGTCTGGGGTGTGGATAGTTTTGTTGTGATTGACAGTCATGGGTGTAAGCCCTAACTCATTGTTCATGTCCTTCCCAAGATACATCTAATTACAATCATATACGTGTCCAATCATGTATAACCCTAAGATGATAAATAAGAGAGTTCCCCTAAAAGTCCATTTTGAGGACACAGTTTGCTTTCGTGCCCATGTAGGCTGAACTGACCCACTGCCTCTGGTTCCAGGACATGTATCAGGGACTTTGGGTCACACAAGGAAGGTTTATTTCAGAGTTGATAAGGAGCAATAGGTCAAAGTCACTGTGGCTTTATTTGGGGAGGGATGAACCTGCAGTTTGATGTAGGTAAAGTCTCAGGTTGCAAAGTGCGTTGTTGAAGAAGTGATATACGTGGAACTTAAGTCAAACAGGACTCCAGATCGCTAAGGTACCCTTAAATGTGCCTGCCTCCTAAGATGTAAATGCCATAACATCCAATGTTATGAAAGAATTATGGTGCATTTCACAGATGCTCATCTAAAACTATAGGTTTACCTCCGCAGACCGCTATCTAACCAGATTTAAAATTTTTAGGCTTACTGAAATAGTAGTTGATAAATACCTTGAAATTCGGAATACTGTTCAAGACCCTTTTGTACCATGAGACAACTAACCATTCACCTCCTGAGCCTGAAAGTTTGGTCAGTGAAGAAAACATTGCTCTTTCATCCAAAGGAAATGGTAGACGCCGAAGTGATATCTACTGAAGGCAAACAAGAGATTATTGTAGTTTACAATATTAAGATATATGATCGCTTTTGCTCTGGCTGTATACAGTCCATAATGAACGTCTCTGAAGCCGTAGCTTCCCACTGACTCACACGCAGGCAGGATAACCCCAGTCTCTCCCTCCTGCAATCCCCAAGGGGCTTCTGTGGTGTGGCCTGTGAACTTGGCTGTAGAAAAATTATTCTGTTTCTGGGAGGCAGGTATGTAATCGAGAGAGAGGCCTTCTCCTTCTTTCTCTAGCCACAGTTGGGTAATGGGGTTCACAAAACATAAACTCCTTTAGGGTATGTAGGAATCACTTAGCTACCCTTCACTAAACTGCATCCGATGAATTTGTCTCCTGTAGATGAAGTCCATGCTGAAAGAGATTTCTTTATTCACCCCATCTTGTAATACATCTGTCTTTCCTGTCCCTTGCCTTGTGCCTTCCCTTTTGGCTCCCTAGAACCACCCAGGTTCATTAAGAAGCTAGACCCATCACGAATCCTGAAGCAACATGAGTTTACCAGATATGAATGCAAAATAGGCGGGTCTCCAGAAATCAAGGTTTCGTGGTACAAGGACGAGGTTGAAATTCAAGAAAGCAGCAAGTTCAGAATGTCGTTCGAGGACTCGGTGGCAGTGCTGGAGATGCACGGTCTCAGTGTGGAAGACAGCGGGGATTACACGTGCGAGGCTCGCAATGCAGCAGGGAGCGCCAGCAGCAGCACCTCCCTGAAGGTTAAAGGTCAGGCTTTGCCCCACCTCTGCCCTGTATGTCAGCTCCTCTTTTTGTTCACTGTGTTTCAGTCTTTCTTCTCCCATAATGTTTTAAAGTTGTGTAACAATCCAATTTTTAGAAAAATGGGAGAGATATTTTCTCCCTTTCTCTAATGGGGTAGAAAGCTAATTCTTCCCCTTGTCTAAACACAAAGTCCATCCTAATGGACTTTCCTTTCCCCCTCAATTCCAGAACCACCAGTGTTCCGCAAGAAGCCTTTTCCTGTCGAGACCCTCAAAGGAGCTGATGTTCACCTAGAATGCGAGCTGCAGGGCACGCCTCCCTTTCAAGTTTCTTGGCACAAAGACAAGAGAGAACTCAGGAGTGGCAAGAAGTACAAGATCATGTCTGAGAACTTGCTCACAAGCATCCACATCCTGAACGTAGACACCGCTGACATCGGGGAGTACCACTGCAGAGCCACCAATGACGTCGGGAGTGACACTTGCATTGGCTCCGTCACTCTGAAAGGTACGAGTCACATCCTTCTCTTCTGCTTACCGTTAATGCTGCACCCCACATTGCTGTTGATTGTTTAACACTAACAATCTTTTCTATCTAAATCCTTCCATGTTTGGTCTACTTCGTTCATCTAACTCAAACTAAATAGCCCCCCAAAATAGTGATGTGTCTTCCTTGGACTTTAGACTCTATTCAGCCTCTTTTGGATACAGACTCTATGGCAGTGATTCTCAACCTGTGGGTCATGACCCCTTTGGGGATGGGGGGGTCAAAGGACCCTTTCACAGGGGTTACCTAAAACCATCAGAAAACACAAATATTCACATTCTGATTCATAACTTTAGAAAAATTACAGTTATAAAGTAGCAACAAAAATAATTTTGTGGTTGGAGGGTCACCACAACATGAACTGTTAAAGGGTCCCAGCACTTAGAAGGTTGAGAATCACTGTTTTAAGGGGTTCTCAGTCCCATTGCTTCTTTTTTACAAAATGAAATGCTACGTTATCACGGGAGTGTTGAGGGAAACGCTTCCAGTCCCGTAGATGTTAAAGCCCGTCTTCCTGTTTGTTTCTCCTCAGCGGCACCACGGTTTGTGAAGAAGCTCAGTGACATTTCCACCATCGTTGGCAAAGAAGTCCAGCTGCAGGCAACAGTTGAAGGCGCTGAGCCCATTTCAGTGGCATGGTTCAAGGACAAAGGGGAAATAGTTAGAGAAAGCGACAACGTGTGGATTTCTTATTCCGAAAACATTGCAACCCTACAGTTTTCCAGAGCAGAACCAGCCAATTCTGGGAAATACACCTGCCAGATCAGAAACGATGCGGGCATGCAGGAGTGCCACGCCACGCTGTCTGTTCTCGGTGAGTCCATAGGGTGTCCTCATGAACACAGGGCCTGCATGCAGGTCTGTGGTTCCCTTAGTTATTTTTTAATTCTATTTTACTTGTTGTAATAGGAGCGGCGGGGCTGCGTCCCTAGCACCCTGGCCACTGGCTAGCTTTACCCGAAATAACAACACACAAACTGTATTCTTTTAAATACTGCTTGGCCCATTATATCTAGCCTCTTCTCGGCTAACTCTCGCACCTGGACTAGCCCATTTTTAATATTCTATGTAGCACCCCAAGGTGCGCTTACCGGGAAGATTCTAGCCTACGTCCATCCTGGCGGCTTGCTTCATCATGTGCGTCTGCCTCAGAGAGCAGAGCTCTCCCATCTGCCCGGGAGAGGGGAGCATGACGTCTCTCTGAGCTCACTTCCTCTTCCTCCCAGCATTCTATTCTGTTTACTCCTCCCACCTATGTTTTAACCTATCAGGGCCAAGCAGTTTCTTTATTGCTTAACCAATGAAATCAACAGATTGATATATGACACTCCCACATCATTTACTTTAAATTATGCTGTGATATTCAACTATTTCAGAGCCTGCAGCAATCGTGGAAAAGCCAGAATCCGTTAAGGTCACTGCAGGAGACACCTGTACCTTGGAGTGTACAGTGTCTGGAACGCCTGAACTCAGTACCAAGTGGCTGAAGGATGGAAAGGAACTCACGAGTGACAGCAAATACAAGATAAGCTTCTTCAACAAAGTATCAGGCCTGAAAATCATCAACGTGGCACCTGGTGACAGTGGGATATACAGCTTTGAGGTGCAAAATCCTGTGGGCAAAGACAGCTGCACGGTCTCGATTCAAGTTTCAGGTTGGTTGGCCTATTCATTCGCCTTGATAGCAGTGAAGACCCCAACTGTCCTAAAGAGAGAAGCTCCATCCTTCCCAGTATAGCACGAGTCTTCACATCCTCAGGTGCAGCAGGGTCAGAGGCAGCAGACATGCACAAATAGAAGAAAACCATACTCAAAGTTACATTCCTTTCTTTTGGGAAGAATCCCTAGGAAGTTAGTTCACACATTCTCCAGGCTTTATGTTGTGTAACCCCATGGCGAATACCTAGAGAATCTTTCCAAAGGGCCAGATAGATCGAGCCATATTCCATCAAAAGAACAATTCTCTCTTTGGGTCCTTTAATAACTGACACTCCTTGCTGTGTTTGCTTTTTCTCCTATCCAGATCGAGTTATCCCTCCTTCGTTCACAAGAAAACTGAAGGAGACGAACGGTCTGTCCGGTTCCTCCGTTGTGATGGAGTGCAAAGTCTACGGGTCACCCCCGATCTCCGTCGTGTGGTTCCATGATGGGAACGAGATCAGCAGTGGCCGGAAATACCAGACCACACTGACAGACAACACATGTGCCCTCACTGTGAACATGCTGGAAGAATCCGACGCTGGCGACTACACGTGCATAGCGACCAATGTGGCCGGCTCTGATGAATGTAGTGCCCCTCTGGCAGTGAGAGGTCAGTTCAAATCACAGCAATGTTCAAAACACAGCCATAGGCAACCGTGTTGCACAGAGGACTTAGCCGTTGAAGGTCGCAGATACTAACCATTTACCAATTTGTATTTTTTTTTCTTTTTTTATAGAGCCACCATCCTTTGTTCAGAAACCTGACCCCGTGGATGTCTTAACCGGCAGTAATGTCACCTTCACAAGCATTGTGAAAGGAACACCTCCCTTCAGTGTGAGCTGGTTCAAAGGGAGCAGCGAGCTTGTGCCTGGGGCCAGGTGCAATGTGTCTCTGCAGGACTCAGTGGCGGAACTGGAGTTGTTTGACGTGGACACATCCCAAAGTGGAGAGTACACTTGTATAGTTAGTAACGAGGCTGGCAGGGCTTCCTGTACAACACATCTCTTCGTAAAAGGTGTGCTTGCTGTTCTGTTTAAACAATTAAATGGCACATAGCAGTCAGATGCGCTGTGCCTTTGTATGTGTTTGTGTGTATTTGATTTTGTTTTATCAATTTGTTCACACCAGCTCCAGCCATATTTGTGAAGAGACTCAATGATTACAGTATAGAGAAAGGCAAGCCCCTGATCCTCGAAGGGACCTTCTCTGGGACTCCTCCCATCTCTGTGACGTGGAAGAAAAATGGTATAAATGTCACTCCTTCCCAACGGTGTAATATCACCACCACCGAAAAGTCCGCCATCCTAGAGATTCTGAGCAGCACTGTGGACGATGCGGGCCAATACAACTGCTACATTGAAAACGCTTCCGGCAAGGATTCCTGCTCTGCCCAGATCCTGATACTAGGTTCGTGGTTATTGCACTCAGAGCCTCACACCCAGCCAGTGGTCCTGACCTGTCCTTCATGGATGTTTATGTCTTTTGCTGCAGAACCACCCTATTTTGTCAGGCAGTTGGAGCCTGTGAAGGTGACAGTCGGCGATTCTGCCTCTTTGCAATGCCAGCTTGGCGGGACGCCTGAAATCGGGGTCTCCTGGTATAAAGGCGACACAAAGCTGAGGCCCACTGCCACCTGCAAAATGCATTTCAAAAACAACGTGGCTACGCTGGTTTTCACCCAGGTTGACGGCAGCGACAGCGGAGAATATATCTGCAGGGCTGAGAACAGCGTGGGAGATGTATCTTCATCAACTTTCCTGACTGTTCAAGGTGACAATGATGTTTTCAGAGCAGATGGATATGTGTTTCTTTTAAAACGCTTAAAATGCTCAACAAGGGCCTTCTTTCGGGGGAAATAGAGATGCTGCTTTGGGGCTTAAGTAATTCCAGTTTGCATTTCCTTGGGTGATTGTTTTTCTGAAGATCTTACTATATGTCTCCTACTGGATGAAACTCGTTAAGCAGACCAAGTTGGATGGGTTGATCTTGAACCCATGGATCACCCTCCTACCTTTGCCTCCTGAGTTCTGAGATTATAGGTGTGTGTACTGCCACACCTGGCTACACTTTTTCTACATTCTTTGTATGGAGTCAGTAAAATGTTGACAAATAGATCATGCTACCATTTATCTCTTTAAATCTTAAAGGAATATAAGCGGTTCATATTTTTAAATTCACTCCATGCCTGTCTCATTCAGCTTCCTAGGAGACAGTTTAATAAGCAGGAGGTTCTGCTGGGTGACAGAGTTAGATCTCTGGTTGATCAGCATCTTGTTGGTGTACAGGTTTTGTTACTTTGTTTTGTTCCATGTCTTCTACTATACAAAGTTCTCTAAAAACTCACATGTCCTTTTCCATCTCCAAGTTAATTTGAGAGCCCTCAACACTCCCTTGAATCTCTAGACAGATTCCTGTACGTTTGCGGGATGCCTATAACTAAATTTAAGATAAGGAGCTGTGTTCATTGCTTTAATCCTGTTCCTGCAGAGCAAAAGCTTCCGCCGTCATTTTCTCGGCAACTGAGAGATGTGCAGGAAACCGTGGGGTTGCCAGTGGTTTTTGAATGCGCCATAAATGGATCAGAGCCCATCTCCGTGTCTTGGTTCAAAGACGGCAAACCACTGAAAGACAGCCCAAATGTGCAAACATCCTTTTTAGACAACATCGCCACTCTGAACATCTTTAAAACAGACAGGAGTCTTGCAGGCCAGTACTCTTGCACTGCCACAAATCCCGTGGGCTCTGCTTCATCTGGTGCCAAACTCATTCTCACAGGTTCGTGGGTTCCGGGACCTATGTTTCTGTAACTGAAATGTTTGTAATTCGATACAAAATTTGAAAGGAAACATTGTTGTTTCTTCAATGGGCGTGGCCTAAGTCTAGAACCCGGAGTGAAACCTTCTCCTTGTAATGTCTCCTTAGAGGGGAAGAATCCACCCTTCTTCGATATTCCTCTGACCCCCGTGGATGCTGTGGTAGGAGAGAGCGCAGACTTGGAGTGCCATGTGACAGGAACACCGCCCATCAAAGTCAGCTGGGCCAAGGACAACAGAGAGATTCGAAGTGGTGGGAACTACCAGATCAGTTATCTGGAAAACAGCGCACACCTGACCATCGTCAAAGTGGACAAAGGCGACTCTGGACAGTACACCTGCCATGCTGTGAACGAAGTGGGAAAGGACTCCTGCACAGCCCAGCTTAACATCAAAGGTAGAGTTGTTTTAGCGTGGGCTCCAGCAGAGCGCCGTCACTTGTGAGCATAACTGACCACCGTTAGCTGCACTGGGCTTATTGTGGTAGATTCTTGGGAAGCAGCTGAAAGCAACATGAAAATGTTTAAGGGGGTAGGTCTGCAGTAAGAAAAACTGATATCATTTAATCCGTATTTTCTAAAAGTTGATAAGTTCTCTTCAACCCTAAGACTGGGTCTTTCTTCTTACAAATGTCTGGTCCTGTCATTGCCTGTGAACCAGCCATCCTGTCAGAAAATGGCTGAGAACTAGCTGTACTCAGGAGCATGAATTGTTATGCTGGATTTGACTAATTTTCCCTGATGTTTAGCTAAATACAGGGCTCCCCTCCCTTGACAGCCTCACGGTAATAACTTACCTCTGGACTCCTTTCATGTCTCTTGTTAATTTCTTACAGAGCGCCTAATCCCGCCAAGTTTCACTAAAAAACTCTCTGAGACAGTGGAAGAGACGGAAGGGAATTCATTCAAACTGGAAGGGCGCGTGGCAGGTTCCCAGCCTATAACTGTTGCTTGGTACAAAAATAATGTAGAGATCCATCCGACTTCCAACTGTGAGATCACGTTCAAGAACAATGCACTGTTGCTACAAGTCAAGAGAGCAAGCATGGCCGACGCAGGCTTATACACCTGCAAGGCAACAAACGATGCAGGCTCTGCTCTGTGCACATCTTCCATTGTCATCAAAGGTGAGTTGTCCTTCCAGCCCTGGCCTTGATGTTTTTCTTCACACACCTCCATACATGTATCGTCTGGGATCTGAGCTCAGTGGAGAGCCGCCAACAAAACGTGCATTGTTGGATGGGTTGTCACCATTCCATATGTGTTTGCTCAAAACAAATGATCCATAATTTTATTATATGACCCCAGGTAGAGTTTACTTAATAAATGGACTCCAATGTCATATTTCTAAGTCGTGTTCCCAACCTTGCTGAAGTAGCTAGAACTCAAAGCCATAACATGTGTGCACAAGGGACAGGGGTTTTGATGAAAAGCATTTGAAAAGTTTTTGAAAACTTTCACAGACTGTTACATTGACTTTGCTTACTCCCAGCTATAATCAGAAACATTTCCCTTTGTCTGTAGAGAATCACTGTTTAGTATATACTACTCTTACCTTCTACTCTAAAATTAAACCATAACACCAGACAAAATGGTAAGATATGCTCAAAAAGCCAATGTTTGGGTAGAATATTATATATTATAAAAGGTAAACACAAGGCTATTATTTTAGGAAAGGAAGACGTCTCCATTATTTCAGACATTTCTTGTTAGATTTCCTAACTGTAATGGCTTCAACCAGACAGCAAGTCTATAGACCAGCACAAGCATGGAATGGTTGCTACAGGGGAGGCGGCTGGCCACCTCCGAATGCACATCCGAGCCAAGACATTAGTAGGCTGCTCGTGTGACTAGGCTAATAGTACTCAGGTGTCTTGGCTGCAAATCCAAAGTTTATCATTTATCTTACAGAACTGAAATGAATCTAGTTTCAGTACCTGTGCTGAAATGAAAAGTGGTTTATTCTCATGATGCCATTCAGTAGATACTTGCTACAGCATTCGGAAATTATTTTTCCGTAGAGGCTTATTGAAGTAGTAATACCAGAAGTTGTAATCATGAATGTAGCCTTATTTTATCTAGGTCTCAGAAGCACTGAACCACTAGAGCTATGTTAGAAAAATCACACCACACACGTCCATTTCCTCATGACATCACGGCACACGTGTCCATTTCGTCATGACATCACATCACACATGTCCATTTCGTCATGACATCACGGCACACACATCCATTTCGTCATGACATCACGGCACACACATCCATTTCGTCATGACATCACGGCACACACATCCATTTTGTCATGACATCACGGCACACACATCCATTTCGTCGTGACATCACGGCACACGTGTCCATTTCGTCATGACATCACGGCACACATCCATTTCGTCGTGACATCACGGCACACGTGTCCATTTCGTCATGTAACTCACATTCTTATCTTTGTTTTCAGTTAAGCCCTGAGCTTCCACTCTTTGTTTCTTTGAGCTTAGAGTAACCTTAGCTGCACTTAAAACCTAAAAGTGAACATCAGAGAAAATCTTGTTAAGATCTCAGCACACCCATGACTCCAATGGTGGCTTCCTTCTGCACGAGCCAGTAATCATTGCTGCTGTACATGAGCAGAATTCCCTCATAAGCCTACAGGTTTTGGAGTTTGGCAAAAATTCTGCTGTCTGTACCTTTAAAAGAATCAAAACCGTGCCGCACCGCACACACTGAAGGCAGTGCCAGCGTAGTCTTTGTGGAGCATAACTGGGACACGGATGCTGCGGTGGTCTATGGGCAGTTTGGCAGTTTTTAAATCTTTACTTTTTTAACCCAAAAAGGTTAAAAAAATAACTGCTCAAAGAGGAATAAGCTGTCTTCTAGTTCCCCCCACCGCAGTGTCCCCTGTCACCTGTGGGAAGGAAGCCATTTGCCCTCTGTTTCTTTTGTGCATCATAGTGCATCCGTCACTCTGTTTTCCGGTCTCCTCTTGAAAATGCCTTTTCAATTCCAGAGCCTAAGAAGCCGCCTGTGTTCGACCAACACCTCACTCCGGTAACAGCCACCGAAGGAGACTTTGTGCAGCTCAGCTGCCACGTGCAGGGATCAGAGCCCATTCGGATCCAGTGGGTGAAAGCCGGCAGGGAGATCAAGCCTTCGGACAGATGCAGCTTCAGCTTCGCTAGTGGGATGGCTGTGCTGGAACTCAAGGAGACTGTTAAAGCAGATTCAGGAGATTACGTGTGCAAGGCTTCCAACGTGGCCGGAAGTGACACTTCCAAGTGCAAAGTGACCATTAAAGGTACAGATACCGAGGTTGGCTAGAGATAAGTTATATGAAAGTGGAGTTAGATGAGTTGCACACATCAGCTATCTGTCCTTTGTCGGCTGTGGCCCTCTTCTGGTGAAAGTATCCAGTCTCTGGAGATCGTGTCGATACAAAGTATTTCCAGTTACCCAGAGTTCACTGGCCAGTTTCTTGGGCTTCTCACAGCAGAGTCACAAGGATATATTCAGTGTAGTCCCAAAAAAGATGCCATGCTGATGCAATGAGAAATAGCTGGATGTCATAGCCTGGGGGGATGTATACAATAAAGTCAGGTCTATAAAAGATGCCATGCTGATGCAATGAGAAATAGCTGGATGTCATAGCCTGGGGGGATGTATACAATAAAGTCAGGTCTATAAAAGCCAGGGTGGATGCTGGCCATCCACAGTCGTTCAGCCTACTATAGCTCTCACTGGAACGAGGGTCAAGGAGACAGGCCGCTTTGTCACAGCTAGTGGGCCTTGGAGTGCATATTTATGACACTCTTAAACTTTGCTTTATACCCCAGAATATTTATTGCAATTTTCACGTACTTGTACTAACAAAATGTGGAAACATGCGTTTCAGAAAAACCAGCTGCGGCCCCAGCGGCTAAGAAGGCAGCCGTGGATGGAAAGCTCTTTTTCGTATCAGAGCCTCAGAGTATCCGAGTGGTGGAAAGTAAGCGCACGGCCTTGTCTGTCGTCTACTGCCGATTTCATTTCCAAAGCACCGGCAGGGCAAGGCTGATTTTTGGATAATTTTGTTTTCATCGTCCCTTAGAAACCACGGCCACATTTATCGCAAAAGTTGGAGGTGACCCGATCCCGAATGTTAAGTGGACGAAAGGGAAGTGGAGACAACTGAACCAAGGCGGTCGCATTTTTATCCACCAAAAGGGCGACGAATCAAAGCTGGAGATTCGTGATACCACGAAAACCGACTCTGGGTTGTACCGCTGTGTTGCCTTTAACAAACACGGTGAGATTGAGAGCAATGTCAACCTCCAGGTGGACGAAAGGAAGAAGCAGGAGAAGATCGAAGGCGATCTTCGCGCGATGCTGAAAAAGTAAGTCCACTGAGAACTGTGAAGAGGATTTCCTCCTCACAGTGGGTCCTCAGGAGGCTCGGGCCAGCTACTGCAGGACTTAGAGTATACAGAACCTGCCGTGGCTCAGGAGTGAGTTAAAAGTGGAATTTCGTGGTCTGTTGGGATGTGTTTCTGAATGATGCTCAGAAACAAAGAACGAGATACATCCAAAAGCTTTTAAACAAAAGGAAATAGCCAAATACTCTGTGTCCGAATCTAAAAAAGGCTTTATTTTATGAGTTTTTTATGCTATAGTTTCCTGACCAATTATTTTAAATATTTCCATAACCAACAATAATTTCAATATAATTTGTGTTTTAGCATAATTATCAAATTATCATATATCTTTCCTTTCCACGATTCTTTTTCATAGGATATGATATTAAAATGAAGCTTTCAGTTGATACTTCATATAACTACCATTAATTGGGCTCCCGACTACAAGGCTGATGGGCATGTTTCCATATCCTTCCCTTCTTCGACCCACCAATCAGATTTCAACCCTGTATAACAACAGTCCAGTCTTAATCCATTCCATCACCAAACTGACTTTTTTGTTGTTTTGGTCAGCATGGTAAAATTAGCATTTCTTAATAGAGAGCATCCAACTGTTGTGTAGTGAGGCAAAATACCGAGACCGAGCATCTTTGAGTCATGACAGACAGTTCAAACTTAGTGGAAGACATGTGATTGATCTTAACTTATTTTTTAGGACTCCAGCCCTAAAGAAAGGCTCTGGGGAAGAAGAGGAAATTGACATCATGGAGCTTCTCAAAAATGTGGATCCTAAAGAATATGAGAAATACGCACGCATGTACGGGATCACTGACTTCCGGGGCCTCCTTCAAGCCTTCGAGCTGCTGAAGCAGAGTCAGGAGGAGGAGACCCACAGACTGGTGTGTGTCCCTTGCTGCAGCTGCGTAGTGGAGACCCCAGACACCAGACATCTTTTGTACTAGCAGAATGCCTTGAATTCCCAGAACACGGCGTTCCTAGGAAACAATATCCCAGCTATCAACCTTACCGTCACCTAAAACTATCAGGACCGGAAGTCAGAGGGCTGGAGAGATGGCTCAGTGGTTAAGAACACTGGCTGCTCTTCCAGGGGACCCAGGCTCAGTTCCCAGCACCCACATGGCAGCTCACAACTGTCTCCAACTCTGGCTGCAGGGAATCTGATGCCCTTTTCTGACTTACTACCATACTTACATGACATGGTACACATAGTACACACAGTCAGAACGCACTTATGCAGAAAAGAAAAGGAGGTCTTTTAAAAAATTACCAGTACACATAAATACAAATAAATCTTTAAAAACCACCAACATCCCACAAAATCTTTAAAGGTTTAAGGAATATAAATCAGAGTCATGTGCCTGCTGATTGAAATTTTTGTCCCTAATGTATCATTTCCCCCTCAGGCAATTGAGGAGCTAGAGAAGCCAGAAAGAGATGAAAAAGAATTTGAGGAACTTGTATCGTTTATTCAGCAAAGGCTGATGCAGACAGAGGTAAAATGAACCATGCTAATAATAAAATGTGCAGCATCATTACCGGGAATTAAAAGGGGAGGATGGCTAACACATGTTAATTCTTCTAGCCTGTCACCTTGATCAAGGATATTGAAAACCAGACAGTTCTGAAAGACAATGATGCCATCTTTGAAATTGACATTAAGATTAATTATCCTGAAATCAAGCTGTCCTGGTACAAAGGGACTGAAAAACTGGAGCCCAGTGACAAATACGAAATAAGAATCGATGGTGACCGGCATACTCTCAGAGTCAAAAACTGTCACCCTAAAGACCAGGGCAATTACAGGCTGGTTTGCGGCCCCCATATCGCCAGTGCCAAGCTGACTGTGATTGGTGAGTGAGAAGCCATTTCATAGCCTTGTGAGATTGCTGGTGGGCACATCTGCATAAGATACTGATGTTGGGCACATCTGCATAAGATGCTGATGTTGGGCACATCTGCTTAAGATACTGATGTTGGGCACCTCTGTTTAAGATGCTGATGTTGAACCCCATGTGTTCCTGTCTTGCCGCAGAGCCTGCTTGGGAGCGCCATCTTCAGGATGTGACTTTGAAAGAAGGCCAGACTTGTACCATGACGTGTCAGTTTTCAGTGCCCAATGTGAAATCTGAGTGGTTCAAAAATGGCAAACTCCTTAAGCCCCAAGGCAGAGTAAAAACGGAAGTGGAGCACAAAGTCCACAAACTGACCATTGCCGATGTCCGTGCGGAGGACCAGGGTCAGTACACTTGCAAGCACAAGGACCTTGAGACTTCAGCAGAGCTCAAGATTGAAGGTGAGTAAACACCTGGGCACAGAGCACCCACAGAGGCTGTGCCGGTCCCGCAGTTGCTCCCTCAGTGAACTCTCAAAGGGTTCCTGTCCTCATTCTCCCACATCCATAGCCACACACTTGTCCCTGTGTCAAAACCCATGCAGTTCAAAAGGAAAACATTCAACCATGCATTTCTTGTAGATAAAAATCATAATCTAGACTGACATTTGATTTTTTTTTTAATGGTTGTTTCTTCTTAAAAGTTAAATTTTATAATTCTCATATCTACCACTATGGAACCTAGAAAAAAAATATTGGAAAAGACAAAAGTTGTAGATATTGTAGATATAAATCTAAAACACTGTGCTTAGGAACTGCTACTTTGTGGGACTTATTTTGACTTTTTGGTTATAAAATTTTATAGATAAAATTAACAATGTATGTGATAAGGAATGGTTGTTTTATAAAAAATACCAATTTCATTTAAGAGTTCTACTCCCGATTTCAGACTCTCTGACTTAAAGAGCAATAATGCTTAAAGTCTTAATAGTTAAATTTTAGGCAACTCACCTTGAACTCTCCAAGGAAATTTTGTACTGTGTCTCATTATTTGGTGCCATTTTAATTGTTAAAGCAAAATTATATCAGTCTTATTTCCAGAGGCATTTCAGGTTTCTGAATTATTTTTTAATGAATATTAAAGATAAAAGAAAAGTTAAATAGCTTCACATTAGACTAAAGTTTAAATAAGTAAACACCTTAAATACACTTGTCAATGATGAAGCCCCTGGAATGTCACTTTCTGCAAGATGTACATTGTTCTGCTATGCATGAAGTCCAAGAGTTCCAGACACATTTTAGGGAAAGGCTACGCACCCCAGTCATGCTCTTAAAAGCACCCCGCTGTCCCGGGTGGGTTGGTGCCTTTCTTTTTACCTGTCCGTGGCCGAAAGCATGTTTCTCAACTCTGGAGAGCCCTCTGCAATTCAGAATTGCAAGTTTCCTGTTGAATTTAAAATGCTTCCCCAGGGAAATCTCTATAAAAGAGAAAATTGTAGATTCTAAATAACAAAAAATGATTTTCCTGAGGTAGGGAAAGGCTTCGCAGGGGAGTTGACTGTTGGATGGCCGATCTGTTCTCTGTCAGGAACTGTTGTATTTCCTCAACAGTTTTGAAATTTCGTTTGACTTTGGGTTCAAATCTCCCTCTGGCATCTCCTCCATAGGAATATTTTAAGGACTCTTGGGGAGTTCTTTATGCTCTCCACTATCAGTCCCATAGGAATGCCCTGAGGAATGGGAACAGGTTGATTACTACACAAAAAATGTGTCACTATTATTCTGTTCATGTACTTGGGTTTTCTATTATTTTATAAGTGAATAAAACTAGAAGCCAAGCATGCTCATCATACACACCCATCACCCAGACATGCTCACACACACCTCGGGAGCATGGGACAAGAAAATGGCACAGTGGAGGTCAGTCTCGGAATCTGAACTAGACTTTGTCTCAAAAATAAAAAAAAAAAAAATGAAGTCCTTGGGATGGTATAGTGCTTTTTTGGGAGGCCTCAGGTTCAAAAATAGTACTGCATAAGTAGATAGATAGATAGATAGATAGATAGATAGATAGATAGATAGATAGATAGATAGATGATAGATGATAGATAAATAGATGATAGATAGACGATAGATAGGTAGTAGATAGATGGATAGATAGAGGATAGATAGGTAGATAGATAGATGATAGATAGATAGATAGGTAGATAGATAGATAGATGATAGATAGATAAATAGATGATAGACGATAGATAGGTAGTAGATAGATGGATAGATAGAGGATAAATAGGTAGATAGATGATAGATAGATAGATAGATAGATAGATAGATAGATAGATAGAAGACCCCAGGTACAAAATTAGTACCACATCAATAGATAGATAAACAAACAAATAAGCAATAAATAAATAAATGAGCTAATTTCACTGCGTTTGTGGCACACATAAATACCCTATAATTCCGGCATTTGGAAGCCCAAAGCAGGAGCACACCAGCTTGGGCCACAAAATGAAACCCCATCTCAACCCCCAAGAACTTTGAAGTAAAGAAATCACAGTCACAGAGATCCTTGCCTGCCCAGTCAGTCTCACTTTGAATCCCTTCGATGTAAACAGCTGAACCAATTCAGTTCACCAAGCGCATACAGAACATTGTGGTGAGCGAGCATCAGTCGGCTACGTTTGAGTGTGAAGTGTCCTTCGACGACGCCATCGTGACCTGGTACAAAGGGCCGACGGAGCTGACTGAGAGCCAGAAATACAACTTTAGAAATGATGGCCGCTGCCATTACATGACCATCCACAACGTGACCCCAGACGACGAAGGTAATCATGCGGACACTTCCCCAGTGGATCTAAAGTGCAATCCTCCCTGTCACCTGTTTTTGATATTTCCTTAACAATGCTTACATTCTAGCGGGGTGGTGGTGGCGCACGCCTTTAATCCCAGCACTCCGGAGGCAGAGACAGGCGGGTCTCTGGGAGTTCGAGGCTAGCCTGGTCTACAAGAGCTAGTTCCAGGAAAGGCTCCAAAGCTACAGAGAAACCCTGTCTCGGAAAAAAAAAAAAAAGAATGCTTACATTCTATAGTTCTATGGAATGTACTTTAAAACAAAAAGAAAATTAAAAGGGCATAAATAAGCACATTGTATTTAACTGAAGAAGTGTATCAGGAGACTGATGTCGGATTATTATTCTCCCCAGGCGTGTACTCGGTAATTGCTCGCCTGGAGCCAAGAGGTGAAGCCAGGAGCACCGCAGAGCTGTACTTAACAACCAAAGGTGAGGACGGGCCTCGTAAATGCGCCACAGTCCTGGAGGCAAACACGCTACCCAAACAGTTCTATATACAAAAACGCTCTCTTTTTCCTTTGCAGAAATAAAACTTGAGATGAAGCCTCCTGGTAAGTTTTTTTTTCTTTTCTTCTTTTTTAATTGTTGCTGACACTAAGTTCAGTGTTGGTGTGGATTTATAAATAGGGAAGCCCAATAAAAATACACAAAGTTGCCATTCTTCTTTTCAGTAAATGTTACTCAGTAAGATAATTTCCAGCAAAATGCAATGTTGTTACACTTTATGAATCTGGCAAAACAGAGATGGTAAGGTGGCTGGTAGGAGCACAATAGAACCAGGACAGGATTCGGCGAGTTTTCATAAGCTCCGAACTGTGTGCAGGGAAGGATAGAACCGTGATGAGTAGCACGGTGGCGGTGCTGCTGGAGGTGCCCAGACGGTGAGCATGTGTTGTCAGCTCCCCAGTGCTTATCACTGTCGGTTACTTCCAGATATTCCCGATTCCAGAGTTCCGATCCCAACCATGCCTATCAGAGCCGTTCCACCTGAAGGTAAGACTCTACCCCTAGCATCCGGGCATAGAGCAGCAAGGTTCCACATCCCTGTCTTCAATGTCCAGTTAGAAACCAGAGCAAACATGCAGTTACTACTCCAGATAGATATTGATGTTGCTTGTTCTAATTAAGCCCCTGGATTGATAAACAAAATACATGCAACATGGTGCTGCTATGTATTTTTTTTTCCAGAAATACCTCCTGCAGTTGCTCCTTCCATCCCTCTTCTGCTGCCTTTACCCGAAGAGAAAAAGCCACCAGGAAAGCGTATTGAAGGTAATATATGAAAACTAACTGAAGTGATAAAACTTAGAATTCCATAGTCTGAGAAAATGTGACTTCATATAGTTAATGCTCCCTCTTGTGGTCAAGACGCTGAACTGACTTCAAAATGATACTCCTGCTACATGGTTTGAAATGCTGAAAATTACCAGATTAACTCAAGCACTATGCTTAGTTTAAAATATTGCAAGGGAATAACTTGGGTGTTGGATAAAAATAAGTTTATTTCACATGCCCCTGACCACTATGCTTGACAGCTAATATGACAATAATAAAACTAGTTGTTGGGCTGCTTATAGAAACACAGCACATTCGTTGAGAAGCAAACTGAAAATTGTGGTTTGTTTTCTTTTCATTTATACTTTTAATTACTTTTTGTAAGTCACTGTTTGTTCAGAATATCTTTAACTTGCTCTGTTGGGTCTTTTGTGGGGTGTGTTTGTTTGTTAACTAAGGGGCGTGGTTACTAATAAAGAGATCAGAAGTGGGCAGCAGACTGGTAGATACATGTGATCCCGGCTCCGCAGACAGAGACAGGAAAATTACTACAAGCAAAAGGCCCATGCGACAAGCCAGATGGGGTTACATACTAAAACCCTGTCTCAAAAGCCAAACAAAGCAGAAGAGCTCTTAAAAGGGGCAAGGAGCTGACCATCTCGAATGCTAAATGTTTAGGAAGCGGTTGGGAACTCTTTGCACCCGGAAGCTGTACAGCCCAGACAACAGTTTGCCTGCGACTTCCTGGAGTTATTTATTCAAACTTACTAGGAGAATTGATTCTCTCAGCAGAGCTATAAAAAAATCCACTGGTCAAAATCAGGTTTCCTGATAGTCTTATAACTGTAACGGCAATAGCTTCATGGGTATAACTTTTAAGTTTCCTAATGTCTGCCCGCTGCCACTGATAGTAAATGCTTCAACTGTTTTTTCAGCCAGTTTCAAAGAAATTCAATATGTTTATCCAATTTTGTGACTAATGTACTTTCGACAGAAGAGAGAAGCGTGTTTGTAATTTATATGAGCTTACTCGAACATATATCATCGACTTGCAGAGCCCAGAGAGGAGAAATCAAAAACCATAAACTAGATTCATGATGCTCCTGTGGTCAGAAGCAGTAATTTCTGTTCAGAAATGATCTGTCCTCTCAATGAAAATGTCAGCATGACTGTTGGTATTCACTGCAAAACCTGAGAATTTCAACCAGATTCTAAAACACAAAGGGTGTACTCCGGGCTTACAAGCTTCCAGCATGGTGGGAAATATGCCTAGGAGCCATGACCAGAGTCTCCCTCCAGCCTGCAGCACCAGTACACCTTCACATATAACATGGCGTGTGCTTCAATTCTGCTCTGCTTTTGTTCTCCTGACAAGTGTGGTCTCCACACCCAAGTGAAACACAGGGAGAGGGACACTTTCTGTGTCCCTCATCTTCTGCTAAAGCCGCCTCTTACCCATCATACGCTCAGAGGACTTATCTACCCTCCCTGCAAAATTTTCTTCTTCTTCTTCTTCTCCTTTTTCTTCTTCTTCTTCTCCTCTTTCTTCTTCTTTTTCTTCTTCTTTTTCTTCTTCTTCTCCTCTTTCTTCTTCTTCTTTTTGCTTTCTAATACAAGATTTTTCTAAAGCAAGTATCTCACAATTAAGTTTATCTTATCTTGTTCTCATTAGCATATGAAAAACAGAATTGAAATGTCCTCAAAACATTTACATTATTTATATCTGACTTCTTTTTTTTTTTCAGTGACCAAAAAGGCTGTGAAGAAAGACACCAAAAAAGTTGTTTCAAAACCCAAAGAGGAAGCACCACCACCAGGTATTATAATAAAGTTTAAAAATCAAATTAAAAAAAAAACTAACCAGAAAGTGCTCCTAAGGTCTTCATTGCAGATAAGCACTTAAGAGTGCAGGAAACCCAAAGGCAAGAGTTGGGGTCACTAGGTGGTACATCCCCCTCCGTCTCTCTCATCCTTCTTGTGTCCTTGTCTGCCTCTGGCAGCCAACAAACGCAGAGAATGCTTGCTGTCTATAGTTGATGCTTTGAAGGAGACCTCCCCCCTGCCCCCAGTCCCACTGCTGTTGGTGACCAAGTCCTCCCAGCTCCCACCAGGGATTCAAGATTCGTGTGCTATGATGCGGCTGCAGCCCAGCTCAGGACCCTTTGCTGGTTTTCCTTATCTTATTGTTTGAAGAAAGCAAACATCTTTAGAAGACATCTTGGGAGGCTGATGGAAGACCTTTAGATGATGTAAAAGAGTTGTTCTAACCCTCTTGATGGAGGAAGCACAGCAGCCTCCTGCCCAGAGCCGCACCGAAGCGCAGGCCCCATCCTCCACTCGACACAGCTTTCCCCATGGTCATTTTGGATTTTGTTTGGTTTGCTTTGGTCTTTCAAGACAGGGTTTCTCTGTAGTTTTGGAGCCTGTCCTGGAACTAGCTCTATAAACCAGGTTGGCCTCGAACCCACAGAGATCCACCTACCTCTGCCTTCAAGCGCTGGGATTAAAGGCGTGCGCCACCACCACCTGGCATGATGGCTGTCTTGAAAGCACGCATGTTTGGTGGATTTTATAACAGAACAGAGCAAAAGCACGGGTTTTAAGTGCTGGACACACTACACATTTCTTTGATGTTTTGTTTTTTTACTACATTTGAATTTTTTAAAACCAGCCTAACCTGAAATGAAAGCCCAGCCTCCAAGCATCTTGTTATTCTGATCTGACATAGCAATGCTTATTCGCCTGGTTTAGTAATAGTGGGGTTTTATGATGCTGCGTTAGTAATAATTCATTATGCAAAAGACCTTGATAATGCTCTAAATTAGTAAATATTAAGCAATCTGTAGTCTAACCATTAATATGTACTCTGTGTTTTTCGAAGTGCCAGAAGTTGCCAAGAAGCCCCTCCCTCCTACTCCCATGTTTCCAGCAAAAGGCAAGTAAAGTGGACTCAGTCAGCATTTTGTTTACTTCTGAATTGTGCGTGTGTCCTCTTGATCACCTTTAAATATGAGGCTTCCAAGTTGTTGTAAAAGTGTCCAGTCCCCTCTGCCACTGTGCAGAGTCCTGGAAGCAATGGCTGTTTCCCACACCTCTGCAGCCCCTGGATGGGGGCACGAGGCGGGGCAGCAGTGAGAGACAGCAAGGAAAGAGCTCTTTCTGAGTTTTACTTTGTAATCCACACAAATATTAAGGATTTGACAATAATACTGATCTCAAAAACATTTTGAAATTTGTCATATAAAAACTGGGAACTGCTTTGACTACATTATTTTTTGTGCGTCATTATTCAACTGATTAGTGAGTCATCATCAAAAGTGAAAAACTAAGATTAAGTTGCAGAAACATTTACTCTAGACTCCATAACGCTATTAATGTTATCGAGTCTTAAGTGCTTCAGGAGAATCTCTCCAAACTGGAGTTCACATAGAGCAAAAGAAAGCATAGAAATTTTTTTTTTTTTTGATTTTTCGAGACAGGGTTTCTCCGCAGCTTTTTGGTTCCTGTCCTGGAACTAGCTCTTGTAGACCAGGCTGGCCTCGAACTCACAGAGATCCGCCTGCCTCTGCCTCCCGAGTGCTGGGATTAAAGGCGTGCACCACCGCCACCCGGCTAAGGCATAGCAATTTGAAACTATCTATTGAATCCATACTTTGGGCACTAGAAGAAAATCCCTATATCAAGAGTGAAGAGTGTCTTAGTATTGTCATGTTGCCTAGTTAATAAAACAGAATCCATACACATCAAGCCATAAGAGATTATCAGTCTGATGCTACAGCATCCATGTGCTCAATGCGGAATGACTGTGGCCTTCCCTTGAACAAAGCTTTTTGAAGGATGTAATTAATCCGATTTCCCTTTCTTGTTCTCCCCTACCCCTATTTCTTCTCATCTTTCAGCTTCCGAAATTATCGATGTGTCCTCTAAGGCCGAGGAAGTGAAAATAACAACAATCACTCGAAAGAAAGAGATTCACAGAGAAAAAGAGGCTGTGTACGAGAGAGAGCAGGCCGTCTACGAGAAGACAGTGCTCATCGAGCCTTGGGACGAGCCCTACGAGGAGCTCGAAGTGGAACCCTACACGGAGCCCTACGAGGAGCCCTATTATGAAGAGCCAGATGAAGACTATGAGGAGATCAAGGTGGGCGCTAAAAGGGAAGTCCACGAGGAGTGGGAGGAAGACTTTGAAGAAGGGCAAGAGTACTACGAGAGGGAAGAGGGCTATGATGAAGGCGAGGAGGAGTGGGAAGAGACTTACCAGGAGAGAGAAGTGATTCAAGTTCAGAAGGAAGTTCATGAAGGTACGTACGCAGGCGCTGGGTGGCCCCTCTTCTCTGTTCCTCATTTTCACTCGGTTCCCTTGTACTTTCAATGCTATTACCTGACTTACAATGGACATGAAGGAGAAAATGATCGTTTTGGCTTCTCTAAGGTTATGGATCTTGCATTACTTGTTCTGTAGAATAATCTTTATCTTCCCTTGATATTAAGCTCCCATGTTGCTTTCAATGGAACCATTTAATCCTAGGACTAGGGCTGCCTCTCAGTTGCTGTTTTCTGACTCACAAGCTCAAAGTTCATTTCATCACCACCTAATTCTGTTTTGAAATTCTGCCTGAGAGTTGTATTAGTCATAAGCTCCCCCATACGACAGATTCCTTACGGGATGATAAATTATTCTTAACATTTTAATATTTGCAACAAGCGCAGCTAGTAGAATTGACTGATTTAAGCATCTCGGCGTGTCTTGTGTTTTTATTAAAGAATTACATGAGAAGAAAATCCCAGCCAAAATGCCTGAAAAGAAAGCACCACCTCCCAAAGGTATGCAATTAGAATCATTAAATAAAATAAAATATGCCTGACATTATCATGATTTGTTTGGCAAGGATGCCTGAATCAATAGTTAAATCTAATAGGCACAACTTCTTCTCTAAGCTTTATTATATCTATGAATTTTCTCTTCAGAATTTATATCTACTTGAAATAATAAAATTATTAAGATAAAAGGGTGTTATAGTAAATTTAAAATAAATATAAACAATCCCAGGAACTTTTGCTTAAAGTTGAGAACACCAAACCTGCCTGTCTTTAAAAATATTACGTATATTAGTATACATATATGCATGCATATATGTGTATGTAAAGAACTAGACAGAGAATTTTAATAAATATTCAGAATTTAGTAAATTCTAAAAGTACTGCAATTTCTTTAAAATATTTGCAGTTGTAAAGAAGCCAGTAGTTGAAAAAATTGAAAAGACTTCCCGAAGAATGGAAGAAGAAAAAGTTCAAGTCACCAAAGGTATAGATACCATTTAAAGAATGTTCTAGTCACATGTACATAAGTCATCGGCTCTCTGGTATATGCTCATGCATTATTTATATAGCTACCCAAACAGAGTTATTTTCAAACTTTGGGGCTAAGAAATATTCCTCACAATACAAATATATCTGTACGTATTTTTAAAGTACCTGAAGTTTCCAAGAAGATCGTTCCACAAAAACCTTCCCGGACTCCGGTGCAGGAAGAAATAATTGAAGTAAAAGGTATTCATCTTTATTTAAACTGTAAGCTCCAGTTATTGTAATCTGCACATATGGATATCTGAACATACATTGTTAAAAAATTCAAAAGCACCATGAAAACTACATGTTTTAAACAGCACACATTTTATGTTGGGTTATACCTATGTATAATTCAATAACTTTATTATTGCTTTTAGTCTTGCTTAGAAATTAATTTTTTTAATTTAAGGAAGGTTTTGTGTTTGATGATTAATCTTCTAACTTTATCATGCAGTGTATTGCATTGCATATAATATTTCCCATCCTCTAATCGATATGAATTGATCCTAATAGGTTTGGGAAAGTAGTGCATTGTGTGTGAAGAAGTTGTGTCTATTAGATTCTCGCATAATCGTACTTGATGCAAGACTGCATGCGTTGTTTGTCCAGACAGATCAAAACCTGATTTATTTTCTTCTTGAAGCTGAATGTGTTCTTAATCTATCATACTAACCCACTGAATCACATGTTCGTGTCATGTGCCATCTGTGTGTCTCATCTGATGTCCTGTCCTAGAACAGTTGCTAACACAGCGATGCTCTTTTTAAAGTGCCGGCGGTGCACACAAAGAAGATGGTTATCTCGGAAGAGAAGATGTTCTTTGCTTCTCACACAGAGGAGGAGGTGTCCGTCACAGGTATCTGGCGATTTGGAACTTGAGAGCTTGAGGCAGAGTTTTAAATAGCCTTTTTGTCCCCGTCTTGCCTAACGTGGGATGCTGTGGATGTGTCTGTCTCCTTGTGTCTCCCTGTCGTCTTTTTCCTTTCATGTCTTTTAGCTTTAACTTTTTTGTATTTCTTGGTATTCTTAGTAAATTACAATTGCCATCCACAACGTGATCTATCAGTAATTAAAGATGTGTACTTTTTTTTTTTCAAAAGTCCCCGAGGTGCAAAAGAAAACTCTCACTGAGGAGAAAATTCACGTTGCAGTTTCCAAAAAGATTGAACCACCGCCCAAAGGTATCAGTAATTCATCCTAAGTTTAAGATGTTCTTGAGAAAAATCCACAGTCCATATCTAGCTACGCTGATATGAAGTATCAGAATTAGTCACACAGTTAACATGCCTAGGGTCTTTGTGAACAGAGAAGTCACTGGAGAGAGGAGTGGAAAGACCAGGCATGACATGCTTGGGGATCCTTCCCCTGTCTCTGGACACTTAAAATATAGTGACATTTGTATTTGGACATAAGGCGTAATGAAACCCCTCACACCAGCTCCCCGAAGCCTTCTTTCAAATGTGAATGATTCTCTCCATTAGGAGCTTAACATACCAGAAGTATTGAAACTAAGTTTTGTAAACTTGCGATTTAATTAAGTTATATTAGAAATCCCTTTATATTCAAAACACACAGTTTCCTTTTTTCTGCAATTACTACTTTCTGTGTGAGAGTATCAGTTACAACAGTAGCTGGTGTGTCAGTATTGACTCCACCACTGAAATCCAAAAATACAGTTACCAGGGGGCAAGGTATCGAAATCCCAGCACTCAGCTAGGGCTACGTAGGAAGACACTTTATAGAAGAAGGAAAGGAGGAAGGAAGAGATAGAAGGGTAAAGGGATGGAGGAGGGAAACACTCTAGACTCTACGCCAAGGTCCCATTCTCTTTCCTGAGCTAAATTTAAGATATAACAATATTTACTATCACCTGAGACAGTTGTTCTCATGCACTGACTTTAAATGTAGAGTTCTTCCATCTATTTCTGAGAAAGTAGAAACTCCTGCCCCTCAAAGTGACAAATAGGTTTCCCTTTTCTACTTAGCCATTCAGCTATCTACACATATTTTATCTTTATTTTATTTACTTATTTATTTGGTTTGGTTTTTTTGAGACAGGGTTTTTCTGTAGCTTTGGAGTCTGTCCTGGAACTAACTCTTGTAGACCAGGCTGGCCTCGAACTCAGAGATCCGCCTGCCTCTGCCTCTCAAGTGCTGGGATTAAAGGCGTGCGCCACCACCACTGCCTGTCTTTTTCAGTTCCTAACCTATAGTTTCTTGCATCCAACTGGCTTAAAGGGGGAATATCTACTCTTGACTCCTATCTTATAAGAATGCACATCTTGTCAAGATGAGCAGTTTCTCAAACATAGTACATTTCTCTTCAAGTCCCGGAACCACCTAAAAAACAAGTTGCAGAAGAAGTGGTCCCTGTTCCCGTCCCTAAGAAGGTGGAACCTCCAGCAGCCAAAGGTAGAAGAACATTTCTTGGGTTCTATCTTCTTGGATCTTGTGTGTGTGTGTGACCTGTATATTAACCAGAATGTTATCAGTAGACAATCTTTCATATGCTTAACTCCTTATCTATTGTTTGGTTACTTTGTCTTCACACGTGTTAGTAACTGTTCCAGATGCCAGACCATCCTAACCGGGCATTTGTCTGCCCTGTGTCATATGTGTGATGTCTACCTGGTATTGATGTACTAAACATTCCATGCTTCCCCAAGTAGAACATACTAAATTACTTTTTAATTCTTAAGCTCTTAATGAGGCTTTATGCTTGACTATAATCTTGAATGTCTCAGAAGGAGACTGTAACATTCGACACCATTTCAACAATGTTATCTTTAAAGTTCCTGAGGCTCCCAAGAAACCTGTGCCAGAGGAGAAGAAGCCAGTTCCTATTCCCAAGAAGAAAGAGCCAGCTGCTCCTCCCCAAGGTATGCAGAACCACCAGTGGAGACAGCCATCGCCACAGGGGCCAGCTCGGCTCTGCACAGGCTTCATCTGTGCCGTGTTGTCCTTGACTCTTGTCTCTTTGACATGTTCCTCATTCTTGTTATATATTATTTATGATTCTGAACATTCCTAAGGCATGTGTTATTAAAAGAAGTAACTATGTCAAATTGCTACCTTAAATTTTTAATGTCATCCTTAAGGAGGATTGCGAAAAATCCTCTATGGACATGTTTATTGAACAGAGCATCTCTTGTTCACTCTTGCATGTGACTTCTTCGTTAAGACATGGTTATTGTCTGTTGTGAGGAGTCTGTGGAGAGGCAGAGGCAACTGGAGGGGGTTGGCAGAAGTGAGTGTCACCTAGACACAGATGAACCCAAAGTCCGTGATGGCAAGTCTTCAATAGGACAGATCTTTGACATTTATTTTCCCTGTATGAATTGAAATTAATTAAACTTACTGCAAACACTTGGGAGTACATTCTAAGTGACAGAATTTCTTACAGAAAAACACCTACGCATTTACAACATTTTGTGACATAGAGGTCCCCAAAGCCATTGGCACAATGTCCTACTGAAAGACCTGTTCCACAGAGTGATCGTGTCTTGATTATCCTTTAGTAACCAGAAATAGAAACTCAGAATGCTGTCAGCGTAAAAAGTTACATGAACAACCATATTCCACAGCATTGTAGCTGTAGTTCAAAGGTCATAAAGTGCTACAATTTATCCCCTCTTCAAAACAAAGTATGAAGAGATCTTTTCTATCTGGTCTACTCACACTCTGCCTTATTGGTATAATCCCTGACGGGTTTGTGTTCATCAGATCACACCAAGGGGAGTAAAGAGGAAGCCAAGTCAGTTAAAACTGGCCTTGACTGTTCGGTACTCAGAACTCACCTATATTTAAATTTAAAAACAAAAGCCATGGTGGAGCAGTCATGTAATCACAGAATTGGGGAGAAGGAGAGTAGAGACAATTGGCATTCCCTGGGACTCACTGGTCACTGAGTCTCTAGCCTACTTGGCAAAATCCGGGCCAGTAGGGGACCCTGTCTAAAGAAAAAAAAGCAAGTGTATTGCACCTGAAAAATAACACCCCAAGGTTATTGCTACCCTCCCAAAACACATACATACACATCTATACACACATGTACACACACCATACTAAATGTAAGAATGAATTCTGTATACATTTCCGTTACATAACACAATTTAGTCATTTAAATGCTTCTAAAATATTGCACATAGCCACTACTATATTGTGACTTTGAAATGGGATCTTTCTTCATTGTACCAGTGCAGTCTGTAATATCAATGTGCTGTGTGTCATTTTGGGGGGTGTCTGTATCCATTCATGGACAGGAAACATGCCTGTACTGACTGGCTATTTAAAACTTTAAGTCCCAGAGGCTCCAAAGAAACCTGCTCCTGAAGAGAAGGTTCCTGTGGCGAAGAAGAAGGAGGCCCCTCCAGCTAAAGGTAGGGTGACTTTCCTAGTAAACAAGCCCACGTTTACATCTCGAGTGCAAAGCAGTTTGTGTTTATCTGCTAATTGAGTTTGCTGTATTCCAAGTGTTGTCGGGGTTTCTGTCCTGCCCGGTTCCCACAATCATTAAGTCCCGAAGAAGTCACACAGAGTTATAAACATTACATTAGTTATAAACTGATTGGCCCATTAGCTCAGGCTTCTTATTAACTCTCATAACTTATATTAGCCCATTATTCTTGTCTATGCTAGCCATGTGGCTCGGAACCTTATTCAGCATGTAACTAGGTTACATCTTCTTCTGTAGCTGGGTCATGACTGCAGACCAAGCTTTCCTCTTCCCAGAATTCTCCTGTTCTTGTCGCCCTGCCTCTACTTCCTGCCTAGTTGTCTCCCCCCACCCCCATACTTCGTGCCTGGTTACTGGCCAATCAGTGTTTTATTAAAATACAATTGACAGGGTAAAAACCATTGTTCCATAGCATCCAAGTGGTTGTTTTATGGCCAGTGACAATGGGACAAGCTTCTGTCTACCTGTCTAGTCTCTTTCAAAATAATGAATTCGCTGCTTTGAAAAATATAAACCCAGTTCTACAAATGTCTTTTCAAGTTCCCGAAGTGCAGAAGAAAGTTGTCACTGAAGAAAAAATAACCATCATTACTCAGAGAGAGGAATCCCCACCACCAGCAGGTACCCCATCTCCATGAAATAACCGTAACTTTCCCCCAAACTTCTTTAATTGCATGCCTTCATCCACCGGCCTGCCTGTTCCATGTGCATTTGCCTTTATAAGATTTAAAAAAAAAAAAAAATTCTTCTTCAAGTGCCAGAAATACCAAAGAAGAAAGTTCCTGAAGAAAAAAGACCTGTTTCTCGAAAAGAAGAAGCTCCCCCACCAAAAGGTATCATCAGGCCTTTGTACAAAAGCTGTCTTTTACAGGGTCATGCTTCCAGGCAAAGATGGCACGGCGTGGGTGGGTGTGCTGTGTGCTGGGCTTCCGTGGGAGAGTGTCAGAGCTCTAAATGTACGTAATGTTTCTAAAGTGCCAGCTCCACCTAAGAAACCGGTCCCCGAGGAGATTGTCCCAGCTCCCATCCCTAAGAAAGCTCCTCCCCGAGGTAGGATTGACGTCAGTCTTCTAGAGACCTCTTCTCTCGTGCGTGCTTGGGTTCTTGCTCTGTCCGTCAAGTCTGTTTCTGTGCTGCCCTTCTTGGTCTTGTTTCTGAGAGACTTTCGTGGGCATGTTCTTGGGGTGTGTAATTTCTTTGTCCACTTTGCTCATGAATGTGACGTACTGCAAGGCGTCCCCAAACTCTAGGGAGAAAGGGAATTTGTACAATTCTTGGTTCTTAAGCTCCAACACTGATGCTTCCTTAAAGCTGAAGTCTCTAAGAAAACTGTCTTGGAAGAGAAGAGGCTTGCTGTGGAAGAGAAACTGTCGGTGTCAGTTCCTCAGAGAGTGGAAGTCATGCGACATGAAGGTATAACCAGAGGGGAAGAAGGCCGTGTTGGTATGTGCCTGTGGAGTCTTCTTTAGGATGTTAATGTTTTCATTGCGATCTGTTTTTATCTTGTGTGAGTGTTGAAATTCATCTGCCTGCTGCTATAGTCTTCTGGAACTATCTTTTGCATCTACCTCATTCTTGGGTCATTCTTAAGAAGTGAATAAGGTGTTGAAAAGGAGATCACTTGGAATTTGGACACTCTGGGGGATAATTTACACATCTCCCTCAGTCTTGGGCTTCATCCTCCTCTTGTCTTACATCTCTTTCCCTCTTGTAGTTAGAAAGTCCCAAGTCCTGAGCAGATAGGAGAATCTTCATCCATCTGTAGTGAACACGTGGCCACTGGACGTGTCCCAGCACACTGAGTTTTAAATCAAGTCTTATCTTTTAACCTATCTACAGAGGAGGAGTGGTCCTACTCTGAAGAAGAGGAGCGTGTGTCTGTTTCGGTGTATAGGGAAGAGGAAAGAGATGAGGAGGAAGCAGAGATCACCGAATACGAAGGTAAATGACAGAGGTCCATGAGGGATGATAAAAGCTGTCCCTCAGGCGAGGCACAGAGTCATCTATGGGCTTAGTACATGTTCCTCTTCAATCAAAATACAAGATTCAAGAGCATCCATTACACAAGAGTAAACACCCGATGACGTTCTTTTCCATCTCTTCTTTGGCTATTTGGAGGAAATGGCTCTGTAGCTCCGGATAACTAAAGGGGGCAGGCATCCTCATGTGGCTTCTGCCTTTCATGAGGCAGGACTTGGCTTCAGTGTGCTAGGCAGATAGAGGGACGTCACCTTGGTTGTCTGATAAGTCAGTGTTTTTCAAACTGTGTGTTCCACAACACACAAACAGAAATGTCATCCTGTACACATGTGTGTGCATATATATATATATATAAATACACATATATATGTGTATATATATATGCACACACATGCAAACCAGATATGAAAGTCCTGTTAAATATTATTCTTACAAGGAGAAACTTTCTTTAATGTTTTCTATTTTGCTTTAGTCTCCTCCTATAAAAGCACGAGAGCTGGTCCACTCCATGAACTGTCCGGTTCCTAACTCACTCTTTAAAAAGATACAAAAATATATATATATGATACATTGCCTTCCGGAAGTCAAAGGCATATTTTTCCAAAACAATGAATAGAAGGAGCTTTTCCTCAAACCCATGTATAGAAAAAGCCATCATGTAATATCTGTCATTAGGCAGACTTCTCAAGATGTCCCAGCAGCTAAAATGACAACTCTCATGCTTTTAAAGATTGAAACAATAGACTTTATCATGTTATAATTCCCATTTGGTGAAATAAAGCACTGTAGGTTTCCTACTAAAATCTCACACTCTATCTAGCACTGTATATCCAAAGGAGTACTTCTAAGTAGGGACAAGAAAATGGTTTAAAAGAAAATGGTGCATTTATTACCAACTCGACTTCCTTCCTAATGTTAAGTAGCTTATCAGCACCTTGGCTGTTCTCCAGCACATCTCTGGCTAATAAAAGGTGATTTTTCATACCTCCTTTCTCCACCTAGAAGAAAACTGTGGACAAGCCATGACTCCCAAACAAACCTACCCATTTGGGTGTGTTTCCTACAATAGACCACAGGAGTTGGCGTGGGTTTAAAGATCCATCCTCCCTAGAAATGTTCAGGAAACCCAGCAAAGCAGGCACATGGAACATTCTCATCTCCCAGCCCTGTAACGATTTCAGTTCCTGAGGCAGGATGCTGCATGCTTCCTTTAGTGTTCCAAACTCCAAGGAAGGGAGAGCAAGATGCTCATTGACTCTTGGGTCCGCATTAAGCTGGAAAGATAGGTGGGCTTTTAGGTTTCTTTTTATTTTAGGCAGCTCCTCGTGTGTTTTTAATTAGCCCTGTTTGTCCTTTAATAAACTTCACACACACAAGCTCAAACATCACATGAAATCTCTTGTCTCTTCTACCATAGCTACCCCATAAAACTGGGGAGTGAACTATCTGCTATGTGTCTGTCCTTCTGCCTTCAAATCTAGAGTGTTTGTTAGTTTTTTTTTTTTAATAGCTTTAAATCCTTATGTTCCTGTTGGATTGGTCACTGGAACTTTTTTTTTCTTTTTGTCATGCTCATGTCCTGTGTTTCCTATGAATTCTATCCTTATTGTCTTTATAATAGGCACTAAATTAGTGAAGCCCATGCTCTTTATTAAGGCATATGCTCGGATTCAAATATTCTTTGGCTATTTTAAATGGAAACAATCAAGGATTTAGCAAATGCTAAAGTTACGGCAATGTTGCTTACTCTCCTGAAGTGAAAAGTTACAATAAAAATTAAACGTGAAATCTCTACAACTTTTCTTCTTTGAAATTAATGTCCTTAAAGTGATGGAAGAGCCTGAGGACTATGTGGTGGAAGAGGAACTGCACTTTATCTCCAAGAGAGTGGAAGTCGAGCCGGTCAAAGGTAGACCAACTCTTCATCTTCCCTCTACGTTGGTTTGTTCTATCCTTTATGGTCTCTTATATCTAATTTACCATCCGTATCAGAAATATCAGTGAATAGCATGACTAATAAAAAAGTCTCTTATGTGTTTATCGAAAAAAAATCGGTGCATTTTCTACAAGTATATTTTATAATCTTTTCAAGTGCCTGAGAAGCAGGAAAAGAAAATTATACCAAAACCAAAAGTTCCGGCTAAAATTGAGGAGCCTCCAGCACCTAAAGGTACATTTCCTCTCACAGGAGTGTAATATTGTCTGTCTTGACATCTATAATGGCGCCTCTGTGTATCACTAAGGTTTTGTCAGAATTGGTCTACAAACACTTTGCTAGTGTAGTTATTAATGTTGGTGTGTGTGTGATCTTTACAAAAAGGGAGTTATGTGTCTTCCCCATAATAAAACTTTCTAACAGAATTCAAACTGATCTTCTTAATCTTTCCCAAGTTCCCGAGCCACCAAAGAAAATTGTACCAGAGAAGAAAGTTCCCGCACCAGCTCCTAAAAAAGAAAAGGTGCCACCAGCCAAAGGTATATTGGGAATCATTTTGCTCTTAAGTAATACTTCACTCCCTATCTTGAAGTAAAATTGACATGTTTGTCAACTCTTGATCACATGGGCTTTTGGCACCATGTTTGACTCCATTGCCCAATGTTTTCAAAGCCCCTGAAGAACCAAAAAAACCAGTTCCAGAAAGGAAAGTTCCTGCAGAAGTGGTTGAGATAGAAGAACCTCCCCCAACCAAAGGTAAATGACATCCCTAAAAGGAGAAAGAAAAAACCAAGAGCACTGTCTTCTTTCTTCCTCTGGCTACCATCCATTGGGCCATAATTTTTCTGTGTAGATTGTTAGTGTCCGTCTGTGATGGTTGTGGTGTTATGGTTGTGATGTTTTGTTGAGTGTGCCTGAAAAATTCTTCTATTCTAAAATCACAGTACTTTCTGGCAAGTAGATATGTGTGTATGAATATATGTATTATGTATGTTATATATGTATGTATGTATTATATACGTATGTACGTATTCTACTCTAAACGTTACAGTGTGCTAATGCTAAAATTATCTTCCAAGTGACAGAGAGGCACATGAAAATTACTCAAGAAGAGAAAGTTCTTGTAGCTGTGACTAAAAAAGAGGAGCCTCCCAGAGCAAGAGGTACAGCAGTCTTTCCATGTCAGCATGACAGATGCTTCGGTGGCTCCCATATGTCAACACTGCCTTGTCTTACTTTATAAGTACACTAACTATGGGGCACAGAGGGAAGGGTGGTCTCTGTCTTCCTTTAAAATGTTGTGGAATGTCTGAATTTCAGGGTGTGTTGAGTCTTCTGTGTCTGAGTGGTTCGTACTCTCTGTGGTCTGAATGAAGCGAATGGTTCTTTAAAATGAAATCTGTCTTTAAAGTGCCAGAGGAACCTAAGAAAGTTGTCCCTGAAGAAAAGTTCCCCAAACTCAAACCCAGAAGAGAGGCGGAGCCACCAGCTAAAGGTATAATGACTCTTTAGTGGGATAGAAATAAGCTTTAGGTATTGAAATGGGTGGAGTAGAACCCGAATAGTCAGGGAATCTTATTTAAATGGATCTCAAAGGTGAAATAAGCTAGCCATTCCACATCACTGAACAAATAGACATCCTGATTCTAGAAAGTTCCTTTTCTCTACTCTGCCCCCAAATATGCAGAGTTTACATCAAAAGGTGTTTGTCATCATGTGTCTGTCTGGTCCATATATTAAACTTGTCTGTCTGGATGTCTGCTTCATGTGGTAATCCTTGGCGAATTATTTTTCATTGACTCAATATTCTTTTCTGTCCCTGAGGAGCCTTGGGGGCAGGAAATAGAACTAAGGTGAGGATATTGTCTGTGAAATTCAAGTTTCTTTAAGGTCGTACCTAGTTTTGTGGTCATTGTTGCCGCTTGTCTCTCTTACGTTCTTACAAAGCCCTGAGCATCTTGAAGCACAGTGACTTCTTCATAGGTATATGGAGCAATGTTGACTTTCAGGCCCACTGAATTTTTTTTTGCTTGCAATTTTAGTGATAGGTGCATCATGTTTGATTTTCTTCTTGGGTTTTTCATGCAAAAGTTCTCTTAACACAATTATTTCTAGACTCTTGTGATTTACTTTTAATAATTATTCTTTTAAAGTGACTGAAGTCAGAAAAAGAGCCGTTAAAGAAGAAAAGGTGTCCATCGAAGTTCCAAAGAGAGAGCCCCGACCCACTAAAGGTACATTGCGCTTTGATTCACTAGAAAGCATAGAGCTGTGTGTCTCTTTGTCTGCTAGATGCCAATGTATCCCCTCTACTTTCCTTGCTTACTGCTGACTGGAGCCAAAGACGTGAACATTTGACATCACAATTAGTCATTGTGCCTCTCATGACACTTCTTCCAACAAAAGATAACCAAGGTCACCCATAGTCAGTGTGGGAGACAGTCGTAAAGGAATGAAATCAAAATACATTGCCACTAAATGGGCCTCAAATAAAATGCTGCCTGCTGTCACTATTATTCCAGAAGTGACTGTAACGGAAGAGAAGAAATGGTCTTATGCCCGAGAAGAAGAAACTGTCTCAGAATACCGGGAAGTGGAGTACGATGATTATGAAGGCTATGAGGAGTACACGGAGTTTGAGGAGTATGAACCCACAGAAGAGTATGACCAGTACGAAGAATATGCAGAGCGTGAACTTGAGCATTACGAGGAGTATAAGGAGCATGAAGAATATGTCACAGGTATGACTGAACTTTAGCCCAGGTTAAATGTGCATAGAACCTGTTAGGATGAAGGTCAAGGTAGAAGAACTTCGTGCCGTTGAGTAAATTCAACATTTTAAATCACTTCAGGAGGGGAAATAGCTCTATAAATCTTAAGGTTATTGTTAGGTTTCACTACCCACAGGGCTTCCAGCATCACAATCTAACAATGGCTGCTTTTCTGGTGAGGGCAAAGCATTGTTTTTAACCTGATGGAGATAATGTGTGTGCACATATAGCTCTGACCCTTGTAAACAGAGACTGGGTTTTCATTTCCTGGATACCCAGACCTGAATAATCACACAAAAACTATATTAATTACCACACTGTTTGGCTAATGGCTGCGGTATATTTCTACCTAGCCCTTACAACTTAAATGAACTTATTTCTATTATTTTATATTTTACCACGAGGCTTGTGGTTTGTTATGTCATATCTTGCTTCTTGAGCGGTTACATAGCGTCAACTTGACTCTGCCTTCTTTCTCCCTGCATTCAGTTTAGTTTTCCCACCTAGCTATATTCTGCTCTGCCATAGGTCTTAAGGCGCTTCTTTATTAACCAATGGTAATAAAACATATTCATAGCATACAGAGGAGAATCCCACATCAGATTCTAGACCACTTTCTTTATTCTAAAATAAATAATAAATCCATATGAATAAATTCTGACTAGAAATTTGAAATGAGCCCATATCCTTCTTGAGGTTTTTCTTTGTGTCTTTGAGACGATTCTGCATATTTTCACTGGTGGCATTAAACACCAGTGTCTCAGACAGAAAAGATTGATCACAAGTTGACTATCTGAAGTGAAATGGGAATTTTGAGGCATTCTCATGGCCTAGTTAAAGGGAGTGCCAATGAGGAAAGGGAACGTTATCTTGCTTAAGGCTCTCATAGCCTTGTGAAGTTGGAACACGAATTCTTATTCTAGAGATTGTGGTTGCACTGTGAACATAAAAGGTCAATTATTTCAATTAACTGATTCCGTTTAAGGATTGATTTTGAAATCTACCCTACAGTCTAACACTAAATACTTTGTATGCTTTTAAAGAACCCAAGAAGCCTATTCCAGCAAAACCTGCCCAAGAACCAGTGCCTGCCAAACCCAAGGCCCCACCACCAAAAGGTAGAGTGAGAACATTGTCAGTTACAAAACCTCTTGTTTTCTTCGTCTCTGCAATGTGGATATGCATGGAAGTGGATGTGTCTAACTGTGTGGTGGGCAGGGGTGGGGGACGGACACACGGGACTGTTATGTTGTGTGTTCTATTTCTTAGCATTTTATTCTCACTCTCAAACATGAGTTTGGGTTTGTAAATCTCTTACTATTGGTCCTTTTAAAGTGCTGAAGAAAGCTGTTCCTGAAGAAAAAGCACCTGTGCCCATTCAAAAGAAACTCAAACCTATACCACCCAAAGGTACATGATAGAGCAGTAACTGTCCCAAGCAATATTGTCACCTTCGTGATGCGACTATGTCAACCTAGACTCAGTAGTATCCGCCAGTCTTTGTGCTTTCAGGGTGTATTGTCTGGTCCCATGTCTTAGGAGCCAGGTCTTTGGGCTTTGTTGATGTTTATTCTCTGATATTCGGGAGCTTCTTGGTAATATTCTTCCATAATTAATATCTTTAAAGCTCCCGAAGAACCGAAGAAAGTTGTTGAAGAGAAAATACAAATTTCAATTACCAAACGTGAAAAGCAGCAGGTGACTGAGCCAGCTGCCAAAGGTATACCAACCTTTCCCCAGGATGTAGCCTCTTGCCTGTCTCAGGTTACTTGTCTCCAGTGTTACCCCTAAGATTATTTCAAAATACTTCTACAATCTTGTAGATAGTGACTGCTCATTGACCATGACCATAACACTGTCAAATACAATACTTTTGTTTTAATGCAGTGACCATTTAACATATTCTTAATATAGTTAAATTAATATAATGATATGCTATTTTCCACTAAAAATGGTTACTATTTACTCTAAAATCACTTTGAAAAACTTTTTAAAAAGCTAATTCAACATCCAAGTTTTCTTTCTTTATGTTAAGCAACTTCCTTGCAATCTTAGGAAGCATGCTAACCCAGAAGTAAATTGACCTTCTTAGAATGCCTCCAGTGAGTAGAAGCATAGGAGAAAGACCCTTCAATTAGGCTCTGTGACTGCAAATTTGCTGGAGTACTTCTATGGGTTTACCTGGCTGTGAGATTCAGAATCCATCCCATAAAAAATAAAACAACAAAGTTTCTCCCAAAGAAAATTACATATTCTACTTATAGACATCTATAAAATCATTCTCTTTAAAGTAAAGAAAGCTAGAAATGGTTAAATGATCTATTTCTGACTCTAAAACTCCCTTGTACTTATTATTTCAAGTGCCCATGAAGCCCAAGAAAGTTGTCCCAGAGGCAAAAGTACCTGCCCCTAAAAAGGAAGTGGCGGCAGCTGTTAGAGGTACCTCCTATTGCTTGTTCTAGTGTGTTGTTCGTCTTTGCTGTTGAATTCATGTTCAGTTCTATGGATGAAGTTACTCTGTGGGAAAGATAAAGCCCATCCTTTCTTTTGTTATAAGGGGGTCTGCACTCTTATAGCGTCTTGATTTTATTGAGCAATTGGAACATATCCAACTTAAAGATAATATCTTTAAAGTGCCAGGGGTGCCTAAAAAACGGGAACCAGAAGAGGTGGTTGCCTACAAAGAGGAAGTGGAAACCCACGAAGAAGAATATATTGTAGAGGAGGAGGAGGAATATGTCCACGAAGAGGAGTATGTCCATGAAGAAGAATACATCCATGAAGAGGAGTACGTCCGTGAAGAGGAGTACGTCCACGAAGAGGAAGAGTACCTGCACGAAGAAGAGGAGCTCATCGTCGAGGAAGAAGTGGTGCCGGTGACACCAGCCAAAGGTAGTCGATGGCTGCCGTGAAACAGAAAGGAAGCAGCGCATTGGAGCTTGGGTGTTTGGCTTAGTCAGATCCTGGGGGATGTGATGCCTGTGTGTGCCTTTCACATTCTGTGTCTTCCGCACGTTTTCACATCTTATTGTTATCTTTAAAGTGCCTGAGGTACCCAAGAAACCTGTTCCAGAAGCGAAAAAACCTGTTCCTGTTCCCAAAAAGAAGGAAGTGCCACCCGCCAAAGGTACACACCACTCACACGTATGCACCTAGACGGCTTCATCTGTCTTCAGCTGGTTACCTCTTTTCTGGCTACCGCGACCCGTGTGTGGCTACTAAAACGTTACATGTGCTTTATGTATGTGTTGTTTTTCATAGTCAGAACTTAACTATCAACACTGTCTTTAAAGTGCCTGAGATTCCCAAGAAGCCAGAGGAAAAAGTTCCTGTGCCTGTCCCTAAAAAGGAGAAGGCTCCGCCTGCCAAAGGTACAGCTCTCCCTGCAGCCATTTACCTCTGTGGTATAACTTGGTGAGCCGTAGCCATCCCTGCCCTGGGGCGATGTTAATAATAATAAACGTTAATAACAATGTCAATAACCAAAACAAGAACCACTCAGCTGGTCCCAGAAGCTTGCTGCCATGTATTCATCTCTGAATGTGGCCATTGGAGCCTGCTTCTGTTTAACGCTCATGTCTTCTTCAGTGGGGAATTCATAGTGAACAATCAGTTCTTCGTAATAAAATGGCCAACACCGAAGGCCAAGGCTTTCGTGCTTTGTCACTGGTCCGCGTTTGTTTGTTGGGTTTTATTGTGATGCTCCTGCACGTCTAAAGTCTTGCTTTGTGGTTTAATTATTAGTTTCTATCTTAAAGTAAGATTGTTGGCACATCTGTGATAATTCAGTTGTCTCTAAGTCACTAGAATCCTCCATGATTGGAAAACTGTGACATTGACCTTATTTCCTGTCTTTTAAGTTCCGGAAGTGCCCAAGAAGCCTGTACCAGAAGAAAAACCAGCAGTACCCATTGCCAAAAAGGTGGAAGCACCACCAGCCAAAGGTATATGAACTTTCACGGGCATACAATTTTAGATATGTGTGAAAAGAAAATATGTAATCAGTTCAATACTATGTTCTTTAGGTGATGTTAAATGCCTCTATAGTATTATCTCTTTACAAAAACGGATTTTTTTTTGTTTTTAAAATGAAATGCTGCTTACAGTTTTTTAACTATGAATTTATTGCCGTATCTTCATCTTTTCTAGACTATGCTTGAGCTCTGTGTTTTTGTATTGTGTAAAACTTTGCCTAAATCATTTCTTTAAAGTGCCAGAAGTGCCCAAGAAGCCTGTGCCTGAGAAGAAGGTGCCGGTGCCTGCTCCTAAGAAAGCAGAGGCTCCACCTGCAAAAGGTATTTTTTCATCATTTCTGTACCCAGGGAGAAATCTCAAGTTAGCGTCCATTCATAAGAAAATGTCTCTGTACTAACTCTGTCTGTGAAAGTGTTTTTCTAAAAAATGAAATGTCTTCCATATGATGTGAGCCTTTATCATGTCTATGGCTGTAAAACACTGTGAAAAGACACATTCTTAAAGACAAATGATATCCTTAAAGTGCCAGAGGTGCCCAAGAAGCTCATCCCAGAAGAAAAGAAACCAGCACCTGTTCTGAAAAAAATGGAAGCTCCACCCCCCAAAGGTACATTAATCTTGGGCAGCACCAGGGCACAAACGGAATGTAATGGGTGTTGTTCCGTCTCACTGATTGTGCTTGCTTGACATTGTGTATGCTGGTAATAATTGTGATCAAAGAATATTGGCTTTTCATGCTGTCTTGCTGCCGTGAATATTTTACGTAAACATGGAATTTGTACGATTGCATAAATATCTTTAAAGTGCCAAAGAAGCGGGAAGTGGTCTCAGTTCCTGTGGCTCTGCCTCGGGAAGAAGAAGAAGAAGCTCCATTTGAGGAAGAGGTTGCTCCTGAAGAGGAAATCCCTCTCGAGGAAGAGGAAGTTCCACCTGAGGAAGAGGAAGTTCCTCCTGAAGAAGAGGAAGTTCCACTAGAGGAAGAGGAAATTCTACCTGAGGAAGAAGTTCCACTTGAGGAAGAGGAAGCCCTTCCAGAAATTAGCCCTAAGGTGCCAAGACCTGCCCCAGGTACAGCAGTTCTTGGGATCAAGACCTCTTTATGTAGGCTTCTGCCTTCCCTCTTGTTAAAACCATCTGTCTTGTCTATGATTCTTTGCTGAGTTGTCATCAAATCCTTAGAAAACTTCCCAGACACACCTTTCATCCTGCCTACGGCAATCTGCTTTCTATGTCTGTCCCTTGTCAATTATCTGCATGTCTTAATTGTAGTTGATGTTTGTTTGTGGTCCTGTCCTCGGATGTCTTTTGTTATAGATCCAGTATTGTTATGTGGTTCTTAATGTCTTTAAATGAAATGTTTTTAAGTGCCAAAGAAAACTGTACCTGAGAAGAAAGTCCCCGTGCCTGTTCCTAAGAAAGTGGAGCCTCCTCCACCTCCCAAAGGTATACCCTATCCCAGGTTGATCCCATAGCCTGTACCATAGCCTTATCAGATGGGTACACCCTGCCCCCAGTGATCACACAGCCCATACCATAGGTTTATCAGATGGGTATCCCCTGCCCCAGAGTGATCACACAGCCCATATTTTAGCTTTATCAGATGGGTTTCAGAAAGAAATCACACATAAAATGGACAGCCAAATTTTACTTTTAAAACTGATCAGGACATTGATAGCCATTTATTTCTATTAGATGTTTTTCACACAATATTTTTTGCATGAAAGGTTAATGGCAGTATTATCATAAAACTACTACAAAATGCCTACTTCACTTGCTATAATCTTATTAAACCATATAATGTTTCATATAGATCTTTTGAATATCTAAATAATCTTTAGGAAAAATTTCCTAAAAAATACATAAATTCATGCTGATAAATTTCATCTTTCATTCATTTGTGATACCAGGCTAAGAAGAAAATATGATGTACTCATCAGAACATTGGGTAATTAATAGTTTATGTCAAACACTGAGCAATAGCTTATGTCTTAGAAAACATGTATATATAAATGAAAGCACAAGTTTGGACTTTAACCTTGACTTTGAACTTTGCTGTTCGGCTCTGAAAGAGTCCTTTAGCCAATCTGAGCCTTAGTTTGCTCTTTCATAAAATAGGGATAGGAACAAATCCCAGTGGATTCTAATATTATTGTAAAGATAAAATAAGACAAAGTATATTGTTATATCATTGAATGAGAATTAATATTTAAATTCACAGAGCAGGTCATGGTACAGTACCTAGGAAGTATATTCATACCCTAAAGTGCAATAATATTTCCCAAAAAAGTCATAATGGCATTATACTTAAATAAGTATAATGTTTCTGCCAGGCTGTATGGTCCCATAATATTTTCAGATAATTATTAACTAAGCTCTTAGCTTAAGTTTAAGTCCATGAAATGATAGTGTCTAGGCTCAGGTAGCCAGCCATTTGCTGATCCTTCCCCTTGAAAATTCTAGTCATCTCTTGATGGACTGCAGCTAGCATTCCATCCCTCTTCTGAGTGAATGCTATATGATGGTCTTCCTGTGTGTGGAGTCTTCTTGTTTTCTTTCTGGCTCTTCAAAAACACATTCTTATCATGAAATGATGTCTTTAAAGTGCCTGAGATCAAGAAGAAAGTGCCAGAGAAGAAAGTAGTTGTTCCCAAGAAAGAGGAGGCTCCTCCCACCAAAGGTACATCACCTCTAATGTTCTTGCATCCCCAAGCACATCAGAGACCTTCTTTCCTTCACCCGTCAAGTCAAAACGTCCTGTCTAGTATTTGTGAAAGTAGCTTCTGTCATCATTGTGTACATTGTCCTTGTGTTTGTGAGACTGAAATTTCAAAATATCTTTAAAGTTCCTGTGGTGCCCAAGAAACCTGAACCAGAAAAGAAGTTGCCTCCCCCAAGCCTTAAGAAAGCAGTGGCTCCTCCCGCCAAAGGTACATGGCTATCAACTGTGCCCTTGTTGACCTGGAGTGTCATCCACACAAGATGCTCAGCCACGTTTGCATTTCCTAGTCTGTCACTGATGTTGGTCACTGTGCCTCCATTGTTCCCATGTTGGTGCTCTGTTCGTTTTCCACTTTGTGTGAGTGTATTTTTTTGCCGTGTTTCTCCTCTGTATGTTATTCCTAAAAATGTCAGGTGTTATATATCCTTAAGGAGCCAGAAGTGATCTTATAATTCTTCCTTTAAAGAAAAGGAGAACCCAGCTACAAAAGATAGTCTCAGGATGTCCCAAGCCTCTTCATTCGCTTCTTAACCGTGATGTGTCAGGGCTTCGTCTTCTGTGTGCTCTGCTGTTTACTCTCTTGGGCTGAAAAAAAAAAATTGGTCTTTAAGAATCTTTTTTTAGCTCTTGAGATTTAAGTGCCTAAAACAATCAATGTCTTTTAAGTTCCTGAGGTACCTAAGAAGGTGGAAGAAAGGCGGATCATCCCCCCTAAAGAAGAGGAAGTCCCTCCAGCTGAAGGTAGATGGCTTCCTAAGAAAACTGTGTTTCTAAGCATCCTTGTCTTATCATTATCTCATTTGAGGAGGAGATAATATACATTTCACTCTATAACAATAGACCTTCTAGCTCTGATAGAAAGTGATGCTTGTCTATAAGGAATTGGGCAGGCCAACTCATTCCAGTTGATTCTCATTCTTGCATGTTTAGCCTATTTGTGACATAGTTCATTGAAAAAATTGAAATGGACCCACTAACTTCTTTATTCTTCTCTCACTAGTTTTGTGAAATGTCAGTGTTTTCTCTTTTGTGTGTGGGTACTATGGGGAATGTCTCACCCAGTGCTTTCGGTAGGAGTCATGAACTAAGCTTTTTCCAGAACAATCTCAGATAAACCTGAGTAATTGGCACGGAGAATCTGACTTCTGTTCCTAAATAATTGCTTGACTCTAAACGCCTTTCCACCTCACTAAAAAAATAATAATCCCCAACTAAATCCTCCAGAGTCCCTTCTAGCTCCATATTGGAAAGTGCCTAACATGTTTTATAGACTCAGCAAATTTTATTTCCAGATTAGTGAATGTTCATGGGCATTTAGCAGGCTGAGTGGTTTGTCTAGATGCTTTAATTTTCATCTAACATTCAAAGGCTTTTTAAAAAGTAATTTACAAAATAATCTGTTTCAAGTGTATGAGGAAGCTGAAGAACCCATTCCAGAAGAGATCCCAGAAGAACCACCTAGCGTAGAAGAAGAGGAGGTGGTAGAGGAAGAGGAGGTGGAGGAAGAGGAGGAAGAGGTGGTGGTGGTGCCCCCTAGAGGTATACAGCCACTTTCATGAGTTGGACATTCCAAACCCTTATTGCTTCAAATCTCAGCGCTGTCAACATAATCATCATCCGCCATAAGCTTTTCTTGTATCATACCAATGAGACCTGAAGAGTTCTCAGTCCCCGTAGCTGAAGCTCTGTGACCCTGCCATTTCCCTAACTTTTCCTTCTTTACCGGCAATCTGACTATAAATAAGGGAAAATTGTTCTGATATTACACTTTAATCCTTCCTCCTAGATTGCAATCCTCAATTTTGCTTTCAGCTCAAATGCTGGAGAACAATCTATCTGTGTGGTGAAATCATTCACTTTTTTGAGAGTTAATTCTTAAATCATCCCTTAAGACTTTGAAATATTTGCATAGTGTTTACTCTTGGGGGTTTCTAAAAATCTTGCCCTAGGTGAGGTATTATCTTTTAGGTTGCTAATACTTTCCTAAAGCACATCAGTGTTTTGTGTTGTTTTGTTTGTATTTTGATAATTGGGTGGTTTTTTTTGTCATTGCACGTGATTTTTTTTTTCACCGTGTCTGTAAATATCTTTTAAGCGCCTGAAGTGGCTAAGAAGGAAGTGCCTGCAGCACCCACTCCTGTCCCTAAGAAAGCAGAAGCACCCCCTACTAAAGGTATAGCAAGCCCCAGTGAATTCTGTCACCTTTCTCACCCCACTGGTCTTCTTTCTAAAGAGCTCTTGGTCTTCCTGCATTTTTTCCTTAAGTAACTGTTCGAGCAAACTGACTAATGACAAGGAAAACGCCACTCATCATTGCCTTGGGTTCCCTATAGTGTCACACGGTAGATGATGGCTCCATCCGGTACACTGTGTGGATTATTTTAGAGATCTCTAACTTCATATAGCTGGAAATTTTGATGCCTTATCATGATCTCTCAATATTTAAGAACATAGCAATTAATCGTTTTTACCTTCATTCTATCCCTAGACTTCATTTTATTATGTAACTAAAAGTTTCATTATTGTAATATTTTTCTCTGTGCATCCTATTTTATACAGAAAAAAATTATCTATTCTGGCACTTGGATAATAATTTTAAAGAGCTTCATGTCCTTTTTACCATGATTTAACCTGGGAATTTGAGGTTTTAAAATTGTCCTTCTTTGTTGCTTCTTTGTTCAGTAATTGTTCCAGAAAACATCTTCAGCAATTATGGTATACAACCACAATGATGGCAGACTTCTCAGCAAATGAAATAGTGCCCAGTAGTTCCTAAGGCCTAGGTCAGGGACCAGATTATCTAGGATGATAATCAGGTTGAAAAACATCTTCATCAAATTAAAAATAATAAAATTAGGCCTAGTGTTGATAACATCTGATGTTTTAAAAATAGTAAAGCTTCTTAGTGGGCATATGTTGGCTTCTAGGGATCCAGATAGCACAAGAGAGTGTTTGGGAAAGTATCCCTATTACCTGTGAAAGGGTTGCCCAACTGCACACATCGACTTCCTAGATGCGTTAATGACATAACTTGATTCTGATGTTTTTATTCATGTGTGTCATTGAGCATTGTCATCTAACTAAGGCACCTAATATCTTTAAAGTGACAAAGAAAATTCCTGAAGAGAAAGTTCCTGCTCCTGTCCAGAAAAAAGAGGCCCCACCAGCCAAAGGTACACTTTCTCCTTTAAACCAAACGCCTTCCGTCATCGTTCTTCACTAAGCTGTCTATGGTTTTTGTCCATCTGTCTTATTTTTGATGTCCAGTGTGCAAGCTTACTCTTGGTGGTCTTAAATATTAAAACTCTTATCTTTAAAGTTCCCGAAGTACCAAAGAAAGTTCCAGAAAAGAAAGTCCCAGAAAAGAAAGTTCCAGAAAAGAAAATTCCCGAAAAGAAAGTCCCTGTGCCCAAAAAGGAAGCTGTTCCCCCTGCTAAAGGTATTTTTGGGGAATTCTTTGCTCTTCTTGTCCTTTCATGGAAGTCTTCTTTTAGGTATTTTTCTTACACTTTGAATTGACATCTGTTTCATTTTATGATTCAAAAAATCAGTCTCTTAAAGTCAATGCTCTTTCAGGGAGAGCTGTTTTTGAAGAAAAAATATCAGTTGCCTACCAGCAAGAAGAAATAGTCCAAGAAAGAATAGAGCTAGAACTTGTGGAAGCAAAAGTGGAAGAGGTTTCTGAAGAAGAAGAATTCCACGAGGTCAAGGAATACTTCGAAGAGGAGGAGTTCCATGAGGTGGAGGAATTCATCAGGGTGGAAGAGCGCAGGTTCCAAGAGGAACACAAAGTTGAAGAAGTCCACAGGGTCGTTGAGTTTTTAGAGGCTGAAGAAGTGGAAGTATATGAAAAACCCAAAATTCCACCTAAAAAAGGTATAGGGGACTCTAGATAATACACATTGTTATATCTTTCTCTTATCCATTTAATTTTCAAAGTACTTTGCATGTTCAGTTCAGCCCATTAGCCCCACAAACTACTTTAAGCATGAGTTTAAGCTGTTTAATTCAGAAACTGATAAGGTTTAGAGACTAAACACACAAAGTGGTTAATTTTCACAGACATGAGAATTATGTATGATGCTGACATAGCTCCATGATCCATGTATCACTATATGAATATGTGGATTTTTTTTCATAGTCCAACAATCATTATATGATTACCACAGGTACCAACAGGTACCTCAGGTACACACCAGCAGGTATCCCCCATTCAGAGACACACTTCTCGGTTCATTGAATAGCTTATATTCTCATCAAAGCAACCATTGCCTAGTTCACAATAGAGTTACCTATGCACTAACTAATAATTACTTATTAAAAGTGTTTGCAATTTTATGATTATCTTCATTGGAGAAATAATGAACTAAGTGAAGCATTGGTCATGGTGCCCAAATTTCAGTAAATTCTAAGGACAAAATAAAGTGTCCATACATAGTCTATAACTCCACTCCAGACTGCAAATGGAGACTGCCCTTTTGTTCTCCAGCCACCCAGACCCGAATAATCACACAGAAACCATATTAATTACAACACTGTTCAACCAATGGCTTAGGCATATTCCTAGATAGCTCTTGCATCTTAAATTAACCCATTTCTATTCATCTGTGTATCACCACAAGACTGTGGTGTACCAGTAAGGTTCATGACATCTCCCTGACTCTGCCTTCTTTCTGCCGGCATCAGTTTAGTTGTTCTGCCTAGCTCTATTCTGTTCTGCCATAGGCCAAAGCAGCTTCTTTATAACTAATGGTAATAAGACATATTTACATCATACAGAGGGGAATATCACATCACCAGACCATGCCTAAATAAATGTTTGTATAATATATTGGAATATGTATGTTTTATATAGCAATGTATTGTATAAATATTAAAATCACAACTTGATTTAAGCAGGAATAGTATAAATTCAAAAACTACAAACTCTTTTATAAACCCTCATTGTACAATATTAATGTAGGTAGTGATTCGTCATATTTTATGGGTCAATTCTAAACCAAAACACTAATATCTTTGAAGGACCTGAGGTGTCCGAGAAAGCCATCCCTCCAAAAAAACCACCCTTTAAAGTTGTTCCTCGCAAAGAGCCACCAGCTAAAGGTATTTCACGGCTCAGCAATACTGACATAACTGTGTCCGGTTGCTTTTTGGGGGCTTTACAAGTTTGTGCTCCGCGTGGTGATTTTCTTCTGTGTTTTGTGTTAGGTGAATGTCAAAATAATTATCTTTAAAGTGACCAGTCTGCAAACATAGATACCATTGTTGTTTCCCTGAAACAGCAAAACCCAAACACCTGCTGACCAAAGTGTAAACTTGGGCATCCTTCGGTGCTGTTTGATTGTATGTTCACCGATGTGCTTATTGGTAGACCTCCATTTCCCTATTCACTATTAAAGTTTTGAGCTGCTAGCTATATTGTAAATATGTGGCAGTGCCCCCCTTTATTCGTTTTCTGCCTCTTTGCTACATTACATCATTTGAGGTTATATCTTGAAAGTCAATGAGTGTGTAAGGAAGTAATCGCTGAAGAGAAAGCTGCGATTATCCTACCTGAATGAGCAGAATGAGCAGCAGATGCCGGTGTGCTGTCGGTTGTTGATGTCAAGTTTTTGTGGATCTAACTTGGGGAGTTCCACGTACTTGTATGGTCATGCTTGTTGTCCAAAGTCGCCTCTGCAAGTGC